GAGAGGAAGAATAATTCAGTTTAACGCAGTAGAGAAAGATGGATGCTGAATTTGTAATGAAGAAATCTTCAGCAACAGGCTTGTATTTTATCATTAATTCCACTTGAATGGGGATCAATAGAGCTATGGCTTTCATCAAATGTAGCCTTTGAGAGAGAAAATTGTGGAGCAGTTCTATTAAACTACAACACAGTTTTAATGCAGTAAATAACATGCAACACCAGCCTAGTGTTCCAGAGCTTTACACAATTAAAACAAAAATCACTTTTGAATATTGTGTTTACAGGATGCATGGAAGGTACTAACCAAACATTAGTATTGTGTTTATTTTTTGTTGTGAGAAAAAAAATTCTGCCCTCAGAAATTTAGAAGATAAATTGTTAATATCCCAAAGTAACAGCCAACTTTTGACTGCTGGTCTGAAATTCTTCCCAGTCTAGATCATTCTAGACTGTTCTAGCAGTGATTTTGAGTTCCATCAGTTATAATGTACCATCTTTTTAGTAATTATTTTGAAAGATGATTTACACAACCAAAGTACATACAAGATAAGGGACTCTGTAAAATTCTTATTGCTGTATGCTTATTTAGGACAGTTGTTAACAATGTTTAATTAAATTTCCCCTCCAAACTGCTGATTTTTAAGTCAAAAGGGAGTCCATTTGATGGTGATTTAAAATCATTTTGAAAGGTCTTTCAAATTTTTGCTTCTGCAAATTAATTGTTTCATTTTTTGTGATAGAAAGTGCATAAAATTACCTATGAGGCTGACTACTCCCCCCCCCCCCCCCCCCAAAAAAAAAAAATAAATAAATAAAAATAAAAAAGAATCCATATCAGAGGTAATTTTCAGGACTTGATAGGTCAAGTTACATTTTCTAATCAATTACAGTACATTTATTTTGGTACAGATAATCATGGGGTTTCATTAATGTCAGGGCACGAGTTGAAATGGAGCTCACTTCAAAACTATTGATTTATTAAGCATTAATTAAATTTACTATCAGCAACGGGTTAGTGATTTATAGCCGCATTTGCCAGAACATTGGATTAAAAAAGATGCTTCATTATAGAAAACCGATGTCATCTGTTGTTTTTCTCAAGCAGGCCTTGCTGTGGATGGGTAACTCTGATTTCTAGTGTCACAACCAACATGATTTCTAAGCAGCTAGCTGTGTCAAAAAATGAATAATTTATGCAATCACATTCTGTTGTGGTTCCATTTTGTGCAGTGTTGCACAAAATTCATTAAAAGCTGTTATCTTTTTTCTCTGTTTCTGCCAATAGGAGTGTAAAGCTAGCTATCAGTCATCAGTGTTTGGTTACTATGTATCGGATGGAAGCCTGTCTTATTTTGTACAGTAACAAAGGAAATCAGATTTAACCACATTCTGTCATTGTTTAGATAATGTATACATTGTGTAATTTGTATAAAATATGAAAATTCTGCAGAGCTTTTTATGCATGCAGTAAAATACATGGTGAATACTTTGTGAGCATTTTATCGTTTTTTGAATTTCGATTTAGTCCCAGCATTGTTAGTTTTTCTTTATAAATCCAGCTGAAATATTAATTGTTCATGGTATGTTCAGAAATGGATCAAAGAGAATTTGGGTGTTTTAATCAGTAGAATTTTTTTGTAGTAAACACAGTTACAACCGTAGAAACTTGCTGACGTCAGTTCATTGATTGCATCATTAGAGCGCATTATTTGGGAACTGCATCCAGTGATGTGTTATTTGGATGTCAGCTAATCTAATATACCTCATAGAAAAAGTAGGAGGCTTGTATTGATTCAGCAAAGTTTACAAAAGAGAAATAATGTTGTCTCAGAACCTTGTTGATTACTTCAGAATTGACTACTGAATGGCAAATAAAAAAAACATGTGCACACACCAAGTATAGCTGAGAAAGAATACTACACAATTACAATTATTGTCTGAGTATTTAATGAGGCCAAGTTTAATTCCAGTGCGCATGACTTTGTGCAGATTTTTAGTTTCATACAGTCGTATATGCAACATAACACCTATCCAAGTATTGTAATTGTAATACAAAATTAACATTATCTGTAACATTTATGGGTCTTAAAATGTGCTTTTAAGAGAATATTTAGGAATAAATGCTGAAATGGCTTTCACGATGTCACTGTTTTCCAGTTCTGTAAGCAATGCATAAGGCTGAAGAATGACGCTTGACTCGCTTGAGTATTCAAGATGTCTATGGACATTTTATTAAACACTGTTGACAGAACATCAAAAGAAGCATACCAGCAATCTAAACATTGTTATTTTTTACCAAAATAATTCATCTGCGCCGATATATACAAAATGTATGCCGCAAAATGGCAAATTTAGAGGTATTGGGCATTGGGAAAAAATAAACCTTGCAATAATTCCTAGACCAAACCAGATGGTTAACTTTTTTGAAATTTCACAATTTGGTGACTTTTTACAATAACTTTCGTGTATTTGACTGAAAACGAAATCCCTAAGGCAGAAATATAAAAAATATGGGGAAAATGTGATAATTTGGCGCTTTTCCAACAAATTCCCATAGGGTCCAATAGTAAAATTTGACAACTTTTAAAATGGCCCTCTTAGAAATCAGGATGGTAAACATTTGATATTTTTATCTTAAAATAATTAGTGTAATAGTAAAAATTCATTCAAGAAAATTTATCATGACAAAATATCTAGGGTAGAAATAATTGGACTAGGCCTCGTTAATTTGAATATACATTTTTGAATTAAAAGACACTAACATATACATGTGCTAAATATTTCAGTTTTTATGATGTCATAATTAATTTCCCATACTATACCTGCTGCCAGAGATACTGTAAACCACACTGAGTTGGACATTTAAGGCAAAGATCTATAGTGAGTGAAAGAGGCCTACATTTTTCCCAAATCTGCTTTGGGGGATAGGATAAACGCAAAACCTGATAGGATTGTCTCAAATTGCGAAACGCTTTTTGACAAGATGAATTGCTTCCTTTTCAGGCTGTAGTATGATAATTTTAATTACTTACAAAGTCGCAAATCTAAATGATAAAATATATTAAATGTGTCATGGTCTATGTGTCTAAAGTATGTCCAAAGAGATGTAACATTGCTCACATGTTTTAGAAATTGAAGTTTGTTAAGCAGAGTAAGCTGTCAAGAGGATCTTTTATCTTTTGTATAGATCCATTTACAGTATTGTGTTTTGAAAACAGTTGTTCATGAAATTTCAAAGATGTAAAAAAAAAAAAAAAAAAAAAAGGATGGTGCCAGGGTATCTTATCAAGAAAAGTGTATTGAGGCACCGGTAGAGGGAGAAGACATTGAGAAACAATGACACTGTCATATAAAAATCGACGGCAATAGCTCTGGATGATCATATAATATGTCTTGTGTATTTAAATAAATGATAAATTAGCAAAATATCATATCAAATTAAAATTTTTGACACTTCTTAAACTTTTTTTGTTTATGTTCCTTATAAATTTTGTATAAGCATATCCTTAATATACTGTTAATTTTATTGCTTCCTTCCACAAACTTTTTGATAACACCTCATATATATATACTGAAACCCAACTTCACAATCAGTTGATCCTAGGCATCTACTGACTATAATTCAGTTTGTGATTTATTTTTGCCCTACTTTCAGACAATGGAGAATGATCAGGTTACAGTACTAATGGTCTTTTTATACAAAAGATATGGCAGATGTTTTAGGAGATCTTTACACTCATTGATTATCTGTGGCTCTGAGGGAGGCATATGTCTGTGTTTCAGGGTGTATATGTCAGTTTGTTCATGGTCGTACCTTGTTCAGTGTAATATACATCTTTTTCAAAATTGTTCAATATGGCTAATTTAACATTTAACCAATATACAAGTCTGTTTCAATGGCTTTAATTCAAATTGCTAAATTAATATTGATCTTGTCATAAAAAATTCATTTGGGTATACATACTGTATGAATGTATAGTTTGCAGCGTGGTATTTGTCTAAATGATAATTACAGTTGAATGTTATATCTTGAACAATGATGAGCAAAATACCTGCTGCCAGAGATACTGTAAACCAACTATTATTCATGTCATCTTTTATTTGCGATTCGTCAGTTTGAAATCAATCCACGACGATTAATTTTCGCGATTGAAGAATTATTCTATACAAATACAAAGCAAAATAAATGGTTCTCGGTGATTAATATTCGCGAATTACCCGTAAAGAAGGTCGCGAAACTTGCGGATATTTCTCACATGCGAATATAAGTTGGTTTACAGTAGGCTGAGTAGGATCTATCGTTCTAACAATGCAATGAATTTCAGTCTCAAAATTTGATAACTCAAAATCTCTGATATCTTGCTTTTGTTTTTCAGTATGATTAGGTTAGAGATAGAAATTTTTGACCACCCTTTAACTGTAGCTGTCAACCAAACACCAATTCATCTAGATATCTAAATGCACAGTGAAAGTCCATACAAGTTTTGTAAACTGTTTCATGCACTGCAGGTCTCCTTTAAATGTTTACCACAGGGGATTAAACCAAAAACAGGGACCAATAATTCATCTTTAGAAAACCATACACCAAAATTTACTGGCATTCTGCAATTTTCTTGCATTTTTGCAAAGCAAATTGCTATTTAAAGATGACCATAAAGATGGGAACTCAAACTAAATTGGAAGTCTTTTAAAGTCATTTAAATTATTGAATGAAAACACACAAGAATTCAGCTCTATATCTTAAAAGTCTTGACAAGTATGTATACTGCAAAGCAGTAGACCACAGGGATGAACAAAGCTTTAAATTTAGATGTCTTGACCATTTTGTAGGTGGGAAGTCAACAAAAAAACTGTGTATAAGTTTATGAGAATAGCGAAGTGCATGAATATGCAGAGAAAAGTTGAAGAATACTAATGAAAAGAACTGAAACCCAAAGCTAGTTAGTTCATTTTTTTCACCTATATCTTTTAAATGAAAGTAATGTTTTATTTTTTTAGGTGGATTAAATCTCCAGAATGACTCTGGAGCGAAATCTACAGCCTGAGTACTCGTCAGTGATAATGAGTAGAGTACCCCACAGAACATCTAACCTTGACGTACCTCAACAACGCGATGAGCCGATCAATAGCAGAAACAGTCCGAGTACACTCAATGTCCTCACAACCAGCTCAGATTTTGAGTTTTCTAATAGGTATGTAATGAAACCTCATCTGGGATTCAAAATGATGTGTATAATGGTTCAAATTGATTTTCCTTTAGCTAAGTATATTAGATTTTAGAGTACATTTCCAAATGAAGTTGTGACAAGTTCATATTGCAGTATTATTGCCAAACAGATAAAAAGGAGAGGGTCAGGTTTCTTCTGTAGTTTTTGTAAAAAAAAAAAAAAAAGTCTGTAAAAGAGCACTGCATGAATATTAAATACCAAAATTCAGTCCTAGCACCAAATAAAAACAAAGGACTAAATTAATATGATCAATATGTATCAATATTCAAGAATGCATCATATCAAAACATTAACTTCCATTACTTATAAATCAGGCACTATAGTCTTAATTCTGTTTTTGAAAGTTTGGAATTTCAATCACCAGAGATTTGAAATAAAGATGACCTATAATGAAATAAACATTAAGCAGATTGCACATCTTAAATAATTAAATAATTATTGCATTACAGATACATGTTGGTATACAAATGTTAAAAGCTTGAATTGCAATTATATTTGTAATACATGACAGTAAGACAAGAACTTCAAAATAAATAGGAAAATATAACTCTGTCCTTATAAAATTTATGCTATACAGTATAATGATATGCAAGACAATACTCTGTTGTTATAAAGTGTATGCATATAAAAATTCGTAAGACTTGTTTAATAGAATGGATACAAAACTCTTAATATATTGCATATTGCTTTATAAAATATCATATTGTATTGAAATTTTTTTCTGCAGTATACCGCTGCAGACATGGTAGAGAAAGTGATTCTGTAGCTCAACTTGAGGATTCTACTGCTCAATAAACGATATGCTTTTCTCACTACATGTGTAAAGTACAGAAGGCAGATTATGCAGTGCCCAATCTTTTGAGATTTTAACATGACAACTTGGGAGAAAATGACCCTGCTTTTTCAGTGCTAGAAATATTGATGGCATAGCTACTGCAAATCAGATTTTATCATTTAGCATAAAAATGAATTTATATATAAAGGCAACTTTCATATTTAATTAATGAAATTTGTTATATCTTCAATAAATAAAACTTTGAATTACACATATAAAACTACATATAAAAATTGCAAGTTTATATGAATGATTTTTAAAGGGTAGCAATTTTGTTGAAGCTGCTGATATTAAGCATATGAAGCATATGAATTAGGGGCATTTCAAGTGAGGGTTGTATTTGTGTTAATCTCTGATCAATAGAGATAAAGGTATCAAAACACTGTATACATGAAAAAATATAATGGCATGAAATGGAAAACCATCAGTTTCAATAGAGTTTGAGGCTTATTGATAAAGGGCTGAGTTCCAGAGGCAGATTTGATAAAATTGATGATATTAAACTTGAAGTGTTTACTAACACAACCCAGATAACCCACAACAATAAACAGGTTTAAACAGCTGTTGGAGGGGTTATAGATTGTTTTGGGGAAGGATTGCTAAGATAAACTCTGTCTACCTCAAGCAGAACTGTCAGTAGGTAGATGTAATGTAGACAAGGTCTGGATTGGCTGGTCAGTGGGAGGAAATGGTTATCAGCTGATTTGATCAGTGTCATGTCTAGTTTTCATTAACCAATGATCTGATTGAGGTAGCTTATGGCTGTCCAGTTAATTTGTTCTTAGTTAAGCTAGTGGGTGACCACTAATTAGCTTGGTGTTTATGATTCTGTGCCGTAATCTTATTAGTCATTCCCCTGGCTATCACTTGCAGAGAATAATACAAATTAAAAGAGCAGTTTCTTGTAGAACACAATCATATTTTGTCATTTTAGAATTTTGTTACTGAAAAATTAGTTATAGGATCCTCCTATATAAGTATTTAATTTATTGTGAATTGACAAATAATTAAATCATTATTGAATAAGTGACTGTAAAAATAAATCTACCTGAGGCTAAGACGTACAGCAGATTGTAGTTTATATTAATGATGATAACTCAATTAAGTTTATTTTGAAAGGATTGAATTAGACCTTGATCTTTGAATTGCAGGTGTTAGGCCATTCTGTTGGTCATCACTGTTGTTTGTCATTAGTGTTACATTAAATATTAATGCCAGATAAATATGTGTGTCAACTAGTGATAGTGTCAACCGAGTTGTCCACAATGACATCACATCACTGATTCAGCTGTTTGTCACTATATATAGGTATTGGACGGTCATCAGGTGCAATTGCTGAAAGCATTTTCTACTAGAATCACCTCATTACCCTAAAATCAAAGTTCTTTACAAAATGATAAAACTCATTTTTTTTAGGATTGGTAATGCTATTGTTTAAGTGCATCAGATCACAAATAATTTTACTTAATACTTGTAGCAATATGTGTTTTTTGCTAAATATTAGAAGAACTAGGTTTATGTATACATGTATTTTTTTAATAATTCATAAAAAAAAACTCTTCTTTTTCTTCCTTTCTGCTATTTATCTTCATCATTTTCATGAAAATAGCATCAGAAAAATTTATTAGACTAGGTATTGATATTTTATTGTATGTGGGGTAAACATGTTTCTAAAAGTTGTTGTGAAGAATAATGGACATGCAAGACCGGAGATGAAAAGTTATAAATAATGACAAGGGCCCATTAAACCATGAAGTCATCAAAGACTAGGAATAAATTAATCAGATAATGCAGTGACAGTTTAAGAAGATGGATACTAATCAGGCCTTTGGTAGCATCACTTAGTGTCACTGTGACTCACTGGTCTTATTCAGCAGACATTTCACAATACCTGGGATGTGTATTGCCAAGCTGACTCAGTTGTTGTGATTGCTGAGCCAGAATCAGTGACCTTGTAGTAAATATGAACTCGCAGGCTAAGGGCAGGAGGCACTAACAGGGGTTATCTTATATATCAGAACATTTGGTTTTCAAAATTTAGAATATTGATGAGTCAATGGTTTCTTTTTATTTCTCAGTATTTAGACAATTGATACAATAAGGCATTGTTTGCCTCTTTTTCTTCTCATTAAAAACTGCCATTCTATGACATGTCCATGGACAACCAGACATATTCTTTTATGAGTGCTAGAACTTGATTAGTGTAATTGAATGATTTTCATGTAAAGAGGTTCGTTCCTGAGCTTTTTAGCAGATTTTTGTCTTGACCTCTATTTAAAAAAATCTGCATAATGTTTTAGGTCTTACAATAAATTTGGATTCTACAATGCTTATTAAACTTTATTCAATTAAAACCCAATGATTAAATTACATACCGAAGGCATTAAGTGGGGAACTATATTTTGTGGTGGAAGTTTTTTTTTTTTTAGAAGGAAATGGTCAATTTATCTCTTTCAAATTATCTACAATATTGTTAAGTTTGGATTCCTATTTTTACATTTTCACATAGAGTTATTTTGTGCAGTGAAATATTTTATGCTGGTTCTAAATCATATATTAAATTACACTGTCATGAATTCTATCATTATATTTGACAAATATAGCAAATATATTGTGAAAGTCCGGGAAAAAAATAACCCCATTAATAAGCTTAAAATTAACACTATTTTAGTAATATCTAAAAATCTAATATGTAATTAAGTTTGGTTAAGTCATGACCTTTGGGACAAAGATGGAGACAGAATATGGGGTCAAAGTTTTTCATGGAAATAAAAAGAGGGGTTAAAAAATCAAAGAAATTAAATACATGAAAAAGGTGAAAATATCAAACAGTGATCGATCTCAAAACAAAAACCTTCAAACACTACAAATCTGCGAACAGAGCATAAAACAAACCCCTGGAAATTCTAGAGGTAGGATCAGGTGCCTAGGAGGAGTAAGCATCCCCTGTCAATGTGAGCCTTATGTATTGATCAGGTAGACAGAATATTCTGTAGTGAAATTTAGTATAAACAAAGGCCTAACAATTGGTATGAAATATGTCAGTCAAAAAAGGACCCAGTGATAGGTTATATTTGGTCATTATAGCTACCATAGCATAGAATTTACAAAATGCTGACTTTAAACTAGGTTATTGAAATCCCTGTAACATGAACCCTATCTCGTCTTGAAAATTAATTGTACTCAGAGCATGCTCTTGAGTATTGAATAAGTTTGGAGACATAAACACCATATGCAGATGATAGTGGAATATTATTACATAAATAAGGAAAGTTAACTCTGGAAAAGCTGAAGTCATCTCGATTGTCATCTGAAGAAGAACAGTAGGGACAAAGTACATGTTTTACTCCCATGAGTGTTGTGACCCATGGGCCTTTTGCTATGATCATGCTCTTCTGTAAATTGCTTGTTGGTACATGTATATTGAGTATAAGTTCCATTGAGACTTTGATTTGGAGCTCAATTTGAGGATTATATTGTTCAATAAATAATATGAATTCTCACTACTAGTGTAAAATCCAGATGGCAGATATGTAATGCCCTGTTCACATGGAAAGTTTATTTCGCAGCAAATTAATGCTAAGTAAACTAATGCAAATTAAACGTTTACACGACAGCTAATGCAAGGTAAATTAATGCGAATTATTATTTTATTTCTACAACAAAGCTATTCAGTGAGGCTATATGACATCATTTACAAATCACGTCATATTGTGCAGAGCAGGTGTACATTTGACATAATGTCATAGTGTCTGTACACATCTTAGTGATAAACAATTTTCCTTTGTTTTCCACTCAAAAATAGCACAAGTACCTATATTTGACCATCGACATGTGGCCTGTGACTTAATTCTGCCCTTACACATGCGTCAAAATTTAATTCGAATTAGCTTCACTTAGCATTCACACGGAGCTAATGCGAAGTAATTTAATGCACAGTAAACTAATTCGAATTAAACTAATTCGCATTAAATTCTCCTTGTGTACGCAGATCAAATTTAATTCGCCGTAACTTACGTTTAAATCGAATTAAACTCTCCGTGTGAACAGGGCATAATTCCCAGTTTTCTTTTTAAATTTTGACATGTAATAGCATGCCATGTAAGACCTAACTTATAAGTGTTTTTCCTTTTAGGTACTAAAGTTACTGGCCATCTTGAATTTTTGTCCTTGTGTTTTGAATTGTTGAATCTTAAAACTGTTTATATACTTCAACAGCAGTAATTTAATGACCTTTTGTGACTTACCTGGTCTTGACCTACTTTTCAATTCTGCAATAAATCACTCTGAAACAAATTTCCCAGGGCAAGCCACTCTGGAGTTTTTATCTCAATTATTGTAATTGTTGCTGCTGTGGGCAAAAAAAATGTGTTCCTAAGATGTTCACTGTTCAACAAACTTTTCTTACAATTTATTAACTTGTTCATATTTATGAGTATTAGTATTAAGGGCATTTATTGTCTCATATGTTTCAATCTATCGATACTCTGGTTGAGCAAACATGATATTAATCTTATATTTGTAGCATGCTCCAGTTGGACCATGACCTTGACCAGTTAAGCTTGACTGAGAAGTCTGATGACTCCTCCTCCTCAACCTCCCCAACAGAGCCTCACTCAGCACCAGTCACCCCGGCACACCGTCAGGAGGGACCAGCCATCACTGTAGGATACCGCCGGGCCACACAGGGAGGGTTCCTGGAGGGGCTCCTAGGGTGTCTGAGGCCAGTGTGGACCATCATAGGAAAGGCAACCACAGCAGAACTTAAACAACAAGGTGACATATTCCTTAGATCTGTATTAGACAGCTCTCAGTTCTTTAAATCTGGAGATATTGAATTGAAGTATTGGCATGGTATAAGGTTATCCAGAATGTAAGATTTGGTCATACATGGTGTGTGTGTGTGTGTGTAAGGGAGGGGGGGGGGGTTAAATCCAGTTAACTAGAGTTTTTGGACAAGAGTTGTACATTGCATTAAGAAAGTTTGTTTTTCCCTTCATCACTTCTTCAGAAAGTGTGAAGCCTTTATTTGCCCATAATTTGGAAGGTAGTCATCCTGAAAATATCAAACGATAAAAGATCTACCATTTTCATGATTATGGGAATTACACAGACTTTATATGTACAGAAAATCACATTTAAGGGTAAGTAGTTCATTAATGGGAAAAATATGGTATATTGAACTTTTACATGTTCTTATCAGGAGAGTATGTGTGCATCATTCAAAAGGACAAGTTGGTCAATTAAGTCATAAACAGAACGTATTTAAAAATAGAGAACAATTTTGACCAAATGATAAAATTAAACTTGATGTATAGCTGAATATTTTTGCTTGATATCAGTTGTACTCTGTAGTGGATTGACGTCTTTGAATTTTTCAGTTGGCCCAGGGGAGGATGAAATATTCATATATGCATTCAAATATAGTCCATCTTACATTCCTGGAACCATAAAAATGATAATAGTCTCCCTTGGGTATAGACAATTTATACATAGTGTAGTTCAGCACATATAACTGTGTGAGCTTTCTTGTCATCATATCGGTTGATAATACACATAAAATTTCTGTCTTATATATTAAGATTTTATGTACAACCTTGTCTTGGGTCGTGTAGCCAGGAGCAAATACACTGTTCATTTTTCAAGTCTTCCACAATCACTTTAAAACTTGGATGGATAAAACTAGGTAGATATTAATTTAAAATTGTTTTCTTTAACACATGAATAAATGTTAAACAGACAGAGGGGGTCTGTACATATCCTGTTTTTATTTTCTCCCATCAATTCGAGTGGGTTGATCATTCAGGTTTCTTATTGATCTGCTAATACAGCATTTATGTTTAGTTTTTCTGTGTAAACGCAGATCAATTTTTGATATTAAAAGTTTCGATTGCCTGTGCGAGGTAGGGATATGTAAATATGCCTAAGTAGGTAGATTGGCTGTAGGTTGTAGCAGCTGTTTTGATATTGACGTCACAGCTGATGTCAGTGTAAACCGCCTGAGCCTGACCATGTCTCCCTGACTGTAGTTGGACCAGCGGATTAATGGGGAAAAAGTTACTGAAGGCTATTTGTTGTTATTTGTGTGGAGACAAACTCAGAGGTATTATTTATCTATGGGATTTTAATTTTCTTTTTCTGTCGACGTGTCTTGATTGCCTACTTGGGATAAGCTTACAGTTGCCATATGTTATGTTTTAGTCCTAAAAATTAAAAATTCTGCATCTTCCAAACTTAAAAAAAATACAATGTTTTACTTAACTTTTAATTCTTCAATATGCTGTGAGGTGACTTGGATGCAGAACTTAGTTGCTTCCTCAGTCAAAAAATCCATGAAGAAGCATTGCATCACTGCAGAAAATTCAATAAATTCTGCTTTGATTGTGCCGTATAATATTACATAATGCTTTCTGCTAAATCAGCATATAATTAATTCATTTTATTTCATTTTAGCAAAGATGTTAAAATGTTTTGATATCCAAAAAATGTTCTGATGTCACATGCCTATATAGGTTAAGGGGCTGTATGTAGCAGCTGCTGTTCGAGACATCACAAGATGTGATCGTTTTGTGATTGTAACAATTCTAAATAGATCAATAGGATGAGAATTTATTTATTTAAATTTGATGAAGTAGAATAATAAACAGAGATGGGTTTATCAGAACCAGGTGTATTACTGGCAATAGCCTCAGGTGAACTTTTTTTTTTGAAATGACAGTCATATTTAGGTTTATTCGATCAAACTGATTTGTGGAAATACTCAGGTTTCATTAAAATTTCTTAAAATTTTTCAGAAATCGCAGTGCATAAATTATGAAATTAAATAAGTGTGCATACACATTATTTACTCTTTACAATCAACTTTGTGCAAAAGTTATCGCAAATCTTGCTTGAAAGTATACACTACGACCAAAATAACATTGTGTTGAGTGATGACACTGTTGGATTTGACAATTGAACAATTTGAATCACGGGTTACATTCTATAAAACATGCGTTTTAATTGGTTGATTAGGACCCGCCCACTCTCGTGTAGTATCCTTTGCTTATATATATATATATATAGTTGAAACGCGTCCAGTGGTCTAGCCAATAGCCATATTTGATGGTCGGAAATTGGATGTTGACTTTTTGAACTAAAAAAAAGCAAAGGCAGATCCAGTTCCCCCCTGTTTGAATTTTTTGTATGTAGAACTTATATGTCCATTATCCTGAAATCAAGGGGAAAAACACTTCTTATTTGTAAGAATTCGTCAGTTGTATCTCAGTCAGATTCAACAGTGTTGTCACTCAACACACAACATTAAAGAACCTACTATCCCTTATTTCAGATGATTGGGAGATACCATTTGAAAACATCACAGATCTGCAGTGGCTTGGCAGTGGGGCCCAGGGGGCTGTCTTTTTGGGCAAGCTGAATGGAGAGGAAGTAGCAGTGAAAAAGGTCCGAGATGTCAACGAAACAGACATAAAAAATCTACGCAGACTCAACCATCCCAATGTCATCACATTTAAGTAACTACATTTTATAACATCTAAAGCAGAGTTGAGTTTAGTTTCTTTGATTATAAGACTATTTGTATTTTAATTAATGTGTATTACAGACTATGTTGAGTTTAGTTGTTTTGAATATAAGAACTAACTATATTTTCTTGTTTAGGGGTGTATGCACACAGGCTCCGTGTTACTGTATCATTATGGAGTACTGCCCCTACGGTCAGCTGTATGAGGTTCTGAGGGACGGGAAGGAAATCCCTCCTGCCCTGATCCTGGACTGGGCCAAACAGATCGCTAGTGGCATGCACTATCTTCACAGTCACAAAATAATCCACAGAGACCTCAAGTCACCTAAGTAAGTCCTCAGAGCAATCCTAATACATGGCTAAAGTGTCCTTTATACAAATCTGTGTGTCCGTTCATCAGTCTGTCTTGAAAAAAATATTTTAAAATGCTATTCCTTTGACAGTTTCTGCAGATGTGTCTGAAACTTAGTAAAAAGTGTTCAGATTTTACATTTAGAAACCTCGTTTCATTAATATACTGTAGGCTGATAGCTAAATGGAAATTTATTGTGTGCTTTTTCAGTATTCTTGTTGCCAAAAATGATGTAGTAAAAATCTCAGACTTTGGTACAAGTAAAACCTGGAATGAAAAGAGTACCAAGATGTCCTTTGCTGGAACAGTGGCCTGGATGGCACCAGAGGTGATCCGAAATGAACCCTGCTCTGAGAAAGTAGATATATGGTAATTAATTTCCTTCTGGAGTGGAAACTTTAATGCTCCATTATTTTACTTGATTTATCCCCTGGAAAGTTAATCAAGTAGAAATTTCATTAGGCAACATTTCACCATGATTGGCCCTGATATTAAAAAAAATTAACCATTGTGAAATCATTTTGCAGGTCCTTTGGAGTAGTTGTCTGGGAACTGCTGTCTTCAGAAATCCCATACAAGGATGTCGACTCCTCTGCAATTATCTGGGGGGTTGGAAGTAATAGCCTGCATCTTCCAGTACCCTCTACATGCCCTGAAGGATTTAAATTGCTCATGAGGCAATGCTGGTAAATACCTCTGATGTTTTCTTTAAAAATTTTATCTAGCTAATAAAAGTATGCACAGCTCTATTGCAGTGGAAATTTATGTGTACAACTTCATCATCACAAGATTTAATCAAATTTTTACATGGAGTAAAACTTTGAAGTTGGGATAACCCTTTATATATCAGAGTAAATGTGTTATAACACATGCTAAATTTACCTTGCAGGGAAGCAAAGACAAGGAATAGACCTTCATTCAAACAAGTTTTGATGCATTTGGAAATAGCAACACCTGAACTTCTGAAATATTCCTATCAAGATTTTATAACAGCACAGGTATTAATCAAATAAGTTATCCCGCCTGAAAATTCAACTTGGTAAAATTTTCTTTGAAGAATCAATGTCAGAGTCACTGTACTTGTGATTTAGACATCATATAGATAAATTTTGATTTCTTATTTTATTATCCAGACTATTTGGAAGGATGAAATTCGGGAACAATTACAGTTGATCCGATGTGAGGGAACACATATGCCCCACCTGGAGGAAGAGTTGATCAAACGTAGAAGAGAAGAACTCAGGTAAGGTAGAAAAATCAGGGATGGAAATCGTTCATTTATGAATTATTAAACCATAATCATCATATGTTGTTTTTTGCAAAAATATGTGAGAGTACTTTATGTATATTGTAGACATGCACAAGATGTCAGAGAGCACTATGAGAGGAAGTTAGAACGAGCTAACAATCTGTACATGGAACTGACTGCATGTATGCTGCAACTGGAGAAAAGAGAGAGAGAATTATTAAAGTAAGTAAGGGATTTACAACTTCCAAATGACTTGATAAATCCTTACTTTTGTCATTATTACATAATGAAATTCATATAAATATTTATTCCTTTAAAAGACGAGAGCAGCAATTGGCCATGTATGACAAGAAAAGGAAAAGTATTGTGCGACCAGTAATTCGAGCACAGGAGAGGATAGATAGACTGAGTAAAAAACGAACATACAAATCTGGCTCAGAGCTTACAAGGTACATTACAATGGCTATTGGCTTTCTAGAGCAGTAACTCTTCCTTCTTTCTAACAGTATACAATTAGAATGATTGCTTGATCTCTTTCAAGGAACAATTAGATAATAACACCAGAAAAATTAATTGTATCACACTGAATTATAAAGTAGCTATGATAAAATATTTGTTTTTTGAAATGCTGTATTAATTTGTGACATCTTTAATACTTTTCAGCCCTGACAACCCAGAGGGAGTCATGGACAGCAGTATGACCACGAGTTCCGAGCAAGTTTTACCGTCTCCCACAAAACTACGCATGAGAAAGAGTAGACATCGTCGTAACAACAGTAAAAGTAGCCTAGGCAGCATCTGGCAAAGTCCTGCGAAAACAGCAGCAGCAGTGGAAGAGGATCAAAACGAATACCATCTCAAACACTGTGACGAGATGGATGTCACTCCACGGGTTTTCAAATACTTAGGGCCTGGAACAGCCCTCAGGGAATACAAGTCAACCGAGGAGCTTCATCTTCCTCTGAGTGAGAGTGAGCGCACTCAGAGGCCGTTAGAACTTGGACAAGTAAATGAAGTTAGTGAGAAGAATGTGAATGATGTTTGTTTTGGGTGTGACGGAGTGTGTAGTGATCACACCTGTAACAGTAAGCGGTCCAGTAGAGTAAGTGTGGACATTGAGAGTAATGACTCACCCAGCTCTCCCTGTCCCATGAGTCCATCTCAAACAATGAATGATATAGAGGAAAACTGTAACCAATCAAAAGACAGCTCAGTAAGTGATGTGGAAAACACGACAAGTTACACACCAGATAAAGACTCCAATGAGAATATCAATAATTTTCCACTGAGAGGTGGAGTTACACAAACAAGTGGAGATTCAGTGTTTACAAGTGATTTACAAAATGAGGAAGATAATACTGTTATATACAACAGTGTCAAACGAACTTCTAGTGATTCAGAAATTAGGAGGTCGCCAAAATTAATGCAGCACAGACTTTCCAGTATTGAGTCTATAGATTCAACACCTGTTCTGGGGAGGGAGAGAAGAGCTAGGGCACATAAGGTAATATGCTAATAAAAACACAGATCACAGAAACAGCAATATTTTATAATCTTAAATCTAATTCAAATATTTCTGAAACAATTTTTTATTATATATTGTTTAATAAAAATTTAAATGATCTATTGTTTTTATACACACTGTGTACCATGGTAAATTTCTTGCAATGCTTTTTGAAATAAAATTCATTTTGATCACAGGGAATGTACAAGGAATATTTGGCTTTAATTTGCCATAGATTTTTGTTTATAGTTTAAACTGTAACAAACATGTTTGTTTTTTTTTTAAAATCAGAATTCAGAAGATTCCTGGTCTGAGGAAGAGGAAGGAGAGGTTAGTGATGACGGACAGGCAAACAGAAAACGAAGGTCATACTGTTCCACACTGAGCTCCGAGGGCTGTCTCTCAGAGTACGAGAACAATACCAGCGATCATTCCACGTCCTTCAACGGAGATGGACTGCTTTCCACCAACAGCTCGGAGAATCTCCAGATGGAGCTGGCAAACTGTGCCGTCACCTCAGATGGGCTGTCTGACAAAGAACTGACTGTTAGAAAAATGGCTCAGCAGGTCTCCAATTCTCCAGAGCGGGTCTATAAGGTATATATCCATAAGAAACATGGGTTACTCATGGAGGAACAGATAATATCATGAATTATTCACTTGGTCTTTATTTACTTTGTTCATCTTAATAAGACTATTTACATAGAACCTAATTTTTGACAAATTTTTGGAATAACACAATAAGACATTTGTTGTTAAATTTCATTTAATGTAGATGTCAGGGACTAAAAGTAGAATTTCAGCAATCATAAGTATTCATGATTTATATTATTTCATGAACACACATCATGTACATTAGAAAAGTTGCTTCGCAAAAAATAGATTCGGCCTAAATTAAAATATTGTTTGTTTGCCCTTGGCGGACAGATCCATGAAAATTAGGGCTTGTCTAGATATTTTATGCCTCTTTTCATTTATTTTTTTTTATTTGAATGGTATGTCTGTTTTCAGCAGGTAAATATTTTCCATAAAAACTCTTTTGAGGTCATTCAGATGATGTTCCTACGGAAGCATTAAATGTGTTGTTGACCGAGACATAACACCCTAAAATAGAAATTTCATTTGATATGTTGAAAGGAAAATTTTGTGGTCAAGAACAATTTTACACTTACAGCCCACTTTTGTGATGATGATTGCTTTACAGTGATGATAAAATTCTGCATTTTTTAAGATGAAAAAATAAGATATTTTACCTACCTACCCTTTGTTAAAAACCTGGGTCGGAAAAGGGCAAACAAACTTTACACTTTTTTTTATGTTTGGCCTCTAACAGATTTGATCCAAGTTATGTGTAAAAAGAGTTATATTTTTATATATTTTATAGACGTCAGACAGTAGTTCGGACTCGGACGAGTGCTCAGACATCACGGTATCTACGACAGTACATCGTACCCAGGCCTGGTGACATTGAACCAATGGCTGATTATTTAAATTCCATGTTGAAGTGGACCCAGTGACAAGGAAATTTTAGTTTATTGCTAACTCTATGGTTGTTAAAGTTGAAATATTGGTTAGTCCTGTTGTTTGTTTATATCACTGTATATCATACTCGATACATTGTCTGCATATCATTACACATCTCTGCTTTAAAATCACTGTGTTAAAGGTAGCTATGTAACAGCCAAACTGGACTGGAGATTACAGACTACTCACGCAAATTTCTTATCTTACAGCAGTCGTGCAAGTTGTCCTAAAATCGTTGGGTTCCATCAAAGAATATTTTGGAGTAGATCTTTATTAAAGTTCTAGAGAGTTTGACACCAAATAATGTCTTTAACAACAATCCTGTCTAGAAAAAAGTATAGGTTTAAGTTCATGTACAATAAATAGCAGCTTTCTTTCCTGAAACTCATGAATTTTACATTTATAATATTTAATGTACCAGGGTAACAAAATTTTACATTTATAATATTTAATGTAATGATGTGTTGCTAAGTGAACAGAAAAGTCCAAAGGAATTTTTTACAGGGCCTTTTCTAGGCACAGGACAGCTGATACATGTAATAGAAACAAAGTACAGTTTAACTTTGGTAACTCAAACACCAAAATATTGAATACCATGGATATGTCAAAGTGATTTGGAAGTTTCAACTACCTATTCTTTAAGAAGGTTTTTCTCAGTCCCATCAAGTTTGAGTTAATAAGGTTTGACTGTAGTATCCAATCTAGTTTGGCTGTACCTACAAAGATTAATTCATAACATATTTATAGGTCAAAGTGATTCGAAAAAAGCACAAAATTCACATTTGTCCTATGGGTATGTGTATTACATGTATATATTGCTGTGCAATGTAGCTATATGTAAGACCGAAATATATACTCTTAAAATTCTAAGGGTTATTATGTTGAGCTTTTGAATTCCACTTTAAGATAGTGATTATGAATGCCTGTTGGTTGTATTTTTGTGCTAAGTACTTAATGTTTTCCTCAAAGTTTAAAACAAAGAAATCCATGATACATTGTTAAATCAGGACTGTTGTCTCTAACTAATGGTGCCCTGAATGAAAAAGGGACTCTAGTCTGAAGGAAGTCTTTCAAGTCTGGGAAAGATGGAAATTATGTTTAATATCAATTGAAATAATTTGGTTACTAATAACGGGCTACTACTGGGCAAATCATATTGAAATTTTTAAGATGTCGATTTAATAATGATTTTAAATATTTAAAAAGTATTGCAGGGTGGAATAATTCATTAATTGGAATCGAAATTAATAATATGTAACAGAACTTTCAGAACACTTTACAAATTTTTTCCTGAATTAATAGCAAAGATACATAATGTAGATGTATTAAAATTCAGATCTTTTTCATTCTTTTGTCCAACAGTATTTTGAAATGTTACTTCAGGTATTGCATGTACATTTTGTTCTTGTTACCCTTTCCACAAAGTCATTTGATACCTGAATCTAGAAAACTGATTTCTATTTATTTGTATTTTTGCAGTGCTTCCATCCTACATGATTTTATGTTGCCTTCCATTCAAAGTAGCTAGTTATTAACAAGTCGTATTTTTTTGTGATTTCCTTTACAAGAACGAACTTTTTTTCTGATGATTGTATACCTTGAATTTACCACACTATACACATTTACTTGTCGATAGTTAAGTTGTACATATCATATCAGAATTTCATACATATATATATATATACCTCTTGGTATAGTTTTTTTTTTTTAAGAATTTTTAACTTTTTTTGTTTGGCCAAGTGCTCATTTTTATTTAGATTTTTTTTCTGTTAAAACATTCCAATATTTTATTGAAATATTGTTGACTATTGTACTGTTTTATCTTATTGTTGATATGATTTTTCAGGACTTTTCCATCAGTATGTGCTTATGAATTTGATGTCATTCAAAAGCTTGTATAGGTTGTTCATGAATTTTGTCATATAAATGCTTGTCTAGGTTGTTATTGTCAAGCATTGACTATAATCTGTAAAGCAATAATACAAAATAGAATAAGGTCGTATAATCACCAGCAGTTCAATGAACTTGATAGTACATGTAATTTTAGCTGCAGAACTGTGGCTCTCCAGAAAAAAATATTGATAGGCCAGAGAGCTACAGTGCCACCCATAGAAAAGAACTGTTTATTAATTGTGCACAACAAGTTTTGCTCGGTTCTGGATTTATTTCTCCAAATCCTTAATTCAACTGAACAAAAGCTCTATTTCAAAATGTTTCTTAGACTTCTATCAACTAATCTCATGGTTGACATTTGCAGGAAGCCCATTGCACAAATTGTCTTGCCACCCAAAAATTGCAGTAGTAAAAATTTTTTATGGTCTCAGTTTCCAATCCAGAAGGGCACTATTATCATTGGTTACAAGGAATGTTTTGTTGTGGAAATAGTAAAAGAATACATTAGGAACACATGGTTTGTAATATTTTGAGATTATGGAGAAATAGCCCATGAACTATAGATGTTCATTTTTTTTCAATGGATGGCACTGTAGCTTTCTGGTCATCCATTCCCATTTTTTTTTCAGACCAACAGGCTACAGATCTGCAACTTATGTAATTAATTTGTATATAGAATGCATTTTATCAAAATTGATGCTGCTTTTCTTTCATCTGTTTATTGCAGACGACCATGGTTCAGTTGTGTTTTAAACACCATTCTCCGATATAAGATGTCTTTATTGTGTTGGAATTGTAAATAAAAAATCTGTGACAAACAAATATGTGTCATTCCTAAGATGAAATGGGAAGACTCAGAGTTTTTGAATTTATGTCATTCAAAGAACTGCAAACACTAACTCCTGATTCCCGCCTACATTTTACACACACATAATTCAACATAGGAAATATTTGCTTTTTGATCTTTTTTGTGTGCAAAGTTGACTTCATTAATAATTGATTGATAGTACTGATATTAGTGTTAATTAACTAATTGCTGTTAAATACAACTCAATCTGATAAAGGGGTATTTTTTATTTTTCCATTGAAATCAGACTTCAAAATGTAACCCAATTTTGAAATATTCATGGATATGGATAAATGACCTCTAATCTTTACCTTCTAAAATCTTTTGTAAAACTAATTGTATCTGATTCATTGAGTAAAAGTTTATAGTTGTATATTTATATTTTAAATTGGTCACAAAATGCATCCCCTATGGCACAAAGAAAATAAATTGATATGAGGTTTAGAATTATCAAATCTTGTCAGTTGATGCATCATATGACCTCAAGATATACTGACCCAATATTAGGTCACAGTAACTTTTTAAATTTTGCAGTTATTTATTTTCAAATAGTTTTAGATGCATTATCTTTTACTTTTTGAAGCCTAGGATCATCAAACTTTATAAGTCTAGGGGCCTGTCAGTTGGTGCATCTTGGGGGCCTCGAGGTATGTCAACTAAAAAGTAGGTAACAGTGACCTACTTTCCAAATTTCATGGCTTCTCATTTTAACATTTTTTAACCCACTATGACCTGTAGAGTCACCAAATCTAAATACTTGATGCATCATGGGCCCAGGGATTTGTAGATTCAAAAGTAGGTCACATTTGAAATTTACAGCTAAAGTACATGTTTTCATGGATATTGGAGGATGACCAAGCAGTGTAAATGTTGAACAGGTCCAGCACAATCTTTTGATTTAGCTAAATAGCTTGAATTAGCTGTATAGCTTTATTAAGCTATTGAGAATAGCTTAATAAAGCTATTTATATGCAGTTTTTCACAAAAAAGATATTTTGAAAGATTGAGAAGCCCATGGACCACATTGCTCACCTGAGCACTGTAGCTAGGAAAAAAAGCTGAAATTAGTTTAGTATTAAAAAGTATAAATGCATAAGTGGCCCCTACCTACCCCTAACAAAAGGGGGGGGGGGGGAGGGGTATGATTTGAACAAACTTGAATCTACACTAAAGATGCTTACACATTTGACAAACTATGGCCTTTTTTCCTATAAGATTGAACTCTCATAGTGGTCCCACCCTACCCCCAGGGGTCATGATTTGAACAAATCTAAATCTAAACTACCTGAGGATGCTTCCATGTAAATATGACCAATCATGGCATAGCTGTTCTTGAGAAGAAGATTTTATAAAAAAAACTTCCTATGTATTCTGATGTACAACATTGCTCGTCCATTTTGGCCCTACATGATTTGAACAAACTTGAATCTACACTACCTGAGGATGCTTCCATTTAAATATGACCAATCCTGGCATTGCTGTTCTTGAGAAGAAGATTTTAAAAGATTTTCCCTATATATTCCTATGTAAAACTTTAATCACCCATTGTGGGTCCTACCCCAGGGGTCATGATTTGAATGAACTTGAATCTTCACTGCCTGAGGATGCTTCCATATATATTTTACCAATCATGGCTTTGCTGTTCTTGAAGATTTTTAAAGATTTTTCCTATGTAAAACTTTGATCATCCATTGTGGCCCCACCGTACCCCCGGGGATCATGATTTGAACAAATATGAATCTACATTACCTGAGGATGTTCCACATAAGTTTCATCTTTCCTGGCCCAGTGGTTCTAGATAAGATATTTAAAAGATGCCATTAATTTTCCACTAATTTGTAATTATCTCTCCTTGAAAGAGGGTGTGACTCTTCATTTGAACAAATTTGAACCCCCTTCATCCAAGGATACTTTGTGCCAAGTTTAGTTGAAATTGGCCCAATGGTTCTGGAGAAAATGAAATTGTGAAAAGTTATAATTAATGATGATGACAGACAAAGGACATATTTCAGAAAAGCTCACTTAGCCTTCGGCTCAGATGAGCTAAAGAGACAAAGTCGCATCGCCAAGTATTTGACTATTCATATATGGACTATCAAGAAAGCAACCCATGTAAAAGATAGTTCTAAAATTGATTATGTACTTATAGCATACTACAAGGGCCTTGAATCGCTCTTCTGATAAACTGTACAACCTGTTACTTCTATTTGAAGCCTCTAAGTATCCTGTATTTTTATATAAAGCCTTGAAATTCCAATGGTAGGTCATCATGACCTACATTTTAGATGAAACACTCTGAGAACCCAAGATGATTCTAAGCCAATTTGTACCTGAGAGTAGGTCATGGTGACCTAATTATCACTTGTCATTCTCTGAGGACCCAAGATGCATCAACTAAGTTTGATGATTCTAAGCCAATTAATACCTAAAATATTTTAAAATCATAACCATAAAATTTCAAAGTAGGTCACAGTGAGCTACTTTTCAGATGACATACTTTGAGGACCCAAGATGCATCAACTGACAAAGTTTGATGATTCTAAGCTAATTAGTACCTGATATATTTAAATAGAGCCATAAAATTTCAAAAATAGGTCACAATGACCTCCTTTTCAGTCGACTAACTCTGCGGACCCAAGATGCATCAACTGACAAAGTTTGGTGATTCTAAGCCAATTAGTACCTAAAAAATATTTAAATAAAGCAATAAAGTTTCAAAAGTAGGTCACAGTGACCTACATTTCAGTCAACTTACTCCGTAAACCCAAGATGCATCAAGTGACAAAGTTTGATGATTCTAAGCTAATTAGTACCCGAAATATTTCATCATAGCCATATAAATTGAAAAGTAGGTCATGGTGACCTACTTTTCAGAAGACATACTCTGAGGACCCAAGATGCATCAACAGACAAAGTTTGATGATTCTAAACCAAATAGTACCTGAAATATTTTATTAAAGCCATAAATTTTCAAAAGTAGGTCAGGGTGACCTACTTTTCAGTTGTGGTAATCCAAGGACCCAAGATGCATCAACTGACAAAGTTTGCTGATTCTAAGCCAGTTAGTACCTGAAATATTTAATTAAAGCCAAAAATTTTAAAAAGTAGGTCACAGTGACCTACTTTTCCATTGTTGTACTCAAAAGACCCAAGATGCCTCAACTGACAAATTTTGATGATTCTAAGTCAATTAGAACCTGAAATATTCAATTAAAGCCATAAATTTTCAAAAGTACGTCACTGTGACCTCTTTTCAGTCGACCTACTCCGTAGACCCAAGAATGCATCAACTGACAAAGTTGGATGATTCTAAGCCAAATAGTACCCGAAATATTTAATTATAGTCATATAAATTGAAAAGTAGGTCACGATGACCTACAAGATGCATCAACTTACAAAGTTTTATGATCATAGGCCTTAAAATGTCCAAATTATGCCTCTAAAATGCTTTGAAATTGAATGCCTGCAAAGTTCAAAAAGTAGGTCACTGTGACCTACTTTTTAATAAATACGTTTTATGGCCCCAAGAAGCATCATCTTACAAGATTTAATGATTCTAAACCTCTCAGTATTCGAATTAATGACCTTAATTGTTTTGAAAAAGATAAGCCATAAAATTCAGAAAGTAGGTCAATGTGACCTACTTTTTAGTTGACGTACTCCAAGGACCCAAGATACATCAACTGACAAAGTTTGATAATCATAGGCCTTAAATTGTTCAAAATATCCCTCTAAATCATTTTGAAAAAGAATGGCCACAAAATTTAAAATTTTTAAAAATTTTTTAGTCAACATGATATCAGGTCCTTACATGCATCAACTGACAAGATTTGATGATCCTAGTCCTTATAGTAAGCAAAATATCAACATTTTAATAAAATGTATTTTTTGGTCTAAGTTTGGTGATAATCTGCCCAGTGGTTCTTGAGAAGAAGATTTTTTTGCAACCTTTTGTTTCTATTTTCCTAATTATCTCCCCTTGTTTAAGGGTCACAACCCTCGTTTTAGTATAAACTATTTGCATAGAAATGCCTATACCTTGCCTTAACTCACCTGCGAATGTAAAATGTTCTACTGTTCCTTCAGCCTTGCATTAAAGAAGACTTTGAAGTATAATCCATCTATAGGCCAAGCTTGTTGAAATATCATTCATTGGTCAGCAAACTTTATTGAAATATGTATGATCCACCCGTAGACCAAAGTTAGTTGACATAGATTTACCTATTGGCAAAGCTCTTCATTAGATAGAAAACAAATAGGCTAGCCTGTTGCCCATTTCCCTTCCTTTCCAATACACTTTGATTAAAGTATGGTTTCAATTAAAAGCCTAAGATATCGAAGACATTTTTATTAGTTATTTAATATACTTCAAACATTCTAATATTCAGTTTTTACACAAAAAATTTCCTGTAATACAGTCAAACTTTGTTATCTCAAACTCAATGGGACTGATAAAAAATGAGATACCCAAGTTTTCAAGATATCCAGGGTAAAATACTTGAAGAATAAGGGGTTCAGACTTCCATATCACTTCAACATATCCATGGTGTTTGAGATATCGGTGTTCAAGATACGGAAGTTCCATTGTATGTGTTCACATATTTTTAATTACAAATTACAGAAAACTGGCAGTCTAACATTTTACTAACATTTGAGAAAATTACATTAAAATCTTCAACTTTTATCCTCTAATCACTTTATACTTTTGTATAGAAATTGTACCTGTTTAGCTAAAAATACCCATATTACTGCATCCCCTAAATAGGCAATAGTCATGTCATTAGTCTTGACTCTTTGTTCATTCTCTAAGTACTAATGATGTAAATTATACTTTGAAAAAAATGCCTCACAAACATTTTTTTTATGTTTGTGTTACAAAATTCTGAGGCAATGTAATACAATGGCCCATTAAGAATTCATAATAAGACCTTTGACCTCAAAATCTGTAGACAATATGAAATCATTCAATTAATTTCAAAACATATACACTGTACTGTAGATTCCTAAATATACATGAGGAATTAATTATCGCATAATTACGCAAAAAGAACCTCTCACGAAATAAAATTACTCACTTTAATTTTTGTGGTACTGAAATCCACATAAAAAATCTTAATCAAGCGTCCACTCGCGAATTATACTTCTCGCAATTTGTTGTTTAAGGGCCATTTCGCAATATTAAGTACTCACGTAAAATAAGAAATCCACAGTACCAGCTGTAGAATCATATACATGAGCAATAGTCAGGGCAGGTATTTGGACTCTTTATGAAGTGACCCCCAGAACTCATGTTTTCATCTAAGTATCCTCCATCCATTTATTAAATAAGATCCCTTTAGGATGAAAGGTACTCAAGTTACCACAACACATAAAGGTGTGGATGGACAGAGAGACAAACACACTGCATGAAAGAAAGACAAACAGAAATTGTGATTACTACCTCCATCTTGTTGCAGGGTCCTAAAAATAAAATAAATGCAAACATCTGTCTTTCCTGCACTACCATTTTTCCCACATAATAATATTATCACACTTTACCACAATCATATTGTACAAACATTATCTGTCAACAAACTTACACCTGTACCAACAATTTAATTCACTGACATCAAAACTTTAACTGTATACACATCATGCACATGCACAGTGTACAAACAATATGATACAAGTATGATACACATGTACAGTCATGTACTTTTTTTACTTCATAGTTCAGTCTTTTTCTTCCTAAATACTAGAGACAAAACTTTTTTTTTTAATTTGTTTTGCCATTCCAAGTTTTTTTTTTCTGTTTAGCATCCACGTGCACATGGTTTTTGACACCCCATATCATAAAAAAACACACACAAAATCAATAGTCCAGAAATTAATAATTTTTTGTCAAAACTTTTAAAATTCTATCAATTTCTTTCAAATTTTGTTTTTGGTATATGCATAGCATTTATTACATGTACCTTGATTTTGCACAGGAATATATATTTCTATGAGAAAGCTAGAATAATTAAATCAAATCTTAATGAGGACATTTTTAGGACTTAAAAGTGTGTGTTTTATTTTTTTGGCTTGTCTATTTTTGAGAATAGGTAGATAGGATTTTGAATGAAAGGTGGATGGAAAACAAAGAAAAAACTTAGAAGGCCTTAACAAGTTTATGCCAAGTACAGATTAAAAAATAATTGAAAATTAACATTGTTTCCATATATAAGCATAATTTTTATGCAAAATGTAGAAGAATAGATTTATTAACAATTAAAAGGCAGAAGTCACACCATTTTTTAAAACTAAATCTATTTTCAATTTGACTTTAGGCTTGTAAAAAATAGGTAATAAATCTTTTATACATCCATAGTGTATTAAAACACATCCCAAAGCTTGGTAGCACCTTTGAATGATGAGATACATGTAGCTATAATCCTAGTGATTGTCTAACTGTCCTGTGAGCTATTTCAGTGAATTTATCTCTGTTCTCACGCCATGTCTTGGCTGCGTCAACATTGGCTGCACTTTCATCATTGGGCTCTGTCAAAAAAATGACACAATTCAAAGAAAGGCTTGAAAATTATTACAGCTGTATTTATGAGAAGTTAAATATTTCTGTCCTGATTTGAAATCCCCCACCCCCAACAATTTTTATTTTATTTTTGAAAAAAAAAAGTGGGGGGGGGGGGGGGGAATAGATGTGTCGTAACGCCATGAATGCCCCTGCAGGCAGCCAAAATTTCAAATGCCATATTTAGTTTTCAATTTGTTTGTTGACTTTGACCTGTATTTTCTGGAAAAATACCTGCACATGCAATTTCAACCTTATACATAACATCCCTACAAAAGTTAAAGAGTGGAAACGTGGAAACTGAAAATTTCATTTTTTTCTAATTCAAGAAGAATATAAACTCTGCCAAAAATCATCAAACCACAACTAAATTAAAACTTGACCTGTATTTTCTGGTGAAATACCTACCCGGTACATATGCAATTCCAACCTTATACATACATCCCTACAAAAGTAAGAGAGCGGAAACTGAAAATTTATATTTTTTCTAAGTTCGAGAAGCACTTGCTCCGTGATCGGAAGGTTGTGTGTTCAAATCATGGCCGTGACTGACCTCGCATGAAGTCGATAAAAAATATGTAACAACTGTTTCTTCGCCAAGCGCTCGGCACTTTGAGGGAAAGTTTTGGGTCCTTTGGATGAGACCTTAAAAACTGAGGCTCCTTGTCACAGTAGGCGTAGGCACGATAAAGAACCCTCACTGCTCAATGGCCCTGAGTGCCGAGTAAAGGTCTAAATTTGAAGCCCTTCACCGGTATATGGTGATGTCTCTATATGAGTGAAAAATTCTAGAATGGGACATAAAACAACATATAATCAATCAATCTAAGTTCAAAAGGGATAACCCTGTAAAAAATCATCGGACCAAGACCAAATTCAATCTTGACCTGTATTTTCTGGTAAAATATCTGCATAGCCAATTTCAACCTTATACATACATCCTTACAAAAGCTGGAGAGTGGAAACTGAATTTTTTTTTCTAAGTTCAAGAGGAGCAACTCTCTCAAAAATCATCCTATGATGTATCCATATGTCAAATTTGAGTTGAATATGTGCAACTGTTGCAGAGATAATGATCGGAGAGTCAATGATGACGGAACAGGGTAACACTATATGCCCCCGGCCATTTTATGGCGGAGCAAAAAAAATCCAGGATGGCAGCAATGTGTACCTTGTGATTTATTAGTTAGGGATTCTTATAAAAATATAACATCAAGTGCCTGTCATGTACATTGAATCAGTAGCTTTTTTCAAATGGGTTTCTACATTAAGACCCACAGTGATACAAAAACCAGAAAAATAAAGAATTTTGCAAGGCCCATGCATATTTTGTTCAATTCTTGAAAAAATAAGGTTTCACAAAATTGCAGGTTTCAGAACCTAAAAAATCCACTTTTATGATAAAAATTATAATTGTTGAAATGTCTGGCTTTACTCTTCTATCATGATTGTATGCTTGTGAAGAAAGCATGAGTTACAATGGTCTCAAGTCCCAAACAGTGGAATATTAGTAGACCAAGTATTGTCATTTGCGACAGAATCTTTGAAGATGATTAAATCACAACTAATGTTTGATAATTTGTTCACTACAATTAAAATTCATGTGACTTAGACGATAACAATAATACAGCGGATACAACTTTTGTTTTTCAGGCATTTATATATTCAATCTTTGCTTGCTTTACAGTGCAGTTAAGTTAAGCTAGTCAAAATCTCGCTAAATTCATATTGTAAATTAGAAATCCTTCAATTTCTGATATTTGTGATACAAATATCAAACAAGACATAAATGTAAATCAAAGATCATGACTCACTGAGTTTCTTTAACAATTACAAACCTTTAGCTTAAACCAAGTTAATTTAATTTAGAAAACAAGATAAACAATTCGGGACTGTAAGTGTCTAAAAAAATCTCTCCATTACCTGCCAGCATACTAACAACAGAGAGTAGAATTTTCTCTACACTTTGAACAGGACTCCATCGTTCAGCACTGGTTTCATATCCCATAGGATCATCTCCTGGGGCATGTAGGATAGAAATGCATACTCTTCCATCTGGGTATACTGAAAGGATGATCATATTTTGAACTAATGTTTGATAATTTTGTTTCATTTTCTCATCAAATGCATGACTGATTACGCCAAGTGTCTGCTTTATTCATTGTTCTATCCACATTAAGCCTGTGAAAGCAGTTTTACTATAGGTAATTGTTGTATGGCTGTCTTTGATAGTTTGGATAACTGTACATCATTGTTTCAGAATGTTTGAAATGATGTCTGTACAGTATCTTGGAATCAAAACATTAATATGCTCTTTATCTTTTCTTTTCTTATGTGCATATTTTATAATAAATTGGAAATTTGTCAATCAAGTGATTTATCAATACTAAAATATAACAATGTGTAAATTTCTGTACTTTTTGAAAGACTCTATCATACTAGTTTGTTTGTTTCCAGTTATATGTGATCCTCACAATGTCAAGGTTTTGTGATTTCGGAACTCCACACAAACCCTTGACATAAGTCGTTATCTAAAAGTTGGGCTTGTGGTTACATGTGACGTAATGGGTAATTATAAACTAACCAATGAGAATATATTTTTTAAATCTGTTGTTATCATATTGTCCAATTCCAGAGCATATTTTTTTTATTGTAAGAAGGACAATCTTCAAAAATTAGTCCCCGATGTTTTATTTAAAGTAACTAGTCACAAATCCTACAATATTGACACTTTCCATTTTAAAGACGAGTCATATTTGTTTACAAAACTTACCTACAATAAAAGTTGTTTTCTGATTGGTTCCAGGCCTAGACCAGGAACAAATGAAATAGTAGCTTTCTAGCCCAACTTATAGATAACGACTTATGTCAAGGGTTTGTGTGGAGTTCTGAAATCACAAAACCTTGACATTGTGAGGATGGTTATATGTATCCATTCTGACTAAATATGATTTTGCATTAATTAATAGCTCGCTGCGCTCGCAGCGCAAAGCTCCGCTCGTCACTGCGAGCTCTAACGACAATGCCTGGGCGAAGAGAAAATTCGGACTACTGCACATTCATTCAATAGAATTTTTTTCCGCAGTAATTCTGGACCCACAATGCATCGCTTCTTGTTCTCGCTGCTAACTTCGTTCGTGTGGTTACAACAACTAAAAATTCACAAAAAATAAACTCACCTTAATTTCAAGGGTATTGCATACAGATAGTAGATTAAATCTTTGCACTTTTTAAACTTTGTTTATGGAAATGCAGCTAACATACGACGTCATGTGACGTCACAGTCTAGATGTTCCAAATGTCTCGTGCGGTTTGACGAGGCGGATCTTAACGAATGAAGTGAACAATGCGCTCGCCCCAACGGTCGCACCGTCAACATATTAAACTTTTAATTGTTAGTGAGATATTCTTATTTGCATATATATATATATATATATATATATATATATATATATATATATATATATATATATATATATATATATATATATATATATATATTCCAAATTTATCTACTATCATAAAAAATGAGGTGGAAGTATTCATACGGGACAGAAAATACAAGAAAACAAATATACCTACTGTTCGGGTGAAACAAATCACAGGTAAATTTCATCTTAGGGGGACTCAATGGATAGTCAGGTGGAAAAGTTAGTCTTGAAGGAAATACACCACCCTCAAAACAAGTACCTTCTGGGCCCCTGTAATATAAATTTTAAAAAATGAGATTGGGATATGTTACGATGGGAGGGATTTATTTTTTTGTAGTAATTTACATATTTTCTTACATAATATATGCTTCCCACTCAAAGAAATTTTCTTCATCTAAAGGACCAGCAATTATTCCCTCTGGTGGATTAAGTGTAAGCTCTGTGAAATAAGTGTAAGCTCAGTACATGTGCAATATAATAATACACCACAATGAAGTTTGACATTGTCATAGGCTTAATCATTCAAAACTAATAACTGTTCATCAGGCATCTTACGTTTGTATTCTGCCATAAGTCGTTTTAATGCTGACCCAGCCATGGTGTTTTCAGTATTCAGACATCTTCTAAATATACTCTTTTCATCAAGAAGGTAAGAAAGTCATTGGTATCACGTGATATTTATCAAGAATTTCATTGGACTGATTGAGCGGCTAAGTTCGAAAAACTTAGTATGGCAACAGACGGCCCTCTAAAGGTTTGTTCTTTCAGTATTTTACATTTTAAACAGAATCGACACTGTATCGACATTGTATTGAATGTTTTTTAAACAGTTAATATCCAAATATATAATAGTTTTGGGCGATCTGTAAGTTGTTCGGCTACACTAGTCAACATACCGAGTATGTACCAAGGGTATTTTTAAAAAGTTTTAGTTTTTCATAAAATCAAAGACATATGCATATTATCAATCACTTTTTGGCATGATATACCTTAATCATATATTTAGTATTTCGTTTATGAACGTTGACCGTAATTTATTTTATTTATGAGATCGGGATCGAAATGCAATGTACGAATTTTCATAAATGGAGGGAATGTTGACCCTGTTTCTAGCTCTAATTAATTAGAAAAATCAGATGAGATCATTGTCGATATCAGATTTATCATGTGAAAACGATAGTCTTAATCTATTTACATTGTAGACTCTTTTTAATAACATAAACAAGAAGAAGGCAGGGGAGACAAAGGCTTCAGCGATGGATTCTGAAAATACAGACATCGTGCATTTACCGGGAGATGCTGATGGAGGCAAAGGGAAGAACAAAAGACTTTCAATTGAGAGGATCTATCAGAAGAAGTCACAGTTGGAACACATTCTACTCCGTCCAGATACATACATTGGTTCTGTAGAATCTGTTACTCAGGTAACAAAGAAGTTTCCTGAATGATGATCGTTATCTGTAATACTGACTACTGTAGCAGCGATTTTTTTCTACTGATTGGGAATGGGTCTGGTACCGATTCATTTGGGAAAATAGTGTTGAAATAGAACTGATAGAACAAAGGGGAATTTTCTGTCACAACAAAATATATTTATTTTATGTTTATTCTAAATTAATTATTAATGCACATTTTAAAAAATAAATAAAAAGCAGTCATTACTTTTCTTATTAATGTCCCTTATTCTTATGTTTTCATGCTTCCTATTTGTCAAAAATTTAAGAAACAATGCTGTTTACAACATTTGTCTTGCCATTTTACGAAGGCATATCTACTTTCGGTTTAAAAGGTACTGAGAAATTTAGTCAACTTGTTCATCTTTTCTACAGTGTCATTGCACTTTGTTCTTTAACAGTTAAATTGGGAATTTTTAGTCTCAAAATTGGGAAAAATTTACATTTTTTGGCATTTGGAATGGTACCATTCATCAATATCAGTTAAATATAAGGGGGAAAAGGCTGTGCAGTGTTTTAGTTAGTTAAAATAGCATATCTGAGTCTCAGGATAGTTAGAATAATCTAACTGTGTCTCAGGACAAACCCTCACCAGAGTTAGAATACACCCAATATAGTTGCAATTAGGGCTGGATCAATATAATATCAATATATCTTGAAATGTATCGATATTCAAGTGGGTGTCAATCGAAACATTACCTTCCAGTATGTATCAATCAGACTGCTTTTCTTTTAACAGTGTAAAAGTTTCAATCAACAAAGATTTCTTTCAAGTGTTCTGAATAAAACTGGCCAATAATGAAATAAACATTAAGCAGACTACATAACTTAAATAATTATTGCACAAGGATTTTTTAGGGTCTCTCCAGGGTCAAAATTTCGGTCCAATTCTGAATGCTGAAAAGTGCATGTTTTTCCCAAAATTATACTGACATTAAATATGCTCTAAATCTGGCTCCATACAGAACTATGTCATTCCTGCCTTTTTATAAATTAAGGAAGATATAATATCTACCCTTTATATTTTTCCCAAATATTGAGGATTATTGTATTTCTAGATATTGCTATGAAAAAATATGTATTTGAAAAAGAATCAAATCACTATACTATCTTATGATGATTTTTAAAATTTTTATTTCTAATTATTTTGTCTTATGTCCTTGTAGGCCATGTGGGTATTTGACTCTGACTTGGATCAGATGGTTTTGCGAGACATCACATTTGTCCCTGGACTGTACAAAATTTTTGATGAAATCATAGGTAAGAAACTCAAACAGTTTGTAATGAATGGAATACATGCTCAACTGCTCATTTTTTATTTTAGGCCAAATAAAAAAATATGTGTGGTTCCGGTTACCCGACCTTCCCTATTTTATACCCCCGACCCTAAACTTTTTTTTGGCAATTTTCATATTTTTTCCGGAATTTCTCCCGATTTCCATCAATGGCTCCAGTTTAAGTTTTAGTTTCAGCAATGACGGCCTCCGTGCAAAACATAGTGCAAGTGTTTAATAGTGTTAAATCCAAAGCAAGCTAGCATGTAGGTGTCCCCTACCAATATTGACTAGTATATTATCACACCAGATCTAAATGCCATTTGCAAAGCAATGATAGGTATTATTTAGAAAAAATTAAGAAAATCATTTTGTTAAAAAAATCCCTACCTACCTACCCTAATTTTTTTGGAAAGTGTAACCGGAACCACACATATTTTTTTGTTTGGCCTTATTATTGTAAGTATTATTTAATTTATTTTTTTTTCATATTGAATTCATATATGATCATGTTTATTGAATTAAACAGGCTGGAAACAATTGACCAAATGGGTTATTATTTGGTTCTGATTACTAGGGGTGAAGCAGTTAACCCCAGTGTAGTTGAATTAGCGGAGGGGATGTAGTATCGCAATTGTGCATATGTGTGTGTGTTAGTGTGTCCGTTACATCTTGTTGGCAAGATTTAAAGAGAACCTTTTCACTATCAATTCTAAACCTCCACATGCTTATGTGGCATTGTAAAAGGATAAACCCTATTCATTTTCAAGTTAATTGGTGAAATATTTCTGAAAATATTGCATTTTTACTACCTTCAAACCATGAAATTTTAAGGTACAAGTTGACACTACTCAATTCTGGTTAATTAAACTGGTACCCTGTTGACCGGGTAAATTTGGGTTGCTTCGATAGAGTTGCTTCGGTAAGATGGTGTACTAACATTGTACTTGCGTATTGTCATATTACTGTGCTTATCTTGAGACGGTCTGCATGAAATAAAAGTTTTTCTCTGACAATGAGTAAATGAAATAATTTGATGAACATCGGGGGTTTATTACCAAATTAACATGTGTCTGTTTACAATATGGAAATTTTTCTTGAGGTGCACATAATTCTTGAAAGCTATAAAGACATTTCACAAGTTTCATCGACTTCTCAACACCGGTATATTATCATTTTTTATTACCAATAAATATTGTTTCTTTGAATATTCTAAGATTTAAAGCATATTGCATGCAACTATGAGGTATACTCAGGTAGGTAAATTACTGAAATTTAGAGCATACTTGATATGTTTCTGCTAGGAATAAGGGAAACTGCCCAATAACATTTGCATGTTATGCCCCCACCTCCCCCCACCAAGATGATATGCATCTTGATTTTTGCTAAAAATGGACCAGCCCACCCCAATCAAAATAGATGATCACATTGAACTGTAAGGGATTGTGCGATATTATTGAAAAATTCTCCCTCAGCGTAGATGTCCTGTAATGAAACTTCTTTTTTTTTTTAAATCTGGAGATAAAAGTATAGCTAGGTGTAAGATTTTAAGGCATCCAACCCATAATAGCCTCAGAGTCAGTGAAATAGAATGCATAGTAGATATGAATGGGCTGAATGTTTTTGTATCAGTATGTAAGCGGAACATACCCTAATTTATGATTGTGTCCTGTCTTTGAAGAATTATCCCCCTTTGTTTTTAATCAATAAAAATCAATTCTAAAAATATCGGGTAAAAAATGGTTTTCAGTTGTTTTATTTTCCTAATGATTAAATACATCTTTCCACCAAAACATTTATGAATATTCTTAGTATTTTTTATTTTTAAAAATTTGCTTGTCCCCGTAGACTTCAATGCAATATTCATTGATTATTAATTACTGCTAAGGTAATTATATTTTTGAATTTATCTTGGTAAATCCTTTTCTATTCTGAAATGCTTTGAATTGATATCAGAGTATTTTATATATGATGGATATTTAAGGTTAGAAATATGGGTCTGTTACCTTAACTCATACTTTGGCTCCAAAACACAGAATGATTGAAATCTCAACTTGTCTGTATAAGGAAACATAAGCAGTGAATGGAAGCTGAAATTCTGTGTTGCCCTAGACCTAAAAAAATTATGTTCGTTTCCTGTAACATTCCCAGAAATTTGAGGATCGGTAGGTCGGTTTTTTTTTTTTATTATTATTATTTTTTTTTGCTTATGAATAATGGGGTAAAACATCCGGGGACTGAATTATCCAGGTGTTATATTTACAGTGGACACCCAACGTGGCTGCCTAGCGGCAGAAAACGAACTTCAAAAAGTTGGGAAGGGGGGGATTGATTACTCTTTATATTTAAGCTAAATGTTGACAAAGTTGCATATAAGATACAATTAATATTTTTTGAATAAAAAGAATCAGCTGATTGATCAAACCAAAGAGCAGACACAGATTTGGCAGGAAAAAAAAATCCACCCGGGGGTAAATTGAATGGGTCAGTCAGGTTACAGGAAACAAACATTTTTTTTTTTAGGCCCTATACAAAAATATGGGATATTATAACCTGTTTCATTGATTGTTCCCAACTTAAGCAGATTTGATATTGTGTGTCCTTAGATGACATTAGTAAACAATCAAAAATGCATGGAACATTATTTGAGTTTTTATTATACAATGCATCCTGTCTTAATTTTGATGTGTTTACAGTGAATGCAGCTGACAACAAACAGAGGGATCCTAGCATGAACACAATTAAAATTGACATTGATGCGTAAGTTATTGTCTCTTACTACTATCAGTATATGCATGAATCATGATAATAATTGGGGCGGGGGTTAAATTTTTTTGTTTTGCAGTGGTTAAATTTTGTGAAATCAATCATTGATTAATGAAGCTTAGTGGGTCTAGCACGCATTCGTGCTTTCGATCACATTTTGCTTTCACACAATTTCCTCCATGGTCAAATTTTCAAATTTGGAGAACCCTGATTTTTTCCAACAAGTCAGATTTCAAGGCAGAATTCATATGAATTCACAATTAATAATTATATTTTTGGATTCATATGGCAGGTTTATAAACACTCTGCAATTATAATACCCCAAAATATTTATGATGACCGTCTTTCGTCGAAACTTAAAGACAATATGATTTTCAGTGAGAACAACAAAATAAAGATTTGGAACAATGGAAAGGGTATCCCTGTCATTGAACACAAAACAGAAAAGATGTATGTGCCAACAATGATATTTGGGCATCTTTTGACATCCAGCAATTATGATGATAGCCAGAAAAAAGTAACAGGTAAGTAGGACTTTGACAGTAGATTATTTGATTCGAGTTCAGCATATTTTACTAAACTTTCAAAGGTTCAAAATACTACATATTTTGTCTAATATGAATAAACAATTGTTGCTGTGAAAAATTGTGAACTTCTAAGAAAGAATAGGTCTTATGCTGATCATGTTCAGTAAGAATTTTAGCTGAAAGAATAGTAAATAAAACACAACTACATCACAGTGCTACTTTATATATATGCATTTGTTACACAATCTGGTTTCCTTCTCATATACAGCAGTACAATTCAAGAACTTAAAATTTTAGAGGAAAAGTTAGTAATGCAATTTAACTGTTAGGTCAAATTATGCCTTTTTAAGTTAAATCTACATGTATCTAATGTGCATTCATGAACCACAGGTGGAAGAAATGGGTATGGTGCCAAGTTGTGCAACATTTTCAGTAAGAAATTCATTGTGGAAACATCTTGCAAGGATTATCACAAAGCTTTTAAACAGGTGAGAAATCTCTAAAACGATGCATATTTTAAACATGCATGGATTCTTAATGCTTTTGAGATGTTCTACAAAAGTTAGTAAAAAATTAAAATGATAGACATATAAATTTGTATTTTCGTACATGTTTTCTTTAACTTAAAACTGATGCCAATACTGATTCATTGCATTTAATCTCTAAATTAAAAAAAAATTATTCTGTGTCTTTTTAAGACATGGATTGACAACATGGGGAAGACAAAGGAACCCACCATTACAGATGCCAAGAATGATGATTTCACCTGCATTACTTTCTTCCCTGATTTGGAAAAGTTTAAAATGACGAGTCTGACTAAAGACATGGTGGATTTATTTACACGTAGGGCATATGATGTCGCTGGTTCATCCAAAGGGGTGAAGGTTTTCCTCAATGGCAAAAGACTTCCTGTAAATATACTCATTTTATACCTCAAACCTGTTAGTTTAGAATAAGTGATATGAAATTCATTAAGTTTATATACTAATGGAAAAAAGAAAGTGTGCATTGGAAAATTTAGCATAAAACTCAAAGCATATTGTTTATAGTTATAAAGCGGTTAATAATCGATACAGATAATGATATCAATGACAATAGACTTGAACTCGACTCTATTGCACAGACTTTTCATGGTGGGCAAGCACTTGTTGTTTTTTGATGTAATCATATTCTCATGGTATCTGGGGCAATATTTTTTGTGTCAAAGAGTGCGAGACATTTTTCAAGACTGGATTTGTTCAGAAAATCACTTCGGTATCATAAGAATCTGTAATTGTGATATGCCAAGGCTGAATGAAAACTAACGTCTTCATGCTATTGGAACGTTGCAGTTTGGGATGGCCCAGAATGTTGTTGCACAACAATTTGGTGTTCACAGAAACACTATCCAGTCATTATGGAGACATTTCCAACAATTCAGCTACACTTTGGATCGACCACATTTAGGACGTCCCTGTGCAATGTCAGTACACCAATAGCCATATCAGATGCATGCATCTACGAAAACCCTGGTCTTGTGTGCATAAGTGCAAGAACTTTACATAATCTCTTACATGAGCATAACATGCCCTGCTATATTCACTACGGCTCCAACTTCATCAAACTGCACCATGAACATGGTGTTGGATACATCTGAGGTACCAATTTCAAGACTGGGCCAATGTTTTGTTCACAGATGAATCAAGATTTCATTTGGACAGCAGTGACAGTTGCTGGAGGGTTTATCGCCAGGATGGGGAGTGTTACTCGAATGCTTGTGTAGTGCAGCATTGACAAATTGGAGGTGGTAGTGAAATGGTCTGGGGTGGTATTAGAGCATGTGATAAGACCTCTTTACAGATAATCAATGGAAACCTGACAAGCATTCGCTATAGGGATGAAATATTTCAACATCATGCATTGAGACAACAAAATCCCATTACCCTGCAACAGGATTACACCAGACCGCATGTTGCCCATGTTGTCAGAGACATTGCCCAGTAGAATGTTGATGTCCAATGACGTTTTATGACGTAAACACAAATTAATCCCACACATTTGTAAACAATACATTTGTGAATCACGCTACTGAATTAAATATATTGTCATTGATATTGTATTTTTTTTTATTTTGTACTTTAAGGACCCTCTCTACACTGCACCCTAATTTCAGGGTACTTTTCACATTTGAAATAGAATAAATTATAATCTGCACTGTATGACATAATTTAAAATACGCCAAGTACTATAAACATTTTATTAGACCAAGATAGAGTAGATGAAAACTTTATTTGCATGTATTTTCTCCATTTGAGTAAGCAAAAGTGATTTTCCTTCATCGTTACTTCATTGTCTTTAAAGATTTTTCCTGGATAAAAAAGATATGCTCCCTATGTTAAAAATAAATTAGTTAATTTCAAAATATCCTCCTTTACGCTATATAATTTTCCCAAAGTCCAAAAAACATTTTTCATCAGTGTATAGAGGGTCCTTAAGTAATGCACAGTTTCTTTTTTCCGCTAGTATATATTGATATGCATAATGAAAATTACACCTTTTTATAGGTAAAAAATTTCAAGGACTACATTGGCCTATACCTCAAAGATAAAACAGATGACAATGGACAGCCATTGCCTGTCATTCATGAGGTTGCCAATGAACGATGGGAAGTAGCTGTAACCTTAAGTGAAAAAGGATTCCAACAAGTCAGCTTTGTTAATAGCATTGCTACTACCAAGGTAAAGTCCTGCTCAAAAGTTTTGTCTTTTACTGTGTGGCAGAATAAGCTGCTTTTGTTAGGGTATGCCTGAGATTTTTTACTTAATTTAAACAAAATGAAATGTTTATAAAAACCATATTTTAAAAAAAATTTAAAGTGGATATTTTTATTACATATACTGTAAACAGACATAGATTAGCGCATTCAAAATTTAGTGCAGCCATCCTTTTCAACTGATTAATGCAATATGAATTAGCCCTTTAGAGTTTTACAAAGAGTTAACAAAATATAATAAACAAGAATTTCAGAAACTAGGTCAAAGGAAAAAGGGCCATAACAAACATAATTTGGACCAGAAGCAGGGTTGGCAAAGAACTGGGAAATACTCATATTTCCCAGGACGGTGGGAAATACTGGTAATTACCGGGAATTACTGGTATTTCCCGGGAAATACTTGGAAGTAATAAATAGCTACATATTTCATTCCTATTGACATGTAGTACACCTTATTGGCTAAGATATCTACCTGGTATCACTGTCCCTGATTTAAAAAAATCTGGTTTCCAAGTAATTCATTTTACATAATCATAACACAGCATACTCATATACCAGTCATGAGTGGCATTTGTTTCATGTTTGAGTCAGATGTAGTCTATACAGGTACATGAAATGAACCAAAAGATCCCAATTGGATTTTTTTATGTAACTAAAGAAGGATCTGAGAAAATTCTTAAATGTAGAGTATGGTATAAATATCAAACCTAAGAAGAAGCCTTTCAGTTCTACTCATTGACAAGGTAATTATCTCTTAAAACATGGGCACAAAACTGTCCAGAGCAATTTGTTAAAACAACATGATTGTTTGCAATAATTACAGTGTTTACAGAAGGATTAAAACAATTTTTTTCTTGGATTTAACATTAATAAACTTGATAATTTTACACACGTGAAAAGAAACTTGAATTGGAAAACCTCAGTTTTATACCACCAGGGAAATGTTTCAGAGACCTTATGGGTATGGGACCTTGAGTAGTGATACATTCTGAATATGTTAAATTGCAATTTGAGACATATTCCATATTATTCATCTTTTTTGGTTTTAATTTATGTTCATTTTATTTTAGAATTTTGTATAAGATTGAATGAATTAAAGAAATAAAAAAAACTAACTTTGTATTTCCCAGTATTTCCCAGTTTAGAGAAAATTTGTAGTATTTCCCGTGACGGGAAATACTGGTAATTACCACTGGTAATTCCCACCACTGGTATTTCCCGGCCAACCCTGACCAGAAGTGTTGAGTAAAACATCATGTATGAAAAATAACTTGTTTTCTTCAATTGATATGATATATAATTATACGTATGTTACTCATATATATATTTATTTATATACTTTGACATTACAATTTCCAGTTTCTTAGCATTTACATGCATCCAAGAATATATTTTGTAAAGATTTTCTTTTCTTGCACTTGTTGACAGGGAGGACGCCATGTAGATAATGTTACAGACCAAGTTGTGTCCAAACTTATAGATGTTGTGAAGAAAAAGAATAAAGGGGGTGTTGCCATTAAACCCTTTCAAGTAAGTTATCTGAAACCCCCCCTTTTTTTTTAGCTCACCTGAGCTGTCATTTTGTCTGTAGTCCGTCTGTCCATTTGTAAACTTTTCACATTTTCGACTTCTCCAGAACCATTGGGCCAATTTCAACCAAACATGCCACAAAGTATCCTTTGGTGAAGGGAACTCAAGTTTGTTCAAATGAAGGGTCACGCCCTCATTCAAGGGGAGATAACTCAGAAATAGTGAAAATTTGGTGGCATATTTTAAAAATCTGAAGAAGAACCACAGGCCCCAAAAAGTTGAAACTTATAAATCTTTGTTACATAGTGTAGATTCAAGTTTGTTCAAATCATGACCCCTTGGGGTAGGTTGGGGCCACAATGGGGGATCAAAGTTTTATATAGGAATATATAGGAAAAAACTTTAAAAATCTTCTCAAGAACAGCAAAGCCATGATTTGTCATATCGATATGGAAGCATCCTCAGGTAGTGTAGATTCAAGTTAGTTCAAATCATGACCCCCGGGGGTAGGATGGGGTCACAAAGGGGGATCAAATTTTTACATAGAAATATATAGGAAAAAATCTTTAAAAATCTTTTCTCAAGAACAGCAAAACCTTGTTTAGTCATATTGATATGTAAGCATCCTCAGGTAGTGTAGATTCAAGTTTGTTCAAATCATGACCCCTGGGGTTAGGGTGGGGCCACATTGGGAGATCAAAGTTTTACATAGGAAAATATAGGGAAAACTTAAAAAAATCTTCTTCTTAAGAACATCAAAGCCATTTGTTATATGGATATGGAAGCATCCTCAGGTAGTTTAAAATTCAAGTTCCCCACCCTGTAAACTTTTCAATACTGAATTGATCTGTGCTTTTTTCCTAGCCATTGTGCTCAGGTGAGCGATGTGGCCCATGGGCTTCTTGTTTTTAAGTAAGGTTGATGTAGCTGTTTAGCATTCACTTTTCCATTATATATTTTATATATGGTTGCAAACATCAATTTGTAATATATTTCTTGTATTTATTAAGGTGAAGAACCATATCTGGATATTTGTGAACTGCTTGATAGAGAATCCTACCTTTGACTCACAAACTAAAGAAACAATGACTCTTCAAGCCAAACAGTTTGGATCAAAATGTGCTCTTTCTGAGAAATTCATTAATCAGGTAATAATGAGACTACATTTTTCATTAAGATGTACATGTAGTATATTTAAAATGCAAAACATAAATATTGTGTGATAAATTGTATTTTGTGATAATACAGGTCAGCAAATGTGGAATTGTTGACAACATATTGAGTTGGATGAAGTTCAAAGCACAAACTCAGTTGAATAAAAAACTAACATCAAGTAAAACCACCAAACTGAAAGGTATACCCAAGCTAGATGACGCCAATGATGCAGGAACGCGGAATTCCAGAGATTGTACCTTAATCCTGACTGAGGGAGATTCAGCCAAAACTTTGGCTGTTGCTGGATTGGGAGTAGTTGGGAGGGACAAATTTGGAGTTTTTCCCCTTAGGGGTAAAGTTCTCAATGTACGAGAAGCCACTCATAAACAGGTAAGTTTGAAACAAATATTCATCAATAAAGATTGTTTTATGTGTAAGTGGTTGACCATTATAAACTTGAGGACAGATATAAAAATTTTAGGGATCCACATATTACATACATGTGTAAATGTATCTAGCGATTACATACATGTACATCAGGTTTCTAAGACAAAAACAGACCTGTTAACTCCTATGATTTCGCTATATTTTGTAAGGATTTTGAGCTCAAAATATGTCTTACGTTTTGCTCTTATGAAAATATGGAAATCGGAAATTCATTTGTTTGGATTTTAGGAGTTAGTTTCCATTATGATCTGTCTTAGTTTGACGCTTTTTAATTAATAAAAAAAAGAGAAAGATTTCAAACAAGTGAATTCGGGTTGCCAAAACACGGTGGTCTAAAAAATGACAGAAATGGTAATCAGAAATGTAGTTGTTCTCTAGTAATATATGTAAAATCGATGGATAGTGAAATCTTACTGGCAAATGCCAAATCTCACTGACAAATCTATTAAAAATACTGAGAGACAACAATATGGGTAAACAGGTCTGCAAAATTTGCATATGGGGTGTAGAAATATTGAAGTGACATTTTAATATCTGAAAGGTGTTGAAATTACAGTCTTCCATTTTAATGTTACATGTTTTTTTTTTTTTTGTTTTTTTTTAAAATTAATTTCAGTATTTTTATCAACAATGTTGCAATTGGTAGATGTGATAAATACATGTATGTTTGATATGTATCATTAGTAACTTTCGTGCACCAAAGTTTTCTTTAAATTATAGATCATGGACAATGTTGAAATCAACAATGTGATCAAAATCATGGGCCTTCAGTTTAAGGAGAAGTATAATGACCCTGATACACTGAGGAACCTGAGGTACGGTAAACTGATGATCATGACCGACCAGGATCAGGACGGCTCTCACATCAAGGGACTTCTCATCAACTTTGTTCACCATTTCTGGCCCAATCTGCTCAAGTACAATGTGCTTGAAGAGTTCATCACTCCCATTGTCAAGGTATGAAATATGTACAGTAGTCATAGATAAAATACATGTACTGGAATAATATTTATGAAAGAGGAAGTGCATTTATGGTACAAAATATCATGGAGAAGATCTTAACTTTATGAGAATTGTACAGAAAATGTTTGGCATAAATTGCAGGTCACAAAAGGAAAAACAGAGCGGTCATTTTACAGCTTGCCTGAATTTGAGGAATGGAAAAGAGAAACAGAGAACTGGCACACTTACCGAGTCAAGTACTACAAAGGTCCTTATTTTAGGTCATGTTGCAGAAATTGGAAAAAAAAAAATTGTGTGTTTGATTTATATTTAAAGAAAAATGCTTTTCTGATTGAATTTTTGAGGCTTAGGGCAAAGTGAAACAACTTTTTTTCTTCTGCAAAATTTTTTGGTTTGTTGTGAAGATGCTTGAAGTTAGTAACATCAATGAAGCAGTTGAAATTGTCTTTTATCAAATTACAATAGATTTTCAATTGATTTCTTTTCTGAGCTTTATAATTTTTAGTGCTGGCTTTTAAGATAGATATTTACTAGTAGATTCAGTCAAAATTAATAATGATAGAAGTTTTTTTTGTTTCAAAATTGATCTCCACAAATTGTTTACCTGTAGGTTTGGGTACCAGCACATCTAAAGAGGCTAAGGAATACTTCAGTGATATGGAGCGTCACAAGATTCCGTTTAAGTACACAGGGGCAGAGGATGATGCTGCAATTAACCTGGTATAGGGTTCAATGTTATCTAACTCATATATCCTTATTAATTTACTTAAATCAGATTAGTGAAGGAGAGTTAAATAATTTGTATTCCTTACTTTTCAGGCTTTCAGCAAGAAGAAGGTCGAGGATAGGAAAGAATGGCTGACAAGCTGGATGGAAGACAGAAAACGCAGATCAGAGATGGGTTTGCCTGAGGTATCTTTTTTTCATGCAACTTTCTGCTAGTTATCACTGAATTATTTGTAGTCATTTTATGGGCTAATGAATTTTTGGTTTTCAGAACTATTTGTATGGAAAGGCCACCAAGTCCATTTCTTACAATGACTTCATCAATCGGGAGTTGATTCTCTTCTCCAATGCAGATAACGTACGATCCATTCCTTCCATGGTGGATGGACTTAAACCGGGTCAACGAAAGGTTGTTTTTACTTGCTTGAAGAGGAACTTGACAAAAGAAATCAAAGTTGCTCAGTTGGCAGGGTCTGTGGCAGAGATGTCTGCTTATCACCATGGAGAGGTATGACACAGAATTGTAACTGCTTTTTTATGTGGAAGATTCTTGTAATAACCTATATGTGATATGCCATTTTCGATAGTTATTCAGTATTTGTACTTGGCTTAGATGATTTTGTGAAAGTATTTGATTTTGAAATAAAACATTCATTTGATTTTCTGTTTTAAACTCAATCAAATGCATATATCAAATGGGGTGAAAAAAAAATAGAAGTCAGAAGAGTATAATCTTTTATATATAGGTTTCTCTGATGAATGCCATCATCAATTTGGCCCAGAATTTCATTGGTTCAAACAATCTGAACATCCTGCAGCCCATTGGACAGTTTGGAACTCGGCTGCATGGTGGTAAAGATGCTGCCAGCCCTCGATACATCTTTACAGCTCTCAGGTCTGTGTGTGTTCCCATACTCTTGATTAATTCAGTTTTATCCAGGTTTAGTCCAGATTGAATTGAAAAGATCAAAACTACAGGGTTCGACACTTACATTTTTAGGCTTTAGTCCGGCCGGACTAGTGCCTCAATACTTTTACTAGTCCGCACGCGCTTTTACGAGTCCGTCAAAAAAGAAAAAAGAAAAAGAAAAAAACAAAAGTCAATGTTTAATAACGATTAATTTAAAATAAACATAACAATGTATTTTTTTTTTTAAATGAACAAAGCATTTGTTAAAATCTCGCGATCAGGAAGTGCGATCGTGAAAATGTATTAGTCTGAGACTAACGGACTAACGTTAGTGTCGATCCCTGAACTATTAAAATGTTAGATACAAAAATAATTAGTCAAGATTACATCTATACATGTCCAGTATATACTGTATGTCTAAGTAAAACAAGGAGAAAGTATCTATTACATGTAGATGTACGTCGGCAAACTATTTCAGTTTTTATTAGGGATGTACATGTAAACAAATAGTTGACTGCAAAAATATCAGTCGAATGGACAGATGATCAAATAATGTAACAACATTTGAATAAATAAATGCAATAAAAAGTGATAATGAAATGGTATTCTCATCTCAAAATTGAGAAACTGTTTTTCTTCACTGGATAAAATTTTCCTTAGCAAAAACTGTTGACTTGTCATAGTACATGTAGAAAGTAATTGTAAATGCTTCACTACAGTGAGAATTGTTGATCATTTACTTTCTGTGTTGATACCATGTATCCATTATATTTTGTTGTTTCAAGAATATTCCAATGCAGGGAACACACAATAACCATGACTTGTTTTGACAAAAAAAAAAAACTCGCTCACATTGTAAGGACATTTTGATAGCTGGGGCAATGAATAATTGAATAAGCAGTATGTAATAATATCACAGGCATCTGAGATGTGATTAAGCAACCACCACCCATCCACCTCATGTATTTTAAAAAGCTTTAAAATATATAGTCCTGGCAATTTTTCAATGCTTATTAAGCCTTTACAGACCAATTAATGAATGTGAATGAAGGATAAATCATACATTTCAGAGAAATTAGCGGCTCTAAACTTATTTCATATAAACATGCTATCCACATGTTAGGTGCCTGTGAATATTTGTGTCTAACATAGGCATTTGATGTTACTTTTTATATTAACTTTTAAGTTATAAATGTCATGTACCAGTGCATCAAATTCTGAATTTAACTGACTTCTTTGCTAGGATCACTCGGTTGATCAACCAAACATGGCAGGTAAATAGTATTGAATTATTTTCAAATGAAGAGAAATGCTCCTTTCCAAGAAGAGGTAATCAAGAAATAGTAAAGTAAAGTGAGGTCATCTCAAAAATCATTTGGTCACCGTCAGAAATAATAATTTTTTTTCAAAAAAGTACATGGGATCAACCATTTTTGATACGATTTAAAACCATGGCCTTTGAGACCAGGATAGGACCACAAAGTGACCTAGAGTTTTATATAGAAATAAACATGTATGCAAGAACAAGTTGTATTTGTCAAATTAAATTGAATTATCCAGTGGAGATACAATTTTGAATGTCCCTCAGTGTTGGAATCAGGCCACAATGGGGGTTCAAATGTTCTGCATTGAAAGATCCCCCCCCCCCCCTTTTTAATGCCAAGATTTTCAGATTGTGGTCCCCGTGACTAAAAAAATAAAAAGGTAAGAGGTTATGACAGAACACTTTGGTGCAAAATGCTTGTATGACTTGGGCTCATGTCATGAACTTTTTGTTCTTACATTAAACTCTTTATTTTAGCCCATTAGCAAGAATGTTGTTCAACATAAATGATGAGCCTTTGCTAAAGCACAATTTTGATGACAACCTGAAGATTGAGCCAGAATGGTATTGTCCAATTATTCCCATGGTGCTAGCAAATGGTGCAGATGGAATTGGAACAGGGTGGAGCACCAAGATACCTAACTTTGATATTCGAGAAATTGTTGCCAATCTCAAAAGAATGTTAGATGGAGAAGACCCACTTCCAATGGTAACTATTCCAAGTTCAGACAGTCAACTGAGGAATTGGAAGTAAAGTGCATGAAGTTTTTATTTTGTTTTTTTTTCTTTTGCTCATCTCACAGGCCTTAATCTAACCCTAAGTTTCAGAATGCACAGGAGAAAAATATTTAAGGATAACAAGGCTACAATTAGTTTCCTCATGTTATGTAAAATGTGTACACTAAGAGTCTGAGACTAGTTTTCAGTTGTACAGTGTAAGAATATGTTGTTATAGGTACCGAGCTACAAGAATTTCAAGGGGACTGTGGAGGAACTGAGTGATAATCGGTTTGTTGTCAGTGGGGAGGTGGCCATTATTGATGATCAAACAATCGAGATTACAGAACTGCCCATCAAAACATGGACACAGAATTACAAGGAGGATGTACTGGAACCTATGTTGTATGGAACAGAAAAGACTCCAGCAATGATCACGTACGTCAAATAAAATTCATTTCGTATTGAAGAAAACAGATAAGTAAGCACCACTTGCTTGTTATTTTAAAGATAAACAATTTCTACAAATACAGGATAGTCACTGTCACTCTTTGACAGTTTTATGTATTTACAAAGAATCCACTGTATTATTAAATCTTAAGTTGATTGTTATTCAATTGAAATGAATTTTGTATTTTTGAAATTAGGAAACGTCAACCAGATTCTAGTAGTGTGTCTTCAAAACTATCATAATGATTATAATAATCTACATAACTGTGACATTTGGTCATTTTATAAGCAGTGGTATAGGGTTTTGCTATATGATAATATCATCTGATCTTTACGTCTAGCTGAGCACTGTATACTTAAAAAAGCGGGCTTCATGTTTTAGCGGCTTTGGCACGGGCAATGGTGCGCTAATTCATGAATACCGCTAAGAAATGATATATAACTAATATATACGACACAGACACATGTAGCGCTAATTCATGACTATGCCAACAACTCCATACCCAGTGATTGCACTAAATTTTGAATATGCCAATTTATGTATACGTACAGTATTTTGCCACATTTGCATTGCTCTTGTTAAGTGAAGACAGGAAACATGTATGTCTTGTTTAATAATGGTGGTTTATCTAAATTCAGGGATTTCAAGGAGTACCACACAGATGCTACTGTGAAGTTTGTGATCAAGATGACCCCTGAGAAGTTAGCAGCTGCAGAGGAGCAGGGACTCCACAAAGTGTTCAAGTTACAGTCCAACATCTCCTTAAATACAATGGTTAGATCTATCAATAGTTACAGTCCAACATCTTGAATACAATGGTTAGATCTATCAATAGCTTCTAAATACATGTTAGATCTGTTAATAGCTACAGGTCAGATCTTCTAAAATACAGTGATTAAACCTGTCGATAGCTATAGCCCAACTTCTCCTTCAAACAATAGTTGGATCTGTCAGTAAACTTGTACACAATGGTTTGATTTATCAGAAGACTTTTATACAATGATAAAATCTTTCAATAGTTAGTCCAACATCATAAATACATGGGTAGATCTATCAGATTTGTGTACAGAGGTTAAATCTTTCAGTAGACTTGTGTACTTTTGTTAAGTCTCCATGTATCATAAGATTTCTTCATTTTGTCACACTTGCATACGTATAGGTTAAAAGATATCAATTGAAAGCAACATGTATCTATCTCATTTTAACAAATAATTGATAACTAGATATACTGAAAAATGTGCAAAATAGCATAATGTTTTGAATTTATTGACAACAGTCTGCACTAGTTGAACTCATTTGAAAATTTGACTTGCAATTCTTGAAAAGCTTCATGTAACTGTTTTATAGGTGTTGTTTGACCACAATGGATGTATCAGAAGATACGAGCAGATCACTGATATTCTAAGAGAATACTATGATCTACGTCTGGGTCTCTACCAGAAACGCAAGGAATACATGGAAGGATTGTTGGCAGCAGAAGCTAGCAGATTGGAGAACATTGCCAGATTTATCATGGAGAAAATTGATGGCCTTATTACTATTGGTAAAAATGTAACAATGTTCTGTTATTTGAAAAAGGACAAAATCTCTCTGCAATTTATTTGTATTCTAGAATTTAGGAATTTTAAAATATGATAAATGACAAATTAATGTTTTGAACAATTTACTCAAAGGAATGTTAGCAAGAGGAATATATGATAATGAATATTTTAGAAAACAAGCCAAAGAAAGAGCTCATCCAGATGTTGGTGAGGAGAGGCTATGACTCAGACCCTCTGAAAAGATGGAAGGAACTGCAGGCTAGAGAAAATGTAATAAACTTACAAAAATATCAACCAATGGCTAAAATATACTGTAGATTCCTGAATACATGCAAAAAATATGTAATTGTATAAATTCATGAAGTGCACTGCTCACAAAATTCAATTACTTGCTTTTAATTTTATAGTGCTGAAATAATCTTGATCCACAATCAGCTTTCTAATTCATGTCTTTATGATTTAACATCTAGGGATGGTTCTGCAATATTAAGTAATTGTGTTAAACTAAAGAATAACTATCTTCTTATTTGGTATTTGCAACCGGTAATGCTGATTTAAAGTTGCAAACCAATGGGTGTTTTCGACCATTAAATCAGCATTAATGGTTGCAGATACCAAACGAAAAGATGGTTATTCCCATTCTAATGCAATTGATACATTTTGTTTGGTGTTGACGTCTTATTTTGTTGTGTTTTGTTACATGAAATACATCACGAAGTGTTGTGTTTTTGTGTTGCTCTATTATGACGTCACAATCAAAAGCTTTCACTCACATAATGTTTGTTTTACTGCCTCAAAGATCAGTGCAGTAGCCAATCAGAATGCATTTTACAAAACAGTTGCATTAGAATAAGGAATTTACAGTATATTCTTCAGAAATTACACTGAGGATAAATGATAATGGCATTAAGTAATGATATTCACATGTATTGGAGGCTACAGTGTCAAACTACATACATTTGAACTTCGGTATCTCGAACACTGATATCTCAAATACCATGGATATGTCGAAGTGATTTGAAAGTCCTAACCACTTACTCTTTAAGTATTTTACCCCTGATATCTCAAATCATTGGATATCTCGCAGTTTTTAGCTCACCTGAGCCGAAGGCTCAAGTGAGCTTTTCTGATCACATTTTGTCCGTCGTCCATCTGTCTGTCTGTCCGTCCGTCTGTAAACTTTTCACATTTTTGACTTCTTCTCAAGAACCACTGGGCCAATTTTGACCAAACTTGGTACAAAGCATCCTTGGGTGAAGGGGAATTTAAATTGTTAAAATGAAGGGCCAAGTCCCCTCACAAGGGGAGATAATCAAGAGAAGACAAAAATAGGGTGGGGTCATTAAAAAATCTTCTTCTCAAGAACCACAGGGCCAGTAAAGCTGAAACTTGTTTGGAAGCATCCTGGGGTAGTGTAGATTCTAAATTGTTCAAATCATGACCCCAGGGGGTAGGGTGGGGCCACAATATGGAATCAATGTTTTACATAGAAATATATAGAAAAAATCTTTAAAAATCTTCTTCTCAAGAACCACAGGGCCAGAAAAGTGAAACTAATGTGGAAGCATCCTGGGGTAGTGTAGATTCTAAATTTTTAAAATCATGACCCCCGGGGGTAGGGCGGGGCCACAATAGGGAATCCAAGTTTTACATTGAAATATATAGAAACAATCTTTAAAAATCTTCTTCTCAAGAACCACAGGGCCAGAAAAGCTGAAACTAATGTAGAAGTATCCTGAGGTAGTGTAGATTCTAAATTGTTAAAATCATGACCCCTGGGATAGGATGGGACCACAATAGGTGTATTACATGGGGGAAAGTCTGGTGAAGAATAGCAGGGCCAAAGTTACTCAGGTGAGCGTTGTGGCCCATGGGCCTCTTGTTTCTTGGTCCCATTGAGTTCGAGATAATGAGGTTTGACTGTAATTAGTTCAGTATTCAGGGTTCTCACTAGGATTTTTCTAACTTGAGTCCCAGGACTCAGGGTTTCTGAGAAGGTTGCGTCCCAGCTAAATTTGATGCGTCCCAGAAAAATTATGTTGAGTCCCAACTAAATTATTGCAGTATCCTTCCTTCCAAACATTAATGAAAATTATCTTTATCATTTTATCAGTTTGTTTACGCAGTATAAACATATTCAAGTATATAAACTGGTAATGCATTCAAGCTATATTCTAAAATACACGCGTAATCAATTGCCATAAATATAACTTGGTGTTTATAAAGCTAAAATTAACTGTTGCATAATCAATTAGTATCCAGAAGTTGACTGTATACAATCACAGGTGTCATGTGCAATGAAGCGTAACTAATCCTGTCGGTCGTCTGCACTGAGTGAAATTCACGAGATAATCAAGCCGCATTGTGTATACAAGCAGTAATTATGGTTTCTACATGTAGATAACACTCAAGATTCAAAAGTGTTTTTAAAAAAAAGCTGCAGTGTGTTTACAGCTGTCGGAGTTTGGCATGCAACACTATTATGACTATGGACTAATAAACATGAAATATCTTATGATCAATCCCTGTTTTAAAAAAAGAGAAGTAAGTATAAGAAAAGTTGTTTCTTGGATAAACTTTATGATAGTTACAGGAAGGTTTCGATTAAATATTTCTTTGGCAAATCCTAACATCTAAATTCCCCGTTTTCGAAATCACCCGAATTTTCTCGCTAACGAGGACGCGTCCGATCATGAGTCCGCGGACGCATCGTTTTTAAGAACCTTGCGTCCCAAGTAATTTTGCTGCGTCTAGGACGCAGATTCTTGCGTTAATGAGAACCCTGGTATTTACAAATGGTTTGGTATTGCTAAGAATTTTACAATGAGATTACTTGTTTTAGGAGGAGGGAGATGAAGAAGAAGATGATGAGAGTTCAGCCTCGGGATCCTCAGGGGGCCCAGACTTCAACTACATCCTCAACAATCCTCTATGGTGTCTGACAAAGGAAAAGAAGGAGGATCTACTCAAACAGAGAGATGAAAAGGCAAGAAATTAATGAAAACATAAATGGAACTGAATCTTAGTTGACTTCGTGAATTTTACCAGATTCTCATGCACATGTAGATGAGGGTTTTATTTTTAGATTCTGCGTAGTTTAGATTCAGGGGAAATTTTGCCCTCGTTTTATTTTCGTCCTTGTCACATGGGCAAATTTAAATCAGAGTTATCTTTATAACACAGCTGTTTCTATGCAAATTTAAAAAGGGACAAAATAATTGTCAAGTCGAAAGGGTGAAAATAATCCTGTGTGCAGATGTACATACATGTATATGATTTCATTATAACCCTCTATTTATTTTTTACAGAAAGCAGAACTGGAGAGTTTGAAGAAGAAAACTAAAGAGGACTTGTGGTTGGATAATTTGGAAGAATTCATGAAAGGTCTTGAAGTATGTACTGAATTCTTCTTTGGAAATTAGTGTTGTTAAATTCATATCCTAAAGTATACATGAGATTTCATCCTTAAAATTATTGATTGTAGGAGTTGGAGCAAAAAGAGAAAGAGGATGAAATGCAGGCACAAAACAAGCCTGTTAAAATCAAGGGGAAGGGCGTCAAGGCCCGCAAAGTGATGGAGCAGATCAATCAACCCTCCCCAATGGGTCGACGAATAGTTCCTAGAATTGACACAGCCATGAAAAAGCAAGCTGATGCTGCAGCCAGTAAACGTTTAAAGACAAAAGTAAGGTTTACAGAAAGCTTAGTTGTATAATATTTAATTCACATAGAGTCAAAACCAGTCTATACAACTTAATCCATTCCCCTTTATTATACCCCCCGCAAACAAAGTTTAATGGGGTATATTGGAATCACCATGTCTGTCTGTCTGTAGACAAGATTTTGTCCAGACCTTTTCTCGGAGACTATTGCATGGATTTGTCTGAAAATTTGTACACTTATTATTCACCATATTTTCATCATGATTGGATAATTTTTCTGCATTTTACAGGTATTTAATTCATTTTAATTACATGATTTTGTCCGGACCTGTTCTCAGAGACTACTAGTATTGCATAGATTTGTCTGAAAATTTGTACACTCATTATTCATCATATGAAGGTGTGCACCTACTATTTTCATCATTATTGGGTAACTTTTCTGCATTTTACAGGATTTTTTTTTTTCATTTTTATTAGCTCACCTGAGCCGAAGGCTCAAGTGAGCTTTTCTGATCAAAATTTGTCCGTTGTCTGTCGGCGTCGTTGTTGTCGTAAACTTTTCACATTTTCATCTTCTTCTCCAGAACTATTGGGCCAATTTCAATCAAACTTGGCACAAAGTATCCTTGGGTAAAGGGGATTCAAGTTTGTTCAAATGAAGGGCCACGCCCTCCTCCAAGGGGAGATAATTACGAAATAGCAAAAATTAATGGCATTATTGAAAAATCTTCTTCTCAAGAACCAATGGGCCAGGAAAGATGAAACTCATGTGGAATTATTGTCAGGTAGTGTAGATTCAAATTTGTTCAAATCATGACCCCCGGGGGTAGGGTGGGGCCACAATGGACGATCAAAGTTTTACAAGGGTGTATATAGGAAAAATCTTCAAAAATCTTCTTCTCAAGAACAGCAAAGCAGTGATTGGTAATATTTATGTGGAAGCATCCTCAGGTGGTGTGGGTTCAAGTATGTTCAGATCATGACCCCCAGGGGTAGGGTGGGGCCACAATGGACGATCAAAGTTTAACAAAGGACTATGTAGGAAAAATCTTCAAAAATCTTCTTTTCAACAACAGCAAAGCCATGATTGGTCATATTTATGTGGAAGCATCCTCAGGTGGTGTAGACTCAAGTTTGTTCAAATCATGACCCCCGGGGGTAGTGTGGGGCCACAATGGATGATCAAAGTTTTACATCGGAATATATAGGAAAAATCTTCAAAAATCTTCTTCTCAAGAACAGCAAAGCTATGATTGGTCATATTTATGTGGAAGCATCCTCAGTTAGTGTAGATTCAAGTTTGTTCAAATCATGACCCAGGGGGTAGGGTGGGGCCACAATGGACGATCAAAGTTTTATATAGGTGTATATAGGAAAAATCTTCAAAAATCTTCTTCTCAAGAACAGCAGAGCAATGATAGGTAATATTTATGTGGAAGCATCCTCAGGTGGTGTGGGTTCAACTTTGTTCAGATCATGACCCCCGGGGGTAGGGTGGGGCCACAATGGACAATGAAAGTTTAACAAAGGTGTACATAGGAAAAATCTTCTTCTCAAGAACAGCAAAGCTATGGTTGGTCATATTTATGTGGAAGCATCCTCTGGTGGTGTAGATTCAAGTTTGTTCAAATCATAACCCCCGGGGGTAGTGTGGGGCCACAATGAATGATCAAAGTTTTACATAGGTGTACATAGGAAAAATCTTCAAAAATCTTCTTCTCAAGAACAGCAAAGCTATGATTGGTCATATTTATGTGGAAGCATCCTCAGGTGGTGTAGATTCAAGTTTGTTCAAATCATGACCCCCGGGGATAGGGTGGGGCCACATTGAACGATCAAAGTTTTACATAGGAGTATATAGGAAAAATCTTTAAAAATCTTCTCAAGAACAGCAAAGCCACGGTTTGTCATATTTATACGGAAACATCCTCAGATAGTGTAGATTCAAGCTTGTTCAAATCATGACCTCCAGGGGTAGGGTGGGGCCACAATGAAAGTTCAAACTTGTAGAGAAAAAAGTCACAGTTAGTCAAAAAATTATGTAAGCCTCCTTAGTTAGTGTATATTCAAGTTTGTTCATATCATGACCCCCCCCCCCCCCCCTTTCTTAGGGGTAGGTAAGGACCACTTATGCATTTAAGCTTTTCAATACTAAACTGATTTTTCCTTTTTTCCTAGCCACAGTGCTCAGGTGAGCGATGTGGCCCCTGGGCCTCTTGTTGACTTAGACACTTTGGATTTATATAGGTTTGAGACATACAATCTAGAACTGCCATTTGGTACATCTGTACAAAAATGTGAACTGCAGCTTTAAACTACTCATTAAAACGAAAAATAAAATCACCAAGTATTTAAAAAAAGTTTTTTGATAGATAGTCCCTACAAATCCAAGAGTCATGTAGTACCCTTATTAAAAAATGTCGCATCTAGATTACACAGTTCTTTTTTTTTCATTATATAAAGCTTTGTAACAAATTAAAAGAAAAAATTCTTTGTTTTCAACAGAATGACATAGATATGCCTTTTCTATTGTACACAGTGCATTACAAAGCAGTTAGCGTAAATCCATTTGTTCCTTGGGAGTAATGAGTGGACATGCATCCAGTTAATAATGAGTTCAGTGTGGGAAGCTGTTAGAGCATCTCTGATCAAGCAGGTGTTATCTTTATCTCCTGGGAATTGGGCAGAAAGAAATAAAGATCTGTTATTTAACTCTCTTAATTTTAATTTATAGTCTGTCAAAATACATAGTTAATGGATGACCAGCCTTTTATTTTTAAAATGAATTTGATATAAAGTTATCGAGGTTGATTTTGTATAATTAAATATGATTTTTTTTTTTTCAACAATCAATTTGCAGAGTGTCATGTCTCACAAAGATGACAGATAGTTGCAATTTATATTTTCAATGTAATGAAAAAACAATGTTAGTATTGATGTTTTATTGGGCTGCACCTTAGTTTCATTCATTAAAAAAATATAATGAGCAATTATATTTTCACTCTAAATGTTTAAGCAAATTGTGAACACTTATAGATCTATAAAGTATTAGTGATTTGACACCTTCTCTGAAAAACCCAGTGGGGGGTATTTGTCCCTTTTGGACAGTTCTAGTTTTACCTTTGGACAGTCATCTGGCTTTTTACCACTTTTATGCCAGTTTATTTAGTGTTAGGGCCATGCTATAATTTATAGGCGATGATCCAATTTTTTTCACTTTTTCCATCAACTAATTTCTAAATTTCAGCATGATTAATAAGATTGCAAAGAAATAATGATTTTGATATAAATAGGGCTTTAACTTTCAATCTGTTTCATCCTAGTAAATGTCTGTATGTTCCTAGTTCCTTAATTATTAAATTTGTTTTAAGATAAAGAAAGAAGCCAAGAATTTGATGGAGAATTTTGACAAGGAAGATGAGGAGGAGGACATGGAACAATTAAGTTTAGCAGATCGATTAGAGAAAAAGACCGGCATCAAATCTCCCACGAAAGTCAACGGAGAAGTCAAGACTGAAGATGCTGAACAACCAGCAAAAAAGAAACGAAGTCAGTGTTTATAATTCTACTCTTCTGTACCTCAAGGATGTAGTTAGGATGATATTTATTTATGACGTTATCTCCCAACATGTTTCGTAACATTGTATCATTTGCAGAATCTCAAAAAATTAGACCCAAGGATTATAACAATTTAACAGTTTAACATCAAAAGATAACATCAGTATACATTTGTGGTATTCCATTTTGTTAGTAATATACATTTTACCCAAAAATCAAGATTTGTTAAGATCTTGATTAAAACAGTCTAAAGATCATCCCAAAATATATATAATTGTATAAAAAAAAAAAGTATTATATTGACATAAACAACAGTAGCTTCACAGAATGTAAAAGCTTTTGTTTTTAAAAGTTTTTAGAGGGCAGAGAGAGAAATTTATTATTTAGTGCAAGTTTACGGAGTTGTCTTGGAATGGCATAAAATCTAATAATTCAGACCATTTATTTCCTTAAGTAAAAATAAAATGAAGCATACTAACATTATAAAATGTTATTCTGTACAAAGTTATACTGTAAACCAATTTTATTTACATAGGAGAATAATTACAGATGGATTTCAAAAGGAGATTGGGAAGGGTGGGGGGTGATCTGTCACAGTAGTTCTTGTTGGCAATTCAGAAGGTTATGATTTTATATGATGTTTATATCCACTTGTTAGTACGCAAACCCAAAGATACCTCCGGAAGCCCCAAGAAGAAAGGGAATAAAGGGAAAAAGAGGAATCCTTGGTCTGATTCAGAAGAATCAAATGATGACATGTCAGGCTCAGATCTAGATGGCAGCTTTATGGAAAATTTCCAGCCTAAAAAAGAAAGACCAAAACGAGAAAGTAGGTAGACAAGTAACAAATGTGTGTGTAGAGATGAACATATACATATCCTTTAACTATATCTCTGAGTATTTTATTTAATTTCATAGCATGATATTTTATACAGAACATCAAGGTTATACTTTAATTTCTGTAGAATCTAAGGCAACTAAGTACAGTTTTGACTCGGATGAGGAGGCTATTAAGTCTGACAGTGATGAAGAGTTTGTAGCTGTAAATAATGAGGAAGAGGATCCAGTAGTGATGAGCTCAGAAGATGAAGCACCTGTTTCTAAGAAGTGAGTAAAAACATACAGTACTATTTCCTATCTAGCAGGGTACTCAAATTGTGTATAAGAGACTCCACCATCAAATACATGTGTCTTTAAGTTAAGAACTTCAAAGATTAAAAGCAGTTTAGTAAAATTAGCAGTGGTCGCGTATTGTATTTCAGGTGCAGTATTGTCATGTTATGTTTGGTGATACTGATAGAGAATAAATAACACTGAACTATAAGAGGCAAATTTCAGAGTTGTTCCTGGTTATCTGACTAAGTATTTTGTTGATCCTTGAACGAGAAATTCTGTATATCACTTTTTATTCACGAAATTTTTATTCTGGCTTATATTTGTATTAAAGATTATACACAACACAACAAAAAATTTGTGAAAATTTTGTCTCATTTATAAATAAGCAGATTTCTGTATTGTGAAAATAAGGTTTCATGAAACTTTAGTGATCTACAATATTTTGGCAGACACAGATTTCCATGACTTTGCAAAGAGAAGAAATTCACATTTTAGATGAATTTCAGTACTTTTAATGTACGTTTGAGTATCTATTTAAGCAAGAGTTGGAGTAAAAACCAGTACCAAATGAAATAGGGTTTGAAACAAGCAAAGGTGCAAATTTAGCAATTAGAATTTTAGCGGGCTACTACAAATCCGCTAAGATAAGTCAAAGTTAGCACCCTGCTATACAGTATTTACAAAGGTTTCAAAATGAAATTAAGAATATGGCCATGTCCATGCAAGTTCAGATGATTTTAAATCAGTGCCTGACAATTTAACCTTTGATTACAACAGAAGGAGCAAATGTACAAAGAAGAATCAGTTTTTTTTCTCTTTTAAACCACGAGCGCATGTTTTTCTATTAATCTCATTTTGACATAATTCTGTTAATAATGCCCCACCATGAATATGGCCGGGGCATATAGTGTTTGTCATGTCCATCTTCCGTCCTTCTGTCTGTCCTTCCTTTGCGCTTTGCATTTAGCTCAGTTTCAAAGAAACTATCCAAGATATTTTTATCAAACTTCATTTGCTGATAGATATTGATGATAGCTATGCAACTGCATCAACATTTTTTGACCTTTACCTTTCCTTTGACCTTGACCTTACTTCTCTCAATTTGTGTTTAACTCAGTTTTAAAGAAACCATTCAAAATATTTTTATCAAACTTCATATGCTGATACGTATTTGTGAGAACTATTTACCTACATTAAAAAATGTTTGACTTTGAACTTTCCTGTGACCTTGACCTCACTTTTCTTAAATTTGCATTTTGCTTAGTTTTAAAGAAACCATTTAAGATGTATTTATGTAAGCTTATACATAATTTGGTGAGAATTTATCATCTATATCCAACTTTTTAGATTTCAATTTTAAAGGAACTTTTCAAGATATTCTCATCAAATTTCAAACACTAATACAAATTTTCACGTTGCATTACTAATGTACCCTCGGCAGGGCATTCATGTCCTATGGACATATTTCTAGTTCAAATATACAACTACAAAGGGAAGACAGTAGACAAACATGCGCTGACTGTATATGTATAAAGTCAGTAAGAAAGTGAGCATGCATCCTCATTATTGTATGGAGATTCAAGAAATCTTGATTGCTCTCGACTAAGAAAACAAATTAAAAACCAAATGTAAATGCATATTTTTATTATGTTATGGCGTTCATGTCCGTCCATCTGTCTGTCCGTCTGTCCATCTGTTAGCTTTTATTGTGTCCGGCTCATAACTTTAATACTATTAGGCCTAGGATTATCAAATTTTGTCAGCTGATACTTCTTGGGTAGAAGGTGTGTCGCACATTGAAAGTAGGTCGCTCTGACCTTTAATTAAGATGCTATGGCCAAATATGGAAAAAATCCTGTCCGGCTCATAACTAGAAAACTATAAGACTTAGAATCATCAAACTTGGTCAATTTATGCATCTTAGGTAGAAGGTGTGTCGCGACCTATTTCAAGGTCACTTTGACCTTTAATTTAAGTGAAATTTTAAAAAAAAATATATATTTTTTACTATTAGATTACACAATCCCAAAAAATGCAAGAGTGTTGCAGTATCCTTATTAAAAAAATGTTAAATCAAGAAAATACTTATTTTTTTCATAATATACTTTAAAGCAATCTATAACAAATGTATGTTACAAGGAAAAATTCCACCTCTCCCATGGGTGTAATTATCAAGCACTGGTCAAGAAGAATTTGATAACAGAAAATTGCATGTCAAATTAGAGAGAAATTAATGAGTTTAGTGTGAGGAGCTAACTGGTAGAGCATCTCTGATCTAGCAGGTGTTATCTATATCTCTTGGGAACTGGGCAAAAAGAATCAGCTGTGTTGGATTAAATAGTTGGCTATCCGAACTTTTAAAATGAATTTGGTGAAAAGTAATTAAAACTTATTTGATATTGTATAACAAATTATAATTTAAATAATATAATTAATATAATTATTATATAATATAATTAAAACTAATTATACTCGGGATTGCAGCTTAAAACCAGTCTGACATTAAATCTAAAAAAAATCAAGTATTTAAAAATAATGTTTTTAATTATGGTAGATAGTCCCTACAAATCTAAGAGTAAATTGCAGGAACCTTATTAAAAATGTTGCATCAAGATTACACAAGTTTTTTGTTTCTTTTTATAAATCTTCGTAACAAATTAAAAAAAAAAATCTTTGTTTTTAAATTTAATTTCAGAGTGACATAAATATGCATTTTTATTGCACTACAAAGCAGATAGTATGTATAGATCCATTCATCCATTGGGATTAATGAGTGGACATGCATCCATGCAGTTAAAGATTAATTAATGAGTTCAGTGTAGGGAGGCTAGCTGTCTCAATCATTTCTGTTAGATGATCTCTGATCAAGCAGCTGTTATCTGTATCTTTTGGGAATTAGACAGAAGAACTGCTGGTCAGTTTATAGCATATGTCATTTGATGGCCAGCCTTTTATTTTTAATATTAATTTGATATAGATTAAGTTGTTAAGACTAAATTGATATTGTTTAATATGATATTTTTATTTAATATTTTGAAAATATCAACTAATTCAGAGCATCATGTCTCTCAAATCTGAAAGCTGGGGGGGGGGGGGGGGGGGCAGATGGACATTTGTCAAGCTCTAACACAACCAGTTGAGGATCTATAATGTAATATTTGTTATAATTAATGCCTACACCACAGGAGATGTATAAACAAATATTAAAGGGAATGGAAAAATCATTGAAATCCTTGTATCAAGGTTGACATGATTTTCTTGCACTCTAAACTGTTTATGACAATTGAACAATATTTGACGGGCGTATCATGCTGTGGCAGGGCACTTTATTTTATTATTTAATGTAATTATGTAAAGTTGCAGATTTGATGCTGGTTTTGAAAGTTTATTTTGTCACAAATTTTGCATGTCCTTAAGTGCGGTCATCCTTTGGTGCGTTTCAGCAGGTAACAAGATATTAGTGATTCCCTATGACATCTTTGATGTGACTCCTAACTTTGTACAAAGCTAACAAAAATAAGCAATGATCCCTCTCCAAACTTATTTTATACATTAATGTATCCCCAGTATAAAAGGTTTGTCTCCCAAACTAGGCTATGTTTTAAAATCCTGTAGAATTTCAAAATATTCTTCTTTACCCCTGGAATCTTACAGATGGAAAGCTCTATTATTTAGGCCAATGACACTGTAAAGTACAGATTCTCTGGGTTTTGTATGTTAAAGATGATTCTGTCTCCTACAATGGGAGAAAATATATTTGTGTTGTCTTGGTTGTCCATCTATTAACTGTAGATGAGTACCCAATGGTCTGAGAAAGGTCATAATATAGCCAAACACTGTCTAATCATCAATGGTGAACTTATCAGATATAGTCTATAAGTGCTCAACAATTTACGTCAAAGACAATTATGAAAAATGTTTAGATTTCCTTTGAAACTAGATAGCGATTAACTATTGGCTTGCTTTTTAAAAAATGTTTTTGTTCTTATTTATTTTTGTATAACACAGTAGATGTTTTACCAGTGGTAGCTACATGTGTGTTGTAATGGCAGAACTTGATACATTATTTACGATGAAAGATATTGGGATAATGACAAGATCTGACTTCCACATGTTTTGATACTGTTTATGAAATTCCATATTCTTAATTAATTGTTTAATCTTTTTACAGATCAAACCCTGTCATAGAAGATGATCACTCACCCATCAAGGCTACTAAGAAAACTAAAGCCAAGAAGTAAGCTTTTGTAAAGTAGTGAAATACAGCTTAATAAGGTTTAGCATAAGAGTGAAATGTAGATTACTGGTATTAGAAGTTTTTATAAGAGTGTGAAACATAGCTTACAATACGTCATTTATTTATAAGGTTTTGTAAGATGAAGAAAATCAGCTTACATATTAGTCATCCTTTGACATCAATTATCACCATTATTATCACTAGATGTGATGATGACTGTAATTATTTCATTCATTATCTACTGTGTTTGGGTAGAACTGCTATGGAGTTTCTGGATTCCTCAGATGAAGGAGAGGGAGAATCTCAGAAGTCAGATGCCCTGACATGGAAGTCAGCCACTTCACAAGGTCAGAAGTTCAGCTTTCTCATATCCATAGGTGCCAATGTAATAATGTCAAATACTGCATTTCCACAAAAAAAATCCTTTCATGCAATGATTGTAAATTTTAAAACTAACATTGTACTGCCCAGCAAAAAAGTAGAAATTTTAATGGCCTGAATCTTGGGATTCAGAAATATAGTACCACACATAATATAGTGCATAGAAAAAGCATGATGTCTTTGCTTTATAGATAATATTTTGTGAATGAATTCTTGTGACTGTTTTAGATTCAGCTCCCACAGTGGTTAGTGATGATGAAGATGATAAGATGGAGAATGATATTTTTAAGACAATATCAGAGCCTAAAGCAGCCACCAAGAAACCTGCAGCAAAGAAGAAGCCAGCAGCCAAAAAAGGTAGATGTTTGTGTATAGGAGGAACAAAGCAAAGAATCAGCAGCAATTATTAGCTTTATGAAAGCCGCCACATTGAAACTCAAGATTAATCACTGTGTTTTATAGATCTGTAAACAATTTTATGTACAGTCCACCTGTTTGGGTACACCATCAGAGTCTTATTTCTTTCAAAATAAAATTCATAGCTAAGACTGGCTGATTCTTTCAGATGACTTTGCTGATTCTTTCAGATGACTTTTGTTTTATAAGATGTGCTGTCCCCCCTACATTAAAAATTGTTATTCTTTCTGAATGAATTCCTTTTTCCTCTTGATGTATATATGTAGCCAAAAGACATAAAATATGCATGCTGACCAAGAAATCAGAAAATTCTACCTTTAAAAATTTGCCTTTTTGGCTTTCTAACTTTATACATGTATTCATCATTGATATCAAAGTGGAAAGATGATCAAAAAAGATCAGATGATTTCAAGTCCTAGATCTTACAAGTTCAAATAAGGGAATTACAGAGTACTTTAAAATTGGCCCTATCTGGTGATTCTACTCAAAAAGTCACCAAGTATTCTTAAGACACCCGTAATATTTATCAAATACAGTAATGCTTTGCCTTTGTAAATTTTACATAGAGCATGATACTTCAATTGTTTGAGATATTAGATAGACTGAAATACTTTGAGATATTAGATGTACTGGAATACATGTACTTTGAGATATTAGATGTACTGGAATACTTATCTACAATTTCTGTGGTCTTAAACTAGTTGGAAATAGGATTCCTTTGAATTCAAATATGGTTTTTCCAATGTGTCCTACTGTTCTGCTTTAGCGGACCCCAAGCAGCCATCTATAGCACAAGCATTTAAGTCAAATGATGAGACCAAACCAAAACAGCGAAAATTGTTAAACACAAAGAAGCCTGTCCTTACAATCTCTGATGATGAGGAGGAAGATGTCATTATGTCAGGTCTGGTGATGAATTCTGTTCAGTTTCCTCCTAACTCTTGCATGTTGAGGCTAACTGTGATTTATAAATGCCAGTTGTGGAGGACTGATTTACAAATATCAGTTACTTTCACATTGAAACACCTGGATATTTACTAACTTTTCAAAGAGCCTAATGGATTATGTTGATAATATTTTGGAAAGGGATGACTGGTTTTCTTGGTTTTTAGCTCACCTCGACGAAGTCGAGATGAGCTTATGCTATACCCCCGGCGTCGGCGTTAGCGTCGGCGTCCCAGGTTAAAGTTTTAGGAGCAAGTCCATTCCCAAGTAACTACAAGCCCTACCTGGACCAAACTTGCATGGATGATGCATCTAGGGATGGACACAACCACACTTGCTTCGGATGCTGGATTTGACCTAGATTTTCCAGATGAGTGACCAGGTTAAAGTTTTTGGAGCAGGTCCATTCCCAAGTAACTATAAGCCCTACCTGAACCAAACTTGCATGGATGATGCATCTAGAGATGGACACTACCACACTTGCTTCAGATGCTGGATCTGACCTAGATTTTCCAGATGAGTGACCAGGTTAAAGTTTTTGGAGCAGGTCCATTCCCAAGTACAGTGCGGACTCGTTATTACGGTGACGGTTTTATAAGATAGAACGCTTATTACGTTGTAAATTCAAAGCACAAAACCATTTCTTAACAAATCTATACAAAATAGAACTGTTTATTACGATGTCCTAAAATGCTGGGACTCGGTATTACGATGTAAAAATTCTGTCCAAAATTTTTTTTCACCCCGTGTTTATTCAGTGTTGATCGACTGTAGACAATTAAGGAGACGCTAAATAAACATTGAAACACCTGTGCTCTGACAGAGTGTTAACTTGCAGGGCCGTTAGGTGATTAGTGACGCTTGACTGCACACACCTTGACTGTTCTAGCGAGGTCAGCAGAATTGGAGACGTGTCAAAGCCATTGTTGAACAATTAAACTGTTTATTTATAAATGTAGTCTCTAGTTTATCTATCTCTGTAAAGTTTATTTTATTATTTTTTTTACTATGGTTAATAAGTAAAATTAATTTATTAAATAAAGGGTTACATTTAATCGTATGCATGTATGTTAAATACGTAATGTGTAATTTCGTTTGCAGTTAAACAGAGGGAATTGACAGCTTGGGTATCAAACATAATTTTGGCAAAATTTGAACTCCACTAACGTTTTAACAGCTTGGATAGTGGCTTGGACTACCTCACAGGTGTCAACAGAAATACAAATCGATAATTGCTGAACTGCTAATTGAACTCTGTTCAGTAATTTAAAAATTCAAATTTATTTTGACATTTAGATTGTGTGTTCTCAAATCCTGTCCAGGAATATGCCTATCACACTGCCCACTTTCATCAGTTGTTCACTGCAGCTCTAAGCTCATTGAACACCCAAAACCGCCCATTGTTGTTATTTATGTAGTAACGATACGAAGACATTGAAAATTTTACGAACGCATTATCTAGATAGAAACGAAAGTAAAAGGAAATGGCGGCAGATAAATGAAGATTGCCGAAGTTTTTATAAAAAATGTGCACATTTCTTTTAAAATGAAGGAAATAGAAGAAATAGTATCATGAAGATATCTATTCAAGATAAGTTATTAATAAATTATATGTATAAAGCGTTTTAATGAAGAATTTGAACAGAAGAAGGAAACAAAAGGAGAAAAATACACCTCCTAATACAACAACAAGCTTGCAAAACAATGTTTTACTGGATTTTATTGGGAACTTTTATTACGTTGCCCTCGGTATTACGATATTTTACCGTGACAAAATGAACATCGTAATAACGAGTCCGCACTGTAACTATAAGCCCTTACCTGAACCAAACTTGCATGGATGATGCATCTAGGGATGGACACTACCACACTTGCTTCAGATGCTGGATCTGACCTAGATTTTCCAGATGAGTGACCAGGTTTAAGTTTTTGGAGCAGGTCCATTCCCAAGTAACTATAAGCCCTACCTGAACCAAACCTCCATGGATGATGCATCTAGGGATGGACACAACCACACTTGCTTCAGATGCTGGATCTGACCTAGATTTTCCAGATGAGTGACCAGGTTAAAGTTTTTGGAGCAGGTCCATTCCCAAGTAACTATAAGCCCTACCTGAACCAAACCTCCATGGATGATGCATCTAAAGATGGACACTACCACACTTGCTTCAGATGCTGGATCTGACCTAGATTTTCCAGATGAGTGACCAGGTTATAGTTTTTGGAGCAGGTCCATTCCCAAGTAACTATAAGCCCTACCTGAACCAAACTTCCATGGATGATGCATCTAAAGATGGACACTACCACACTTGCTTCAGATGCTGGATCTGACCTAGATTTTCCAGATGAGTGACCAGGTTAAAGTTTTTGGAGCAGGTCCATTCCCAAGTAACTATAAGCCCTACCTGAACCAAAGTTGCATGGATGATGCATCTAGGGATGGACACTACCACACTTGCTTCGGATGCTGGATCTGACCTATATTTGGAGCAGGTCTATTCCCAAGTAACTATAAGCCCTACCTGGACCAAAATTGCATGGATGATGCATCTAGGGATGGACACTACCACACTTGCTTCGAATGCTGAATCTGACCTAGATTTTCCAGATGAGTGAATTTTAGCCATATTTTAATCAAATTAGCATGGATGATGTATCTTAGGATGGACACTTTCAGACTTGTTCTGGATTCTGAATCTGACCTACATTTTCCAGATGGGTGACCAGAGTAATGTTTTTGGAGTAGCTATATAATATTATGGCATGTTATGATTAAACAGCTTGGATGGTACATCTAAGGATGAAAACTTCCAGACTTGCTTTGGTTGTTGGAACTGTCCAAAATTTTCTTGATTAGTAAACAGGTTAGAAGTTTTTTGAGCAGGTCTATTTCCAAGTATCTATAAGTCCTTCTTAAACCAAACTTGAATGGATATGATCCTAAATTCGCTGTCAAGGAATTTTCGTTACGTCTATCTAAAATGCCATTTATTTCTTTTTCTTTCACAACTTTGATGAATAAACTTATTTAATAATTTTCTGATGCTCATATTTAATAACTAATGATGTTTTAATGATTGTCAAGCGAATAATCAAACTTGTAATGATTGTTTTTGATGCATTCAGTGGACAATCTCTGTGACATTTTTACATATGGTCCGAAGAAATGAAGGAATAGCAGCAGTAAATAAAATCATTCCACCTAATTTTCTTGATTCGTTTATTATATACAAATTTATTTATTAAATTTACTGGGTTTGTCAAAAAATATTGAATATTTTTAAAATTAAACAATGGTTAAATTTTATGCTTGGGGATGTAACATTTCGTGTCAATTTTGTTACGTCTCGCGCACAGCCGCTTTCAGATACAATCGAAGGAAACTTCGATCGATATGTTCTATTTATAGCAATTAGAGACGTCGTAAAAGATTTACGAACTATGGCTGTGTTCAAATGTGAAAGTATTATTTCAAAAATAATCATCATAATTTTATCTGTATTTTCGTGTCAAAACGTTACGTCTGTATACACGTGTCATACATCAAATACTCGGGTGACCAGAGGACGACATCCTGTTTGTATGACATTTTCTGGTCTCTACTTTCATTTTTGGTGAGACCCGTGCACGTGTTGGATCAGTTCCAAGAAAAAGATGACAGGAGACGCGAGTAGTAGGTAGGTCATTTACATGTTACGTCTCTCATTTTTTGGGGACCTCATCTTTTTCGGCGATTTAAGGATGTATTTTGAAACATATATAATGCCAGATTTGCGTGTTTGCAAAGAAATAAGAATTAATTTTCTAATAAACTGTAAATATTGAACTATGCTACATTAATATAAGAATTATGCTTATTTATTTTCACACTATGGTTGGACTGATTGTGTCCACAGTTACATCACGCCCCCCAATCAAGTATTACCTAAATCTTTTAATTCAAAAATGTTAATTTACATGTGATTAAATTTCAACTGATTGAGCTTAATTTAATTGTATCAAGTAATAACCATTGTAAACTCTATTTTAGAGAAAATTTTAGAAAATATATGAAAATTTACAAAAGATGTAACTTTGACAAGATTATTAAGCCACAACAGAATGTGTCATTGTTACATCACTATTTATGAATGTGCATATTTTTTTGTTGATTGGCTTCTGACAAAAATACCTAATTGGTGTTTTAAGAAGTGCAAAACACACAATAAACTTGAGTGAAATAGTATGTATTATACATTGTTCTGTCATTCTTTAACTTCATTACGTGATGTAACATAGGACACCAGTTTTTGTGTCCAAGTTAAATTTGTGAAAATATCATGAGATCAGTGTTACATCACTATCAAAGTACGAGTATAGATCTTAATATCCTTGTCAAATTACCTTTTCACCATTTTTTTCTTTTCTTTTCAGGTCATAGAATGGCCACTGATCACTTCTGTGACTCTTTAACTTGGAAAAGATAAAGATTGATCTCTTGACAGAAGATAAAATGACATTTGTGCAGAAAGGGGCATATACAATACAATGTATATTATTTAAATAAAACTGAAAATTTGTCCAATTGTTTACTTATTTATTAAGTTAAAATTTTCTTAAAGTTGCCTGTGATCTGATTCAAAGTAAAAACTTAACAATTAAGTAAATTTAAAAAAAAAGTTTGTTGGAAGGCTTCAGTGTCCAGTGTTACATCTCTATATGTTAAAATGAGGCATATAATTTTCTTCCTTTGCCATATGATTATGCAAACTTGGCCAAAAAATGCCCAAATGTAAGTGCAAATCCTTTAATAAAAAATTTGTTCAATTAATTTTAATTATGGAGGAAATTTTCTTTTCTGTGTGCTGAAGTTTGTGTCCTGTTACGTCTGAAACAGAAGGTGATCTTTTTATGTATTAGTCTTTAGATTTGAGTGTAAATGAGAACAATGGACAGAAATTTTGTTTATAAAGGGGCAAAAATGAGTGTCACAAGTAAGATATAATTCAGTTGTAATTAATTAATTTGAATTAAACTTGAAGTGTCTCCGTTAAAATTGTTCAGCCTATATTGTTGTACGGATGTGAAGTATGGGGATTTTCGAACAATGCAATTGTATAGACAGAGTACATCTAAAATTTTGTAAATTACTTCTTAACCTTAAACAATCTACTCCGGACTGTATGGTGTATGGTGAACTCGGTCGACATCCCATGTCCATTGAAATACAAACACGTATTATTTCCTATTGGTGTAAACTTAAACTTGGAAAAGAAACAAAAATATCAAGTCTGCTGTTTAAATTAAGTGATACCGTAAATCAAAAGACTAAGAAGATTACTTGGATAAATAATGTCTTAAATATCTTAAACGATTATGGACTTTCAAATATTTGGAACAGTCAAGCCTTCAATCCAAATTGGTTAAGAGCGAAAGTAAAACTAACTTTAATAGATCAATTTAAACAAAAATGGAATTCGGATGTTCAAAATTTATCAAAGACCCTAAGTTATAGAATATACAAAGACGAACTAAAATTTGAAAAATATTTAGAAATTCTATCACGAAAAGAAGCCATAAATTTCTGCAAATTCCGTACTTGTAATCATTATTTGCCAATTGAAACTGGACGTTGGTTAAATGAACCAAGAGAGATTAGACTATGTAAGAAATGTCAATTAAATGGAATAGGAGATGAATTCCATTACATATTAAATTGTACGGCAATGACACGTGAAAGAAATATATGTTTAACACAAAAACAATTACGATTCAAAAATACAATTACATTTAGAGAAATAATGAATTCAGATAAACAGTCATTTTTAAGAAAACTTTGTATATTTATTAAAAAAATTACTAAAACGTGCTCCCCAAACTAGTAAAGACCTAAACCTATAATTGTACTATTTGTCTATCCTCATACTCACGCATGCCATATATGTGTTTTTATTTTTCATCATTGTAGTTTACATTTATATCTCGCTATACAATTGTAAAATTGTGAAGAGATCAATAAATTCAGTTCAGTTCAGTTACATCACTCAATATTAATGAATTAAATTTTAATTGTATTTTAATTGTTTCAAGTGCAACTATCTCGGCCTTCCTAGGTGACTTGGTCCTGATACCAATCTTCAATTTGCAACAATTTTTAGAGTGATACCTTAAGTCTGAAATATTGGACACAAAGCTTTGAGTGATGTAACAAAAATTCCTTGACAGTGAATTTAAGATCATATTGATCTTGGGATGAACACTAACTAGAAAAAATATGATGTGAGATTTGCCTTACTTATAGATAGCCTTCGTCGAGGTGAGCTTCGTAATCTTTGATTACCTATGTTTATAGACATGTATTAAGTTGTATGCTTTGAAAAAGTAAACAAATGCAATTAGAAGAAGCTGTTGTTATTAGTTTTGATGACCATTTTTTGGTAAAAGAAGGAATTCTTTGTGAATTCAGTCAGTGAGGCAGTGTAAAGTCATTGGGTTAGCTGGTTCTGTTTATAAATTGTTGACTTTGATATTCATCTTTCTCTGTTAACTGGAATATGTCCTAATTTGGAGTTCAATAATTTTCAATCTTTTTACACAGAAAAACCACCCAAGGAGGCTAAGCCTAAGAAGGCAGCTAAACCGAAGAAAAAGTCCACAGATGAATCTGATGGTGAAAGCAAACCGAAGAAGACAAACAAGAAAAGACCAGCCAAGAATTTCTCAGATAGTGATTTCTCAGAGGAAGAATTCCTGCCCAAGAAAGCAGCAGGGAAAAAGGTAAAGAAAAACTAGGAGGTTGCAAGGTTTTATATCCTGTTATATACATGTGTGTTGATGGGGCATACAGTGCTCCAGTTGTCTGTCTCTTCCTTTTTGCCACTTTTAGTTAATTCACTTCTAATAAATTGTTCCACATAATTTTGTCAATCTTGAACACAAAATCATATTGGATTTAACTGTTTAGTAACTGCATCAATTTTTTTCTCTTTGCTCTGACCTGAACCTTTTCATATTACATTTAGCTAAGCTTTAAAGAACTGTTCAGATATTTTCATTTAACTTTAAAACACTGATACATATTGTTGACAACAATTCCACTATGTCAAAAATTTCTGACTTTGACTTCATTGTGACTTTCACCTCGCTTTCACCAATTTTGCATTCAGTGTAGTTGTTAAAGAAAGTGTTCAAAATATTTTTATTAAAACTTGATACACAGATACATGGACATTGAGAAGAGCAATGCAAGAGTAATGTTTACCTTGACCCTCTCTGTGATTTCTCATTTATCACTTTACTATTAATTTACATGTAGATGAAGAAAGAAAAGAATTTTTTTAGCTCACTTGAGCTCAGAAGCTTTTCTGTATGAAAAGTGTCTGACGTCCATCTGAATTTTCATGAAGCCGTATTCACCGAAGGATCAGTGCTTGTGCAGCTGAGGTTGTGACATCACAAATGCCACCTCAAATAAAATGTAAACAATGGTGCAGCTGTGTATCTGAACAGGAAAAACGTTTGGCAAAGCGATTGCCAGGTTTTTAGCCAAACATTTTGACAGGAAATGTCTTACACCTTATGAAAGAAAAACATCGAAGTTATAACTTGTAATCTGGACATTTTTTAACCTTTCTGTGACAGAAGTTCGTTAATGAAAATGGTGTTGCCATGCAGCCTTCAATTACTTGTTATTCAAATCCGACTATAAAATAAAACAATTATGGACTCTTCTGGTGTTGAATATGCTTTGATATTCACCAGTAAAATGCCTTTGCCTTGGTCAATATTGATATTATTCTGGTGAATATCAAAGCATATTCACCACCAAAAGAGTCCATCATTGTATAATATAAAAAGATTGATTTGGGGCAGACCTGCGATCAGTGTTCGAAATTCAGTATTATTTTGTATGGGTCCAAAGGACCCACAGACAAAGGGGCTACATGAGTCCTTCCAAGGCAGCATAGGACCAAAAATAATATATTGTACCATCAAATATTTTGGAAAAATAAACTTTTATTGATGATCTCAGTAAGTTCATCGGTTTGTGTAAAATATGTCAATTTAAATTCAAAGTATTAACAATATAAAACAATAAAACATTAAAAGTTACACAGTCTTAGTTGGTCATATATAAACACCTAAAGAGTTTTAAATGTGTTTATGTTACTTAAACATACTTTTTTTCCACAGGCTCGAATTCCCCGGTATTACAATTTCTGTTATTAAAATCCGCAAATAGAAAATTACACAGTTTAGGTTGCCAAAAATGTTAATAAAATGTGCTTTAATTACACTGGGACTTTCCATGGAAAGTTTGTAATCGCATACATATGTATACGTAAGTTTATACCACACAGAAAAAATTAAATCATGAAAAGATCTTGATAACAGTAACTAGTTTTACCCATCTCAAATCTAATTTCTTTTAAAGATGCTCATTGGTCAATTTGTTTAATATATCCAATCAAAATGCAGGAAAGATAATTAGTGTACATTAACCTGAATTGCAACTTCTTGGGCCTTTACGTTCTGACAAGCGTTGTATAAAAAAAAAAAAAAAAAAAAAAAAACAACAGTGTGTTTTTTCCAAGCTTGCTGGTAAGGTTCAAGAAGATCCAATTGACATTAACTTGTTTCCCAGCAAATCGTCGTTCGGCCCAAAATAATTTCAAGGACCCATTTAGTCATACTGTGCATGAGTCTTTCTAATTGTATGTCGGCGTAGAACCGACGGACCGACACTAATTTCGAACACTGCCTGTGATTGATGACTTCTAACCAAAATATCGACATGAATTACACTTTTCTCTCAAATCATTGAAATTTAGAACTTAGAGTTATTTTCTTGACATCATATTTAATTTGTGGCATCATGGACTGGTGAAAATAGATAATGCTTTAAGGATACACCAAAGGTTTCCAAATGCCAGAATTTAATTTGCATGTAATTCTTTCATTATCAAAGATAACATAATAAAAGTATGTATCATTTCAAAGCTTGTTAAATTTACTATTTAATTATCCTAATTTAAACTTTAATTAATAACTTCTTCAAAAATTATTTAAATATTAAAATGTAAATCTTAGTGCTTAAATATTTTATAAATCAACTTTTTTGTATTTAACCCCTCAAAGTGGTCATTTTACCTCAAGGTAGATTAAAGATTGAACTTAAAAACCGTATCTCAGATTTTTGATAAATCTTCTAATTCAAAAGTTACAGCCATTTGCCCTTCAATGTTACCAATTTATTAGCCTAATTTAACATTTCCCTCAATAATTCCAAAACTAAGCTAGATATCAAAAATCTGAGATACTGTTTTGTGAACACACATTTGAGAAGCAGCCCATCCAATTTTCAGAGAAATTGGTCAATAAATGAGGGAGCTGAATCCTTTGAAATAATACCACAAACTGTCTGATCTTACTTTACAGTAGAGGGCACAAACCCATTACACAACAAAATCTGTCAAAGCTAGGAATATATGACACCTTGGAGATTCAGCTTTGGACACCTGTCACTTAGCCATATTTCCTATGCATATTCACAAGAATGGGAGGTTCTTTTCTGTATTAAGATGCTTTTAATTAAGTAAAATAGGTTCAATTCTGAATCAGAAAGATTTCCTGGCAAAATGGCAAGAGCTAAGCTCCACCTCCTATTTTATGGTCATCAGTGATCTGTTAGATCTCCTTCTCTAAATCTAGAGTCCCTGTAGTCTAATTACTGATAACCTCTGTGTGGCTAGTGAAGAATTCCCCAAGTGGTCACAGTGATTTATTGCGTCTTTCATGAGCAGGCAGTCACAGATCCAATCAAAAGCTTCAATAACGGAACATTCACATGTGGTAGTGTTTATGTTTCATTATTGTTAAATAATTAGAAAACCATTTCATAATTACCAAGAATTTTACATGCATTATAAAGCAGTGATTAACTTCTTTTTCTTGGCCAAAAATCTCAAAATTGTTGAAAATCTTGAAAAAAGCCTTTGGTGTATCCTTAAGGTCTGCAGACATTCCCCTGGTTTAGAACATAGTTATAGATTTCTCCATCAAAGTTTAATTTGGGGGGGGGGGGGGGGGGGGCAGATATTGGTCATAAGAGAATATAGTCCTTGCTGATGAAGACCAGCAGGGCTAAAGTGACTCAGCTGAGCGTTGTAGCCCTTTGGGCCTCTTGTATCATATTTTCCACTGGACGGGGCATTCATGTCCTATGGACATAAATATAAAGGTTTTTCATCACAAATTAAGAAATGAAATCATGAAAATGACAAGGTATTTTATATTTTGTAGAAGAAGAAGTCCGAGACTGATGATGATGATTTCCTATTAGAGGAGGACATGCAAGTAGATGTGGCACCACGCGCTAGAGCTGGGGGACGAGCAAAGACCTCAGTCAAGTACAACTTCGGAGATTCCTCAGAAGATAGTGACTTCTAAGAAAAAGAATAATTTCATAGGAAAGATCAATTTCATTAGAAAACATGTCTGTTTTATTATTTTTTTTAAACGAACAATTTTAACATTAATGTGAGAAAAATGAATTTTCATATGTACATTTGCTGGTCATATTTTTGCCATTGTTGGAGAGATTCATTGTGCATTTTCTCTTTGACAAAGTTATTTTAGTGATTATTTATTTAGATGGACAGAGAGCGAGTAAGAAGAGAGTAATTGGATGTTTTTTGTCAAATTCATAAATGTCTCCTCATGACCAATATTCTTTACATTTGTTTAGCAAGACTGTTTTGTTTCTCTGTATCTTAAATCTCCTGTTCTATTTTCATATCTTTCATCATTTTTTAAATGTTGATGTCTGTAGAGAAAAAATACATTTGTGTCAACTCATCATCTGTTTGTTGTTGTGAAGATACAGGTAAACTGTAGCTCACCTGAGCTTATGAAGTTACACAGGGCTATACTGTGAAATCACTATTTTTGTGGCGGTTTAATTTTCATTGATTTCATGGTAGGAAAAGACCCACAAATTCATGTCTCCCACTAAATGTTAAAGTTCTACTTAACAGTATAAAGTCTATCCTTAACCCACAAAATCAAATCTCTTTAAACCAATATTTTATCAAACCACGAAAATTTGACCCCAAGAAAATAAGTGATTTTACAGTATGCTGTATATTGTTTAGAAGAATATGATTTTCCGATAATAATTACAGTAGCAAAAGTTTTATATGTATAATTGAAAAGTTGGTAGAACAAGTAAAAAATTGTTTTCAATATTCTACAGCTGCAAATGACACAGCAATACTTTTTTTTAGCTCACCTGAGCCGAAGGCTCAAGTGAGCTTTTCTGATCACATTTTGTCTGTAGTCCGTCTGTAAACTTTTCACATTTTCGACTTCTTCTCAAGAACCACTGGGCCAATTTCAACCAAACTTGCCACAAAGTATCCTTGGGTAAAGGAGATTCAAGTTTGTTCAAATGAAGGGCCACGCCTTCTTCCAAGGGGAGATAATTAAGAATTTGTAAAAAAATTAATGGCATCATTAAAAAATCTTCTTCTCAAGAACCACTGTGCTTGAAAACATGAAACCTATGTGGAAGCATCCTCAGGTAGTGTAGATTCAAGTTTGTTCAAATCATGACCCCTGGGGGTCGGGTGGGGCCACAATGGGCGATCAAAGTTTTACATAGGAATATATAGGAAAAATCTTCTTCTAAAGAACAGCAAAGCCATAATTGGTCATATTTACATGGAAGCATCCTCAGGTAGTGTAGATTCAAATTTGTTCAAATCATGACCCCCGGGGGTCGGGTGGGGCCACAATGGGCGATCAAAGTTTTACATAGGAATATATAGGAAAAAATCTTTAAAAATCTTCTTCTCAAGAACAGCAAAGCCATAATTGGTCATATTTATATGGAAGCATCCTCAGGTAGTGTAGATTCAAGTTTGTTCAAATCATGACCCCTGGGGGTCGGGTGGGGCCACAATGGGCGATCAAAGTTTTACATAGGAATATATAGGAAAAAATCTTTAAAAATCTTCTTCTCAAGAACAGCAAAGCCATAATTGGTCATATTTAAATGGAAGCATCCTCAGGTAGTGTAGATTCAAGTTTGTTCAAATCATGACCCCCGGGGGTAGGGTGGGGCCACAATGGGCGATCAAAGTTTTACATAGGAATATATAGGAAAAAATCTTTAAAAATCTTCTTCTCAAGAACAACAAAGCCATGATTAGTCATATTTATATGGTAGCATCCTCAGGTAGTGTAGATTCAAGTTTCTTCAACTCATGACCCCCTGGGGTCGGGTGGGGCCACAATGGGCGATCAAAGTTTTACATAGGAATATATGGGAAAATCTTCAAAAAACTTCTTCTCAAGAACAGCAAAGCCATGATTGGTCACATTTACGTGGAAGCATCCTCAGATAGTGTACATTCAAATTTGTTCAAATCATGACCCCCGGGGGTCTGATGGGTCCACAATGGGCGATCAAAGTTTTACATGGGAATATATGGGAAAATCTTCAAAAATCTTCTTCTCAAGAACAGCAAAGCCATGATTGGTCACATTTACATGGAAGCATCCTCAGATAGTGTACATTCAAATTTGTTCAAATCATGACCCCCGGGGGTCAGATGGGTCCACAATGGGCGATCAAAGTTTTACATAGGAACACATAGTAAAAATCTTTAAAAAAACTATTTGTTAAGAATAGCAGAGCCATGATTGGTCATATTTATATGGTAGCATCCTCAGATAGTGTACATACAAATTTGTTCGAATCATGACCCCGGGGGTCGGGTGGGGCCACAATGGGTGATCAAAGTTTTACATAGGAACACATAGTAAAAATCTTTAAAAAAAACTATTTGTTAAGAATAGCAAAGCCATGATTGGTCATATTTATATGGAAGCATTCTTAGATAGTGTACATTCAAGTTTGTTCAAACATGACCCCTGGGGGTCGGGTGGGGCCACAATGGGTGATCAAAGTTTTACATAGGAATACATAGGTTAAATCTTTAAAAATCTTCTACTCAAGAACAGCAAAGCCATGATTGGTCATATTTAAATGGAAGCATCCTCAGATAATGTAGATTCAAATTTGTTCAATTCATGACCCCCCCCCCCCCCCCCCAACCACTTTTATATTTAAACTTTTCAACCTTTCAAGATTGAAGTGATTTCTGCTTTTTCCTAGCCATAGTGCACAGGTGAGCGATGTGGTCCCTGGGCCTCTTGTTTTTAACACTTTTTATTGTGTTGTCCATCACTGCTCCCTGCAGCATAGTCTAGAGAAATCATCAGGTTCCAAGTTCATTCTCCTTATGTAGCAAATTTATATATGACCTCATACGTAGGCATGACTGAAATGCTTTCCTAGAAATTTATGTGCATGGAGATGTATGAAATAATCCTTTATGGAAATAAGATGGACTAAACACAAAAAGAGGAAAATGTGAAATTCAAGGTAACAGGAAAGGTCAAGGTAAAAAAAAAAAATAATAATGACACAGTATGCTGAATTGTAAGAAGTTTAATAACAGAAAAAATCTTCAAAAGGTCCTAAGGAAGGTCAAAGTCAGAAAATTATGACAGAGTTGAATTGATGTTACCAGTACGAAGTTTTTGTGAAGTTTTATTTAAATTTTTGAAAAGTGCTTTTAGAGATCGTAGGGAAGGCCAAGGTCAGAAAATTATGACACAGTTGAATTGCTCTCTTCAGTTTGCTTTAATGTATGTATTCCTTTGAAGGTCAAGGTCAGAAAAATTATGACATGGTTGAATAGCTCTCACCAACAAAGATATTCTGTTGTCTGTAAAACTTTTCACATTTTTTGGCTTCTCAAGAACCACTGGGCCAATAATTTCAACCAACCTTGCCACAAAGCATCCTTGGATGAAGATGATTTTGTTCAAATAAAGGGCCACTTCCTCTTTCAAGGGGAGATAATTAAGAATTGGTGAATAATTAATGACATCTTTTAAAAAACTCAAGAACCACTGTGCTGGAAAAGATGAAACTTAAGTGAAAGATTCATTACATAGTGCAGATTCTAATGAGTTCAGAACTTGACCCCTGGGGGTTGGGTGGGGAAACAAAGGGTGATCAAGGTTTTACATAGGAATACATAAGGAAAATTTTTAGAAATCATCTTCTCAAGAACAGCAGAGCCATGATTAGTCATATCTATATGAAAGCATCTTCAGGTAGTGTAGAATCAAGATTGTTTAAATCAGGTAGGTGGGGCCAAAATAAGAAATCAAAGTTTTACATAGGAATATACAGGGGCAAATTTTTGCTGACGAAGAACAGCAGGGCCATAGTGACTTAGATAAACATTGTAGTCTATGAATCTTGTCATATGGCATCTTGGGGTATGTCAACTAAAAAGTAGGTCAATGTGATCTATTTTTCGAATTTTTACAACTTATCATTTTGAAATCTTAAACCTATTTGAATCTTCTTACAATGTAAAAATGCATTTTGTGGGAAAAATAGACCGTCTGGATCTGAAACACGGAATTCTGGTTAAAGAGACGAAATAATGTTAAAATTTGTTACTGAGAAAAATGTGCCAAAGCTGAAATGTCTGGATATCTAAAGGTCCACTGTATTTTGAAAGTGTGTTCTTCAGGGTCACCAAACCTTAATAGTTGATGCACTTTGGAGTCCTCAAATGTGTCGGTTCAAAAGTTGGTCACAGTAACTTGCTTTTGAATTTACATTTCATTGCCTGCACTCAAATCTTTTAAGCATGGATATTTGGAGGCCTAGGATCATCTAACATTGTAGGTTGATGGATTTTGGGATATAAATATTACAAAATAAAGGTCACAGTGACCTACTTTTTAATTTTTGCAGCAATTCATTTTTAAGAATTTTTAAATTGGATTAGAATCATATTTTGGACATTTTTTAAGCCTCTGACCATCAAACCTTCTCTGTTGGTGCATTTTTAGGCCTTAAGGTATGGCCACTAAAATATTGTAACATACTGATTTGATAAAATACAATTTAATATACTTTCTGAAATATATGGCTATCCATTTTCATTTTTTAGCTATATATCTTGGATACCAATAGGCTTAGAATCATCAAACAATTGCTGATGCACCTGGCCTTGGGTTGTGTCCCCTAAAAAAACAAGACGCCCAAGGGCCTAGAATCGCTTTTCTGAAAATTGTACAACTTATAATCTCATCTGTTTTAAGCCTCTTGCTAACCTATATATAAGGATAAAGCCTTGAAATTCCAAAATTAGGTCAGCATGGCAACATATGACAAAGTTTGATGATTCCAAGCCAATTAGTTTCTGAAATATTTAAATTTAGCCATGAAGTTGTGAAAGTAGGTTACAGTGACCTACTTTTTGGTTGATACACTCCCAGGACTCAAGATGCATCGATTGACAAAATTTGATGATTCTAAGCCAATTTGTATCTGAAAAAGCAATCAAAATTCCAAAAGTAGGTCATGGTGACCTACTTTTTGGTTGACACACTTTGAGGACTCAAGATGCATCAATTGACATAGTTTGATGATTCTATGCCAATTAGTAACTGAAAAGGCCATCAAATTGCAAAAAATAGGTCAGGGTGACCTACTTTTTGGTTGACACATTTTGAGGACCCAAAATGCATCAACTGACAGTTGATGATTCTAAGCCAATTAATAACTGAATAAAAAGCCATCAAATTCCAAAAGTAGGTCATGGTGACCTACTTTTTGGTCGATACACTCCAAGGACTCAAGATGCATAAACTGACAAAGTTTGATGATTCTAAGCCAATTAGTATCTGAAATATTTAAATTAAGCCATGAAATTGTAAAAGTAGGTCAAGGTGACCTACTTTTTGGTTGACACACTCCGCGGACTCAAGATGCATTAACTGACAAAGTTTGATTATCCTATACTTCAAAGTGTCAAAACTATGCCTCTAAAACAATTTGATAATGAATACCTGTAAAATTCCAAGAGTAGGTCACTGTGACCTACTTTATGATAAATGTTTTAAGGCCGGTAGATGCATCAACTTACAAGGTTTGATGATTCTAAACCTCTTAGCATCTGAAATAATGACCTTTAATGTTTAGAAAATGATTAGACATAAAATTCAGAAAGTAGGTCACTGTGACCTACTTTTTGATTGACACAATTCAAGGTCTCATGATGCATAAACTGACAAGTTTTGATGATCATAGGCTTCAAAGTATTTAAGTTATGCATCAAAATTAAAATGGAAATGAATACCTGCAAAATTCAAAAAGTAGGTCATCGTGACCTACTTTCAAGTTCACGATATGAGGTCCGAACATCATCTGACAAGATTTGATGATCCTAGGCCTTACAGTGGGCAAAATATCAAAGATTAAACAAAACATAAATTTTGGTCAACTTGGAAGTGACCTTGATACCATGCCCTTTGCCCCAGTGTTATGCCTTGAACAATTTCTAATCTACAACATATCCTCATCCTTGTAAGTAGGTTTGGTGATAATCCGCCCAGTGGTTCTTGAGAAGAAGATTTTTTTTAACAAACACTACTTTTGTTTTTATTTCCCTAATTATGTTTAAGGGACACATCCCTAGTTTTAGTATAAATGAAAGCCCTTGAGCCAAGGATACTCTGTGACAAATTTGAAAAAAAATTGACTCAGGGGTTCTTGAGACATGGCCCATTTTTCCAAAAAGGTTAAGCACACCGCACAAATGGCCATAGCATTAGCTCTTTGAGCCTTTTGCTCAGAAGAGCTTATAAAAGACAGTGACCCACTTTCTGAATTTTACTGCTTTTCATTTAAAAATCTAATATATTACACATCTGGGTGCTCAGAGATTTGTTAATTCAATAGGTTAACAATGACCTACTTTTTGAATTTTTCACTGACTTTAAATATCTTTTTAGCCTGAATACTAAGATACCTAGGATCATCAAACCTTCTCAGTTGATGTGCCTCGGAGCCTTGGGATATGCTAACCAAAAAGCAGGTCACAGTGACATACTTAATTTTGATCATTATTTGTCAAATCTTTTTAACTTGAATTAATTAAAAGACCTAAGATCAAGAAATCTTTACAGTTGATGCATACTGGGGTCTCAGAATATGTTAACTCAAAAGTAGGACACTGTGACCTACTTTTTGAATTTTCAGATTGCTAAGATGCAGATCTTGCTACTGTGAAGCCTAGGATCAAAATTATGTAAACCACTGTCATTTATCAATACTTTAATGCCACCAAGCAAGCCACCTGTATAGATTTCTTGAGCAGTGGCTCTTCCATTAATGAAAGATACAATGATGTATTTTCAATAATAAAATATTTAACAAACTTAATTCTACATTATATGATTATTTATACAGATATAAACAATAAAATGTCTTTCTTTCTTTGTTAGTATGGGAATTAATATTGCAGCTATTGCAGAAAAAAATTTACATAACCTGCGTAAGCAACATTAATTCCAATACTAATAACCAAAGAAAGCATTTTATTGTTTAAATGTCCAAAACAAAAACAAAACTAACAGGTGTATAAGCTTTATATCAGTCAATAGAATGACTAGAGTATATTAAAGCAAGATAAATAAGAAATCTACACAGTGTAAGAAACAGAGACAGTACATAATACATGTACATGTAGTAGCAACACCAAAAATAAACACTAAAAGATATAAAACAATGCAGTGAGTCCAGTTCCTGCAAGCACATTATGGTACGTTGTAACACTTTTGGACTCCATACTGTGAAAGGCTGACTGCCCAATACCTTTGTTAACTGTTAGAATTACTGATTGTTAGCAAACATACATGTATGACAAGAATATCCTGGTTGTGGATTGCCATGTGTTTTTTTTTTTTTTTACGGTAATCACTTTTAATATCTGGATCATTTATATCTGTCTGATGAAAAGTGACCTAGGGCAATAAAAAATAGGCCAATGGGCCACAATGCTCACCAAAGTCAATTTGGCCCTGCTGTGAAATTATTTCCCCTCTATTCACATGCAAAATTCTGGTCCAATATTGTGGCCCCACCCTAGCCCACAGGAGCATAACATAACTAAACTTGAATTCACACATCCTGGGATGCTTGAATGTATATGTGACTAATCTGGCCTTGCTGTACTTAAATGTTTTTTCTCCAACTGTATATACCTGGTACCATGCATTAGGTAAAATTTGATCCACAATTTTTGTCCTACCCTAACCCCATGGTCCTAATATGATAAAAATTAAACCTATACAATTTGAAAATGTTTGCATATGAATATATTAAATTTAGTTTGGCTCATTCTTCAAATGAATTTCTTTAAATAGTACCTACATACATTATTCCTCATTAAAAACTCACACCTATACAAGGGGGCCATGGTTTGAAGAAAATAAATCTTCACAATCTGAGTATGCTTGCATATTAATATCACTAATCATGGCCTTCCTATTCTTGATAAGATTTTAAAGATTTTATGCCTTTCCATGTATAACTCTGATCCCCTACTGTGGCCTCATCCTACTTTCAGGTGCTTTATTTGAACAAATTTGAATATACCATATATATGGAAACTTTCTTCTTTTCTGACCAAGTGGAATGACCTCGCCAATTTTTTTCTTAATTATCTCCCCTTGAAAGAGGATGTGACTCTTTATCAATCCCCTTCATCTAAGGATATTTTTATGGATAAGAAGTTGAAAATGTGAAAAATTTAGATGACACACCACAAACAGAAAGACCGACGCTGGACATTCTTCCGTCAGAAAAACTCAGATGAAGGCTCAGTTGAGTTGAAGGCTCAGAAGACCAATGAACCTTAATTTATTATTTTTGTGTCATTTTCATACAGTTTTATTTAATAATTATCAAAAAAGTTTTTTATTTACCATTTTCTACAGCACATGACTGGGTACAAAACTACAGGTACATTGACTAGGGAAAACATTACTTTCTCTACTGAGAAGAAACCATGATTTAAATATAAATAGGAAACTTTTCAAAATGCCACATTACTGTTCTAGCACAAAAACACATACAAAATGTTATACATAAATATAGCATATGTATTACATGTATACATATAAATGTACAAAAAAGCATTAGTAGCAAGTAAAAATTGCTAGTTTATGCATCAGTGAAAAAAGTATCTAATATTGTATATAAAGATCTCAATGACATTTGATAGTTTTATTTTTAGACCATTCATAAATGCCCCTGGTAGCAAGTTTTTTTTTATAACAAACATCTGTGACACAGTTTCTTCAATGTAAATATTGGTGTTTATATCAAAATTATATGCCTTTTAAGGATTTAAACATACAATATGCATATAAATGAGTATAAAAATAATTGCATATTAATAACAAGTTAACATGCATAGAAACTTTTTTTGTACAAATATAGACATTTATGTTTAAATAGTAATAAATACAAAATAATGTAAAAAAAAAAAAAATCAAATTTGTTCCATATGCATTTCCTATTAATATAACTTACATCTGGCAGAGAAGATATGACTATACCTTGTTCAGTTTGTAAATACTTATATAAAGTAAATGCCAATAAACTTCAATTCAAAAGGACAATTTTCTACACAACCTTTCAAAAGGAAATAAGTCCATTTTCCAATTAAAAACAAGACCGAACAATATGTTGTTCATGTAGAAATACATGTATATTACATGCATAAATAACTGACAAAGCATAAAAAAAATAAGATTGCCAGAGACAATTTGTAAATGAACAACTTTTTTGAATTTTATAATTTCAACAAATTATTGCTGAACACTGAGCTTGAACGATTATCAATAAAAGAGTTGAACTTCGTTATCTCAAACGTGATGGGACCAAAACTTCCAGGTATCCAAGGGTTTAAGATATCAAGGGTGAAATACTCAAAGAAATAGTGCTTGGGACTTCTGAATTGCTTTGACATATCCATGGTATTCAAGATATATGTGTTTGAGATATAGAAGTTCAGCTGTACATGTCAAAAAGTTATAAAATAGCATAAATAATCTTAAACCTCTCTCTGTAAAGCTGGCCTCTTTGGTGTACACAGATCACTGAAATCCTGGTTTTGAAATCATCAGGATTTAAAGGCATAAGCAAAAATCTTGTTAACTAATATTAATTTGAAACATGTGAGAGGATTACACTCTTGACATGTCTGTGGTGTGTAAAATCCGTACCCACAATGTGCCAGGTTTCCTCACGGAAGCCTCCTTATCTTTGCCAAAAAGTTCATACTGAAAGACATGGTGGCCATCAAACTTTGACCTGTCAGACATCTTTATAGTACACATGGCCATGAAACGATCCCTCATCATGTTTAAGTTCCAAATCTGCAGTCCAAATGTTAAATATCTAGCATTAAAAAGTACTGCAAACAAAATGAACCCCCTTCTTTTCCTAATAAAAAAAAGCCCTAAATATGTTACATGGGTGCACTTGTATCATTGTAATGTAGTTCAGTGAACCCTGATTTATCCTACAGATCTCAATAATATAGATTTTGGAGTATGTTAAGTAACAACTGACCTCAATCGTAATGTCTTCGTCCGGCTTCCTGTGGTAAAAAGTCACACGTTCATTGAATTCTGGGTTGATGTTGTTTCTTATAACTCGAGTTGTGGCTTTCTTCTTCTCACAAAAGACCACAATGTAGGGGTCAGAAACTGAAAAAGAAAATTCCTAAATGCTAGAACAAAGATGAACATCTGTTGGTTAAAGTTTGTCCATGTCATCATAAACTTGAGTATCCTATTGCTATATAATTTTTACAGCAATATGTGTGTGTGATCGCAGAAGATGCCAACATTTTCTTTCCTTATCATGGACTTCAATACCACTATTCCTCGTGTTTATTTTGTGGATACTTCTTAGCTGTACAAACTTGAGTATTTTTTCCCCCAACTAAGTAAGAGTCATATCCTTCTTTTACAGAATTTTATAAGCTCCGTTAAAACTTTTATTGTAAGAAGTTTGATGTCAATTTTAATACATTATTCTTTGTTTCATTACACAGTTTCACTTGGAATAAAAAAAACACATTTTCAAAATATAACATGTTATATTTTGATATGAAAATTTCAAAGACGATGAAATCCTCTTGGCACGTATCATATGTAACAATTAAACAGGAAAAAGACTTCTTTGTTTTTAATGTTTTAAATAGAACAAGTAATTAGAGTTGGAGGGGGAGGGGAAATCTTGATTTCTATGGAATATTCATCAGGATCATCCCCCAATGAAAAGCTCAGGTTTTAAAGTTGCCTTGCTGTACAAACTGAGTCAACTGAACTATGGAAACTTCTGAAAAACATAGACACATTTACATCTAAAAAGACATGACTAAAATTAACTTTATAAAATTCAATGAAATTACACTAGGTCTATTGTGCTGTTTACATCACTGGTTCTTTGTGACCTAATAAAACCACAAAATCAAGAATGATAAGCGGGTAATGTTTCAAATGCTCAAATTTACATCTTTATTTTTCAGAAAAGCAAAGGCAACAATTTTTTTTACTACACTTAATTTAACATTCTTCCATACTAAGCTTTACAATTAAAAAGTGTAATCATAGAGTTAATTAATGACCATTTCCTATTACTTTTATCCTTCACAATAAGAAAGATAACTAAAACTCAAGCAGGTAAACTACAATAAATAGTACCGGTATATACTTCTACATCATAAAAACACTCTATGATTTGAGATCTATTTCAACATTTTGTATGCTCATAAGCATTACATGTATTACATTCTATTTTCACTTATTATTTGTAAATTCATACAAAAATGTTCATACATGTCGTCTTACTTGTCATAAAATGTAACTGTTAGTGTATTGCTGCTTTAATATATCAGAAGAATTAAATTTTCTTCGGTCTTTTCTACAATCTGAAACTCTTACTATCATTCACAGACAATAAATTAAGGAATCTCTAAAATGCTTTTAAAATACATCATATAAAGTGAACATATTCACTGTATCTAGTTCATTTTCAACATAGGGTACCTGTCTTATTTGAAGTTATTTCTGCAGAAAAAATGTTCTCAGACAATGAAATATTTGTGAACAGAAATCACTGTTGTTTACTTACATTGGGAAAATTAAAGGAAATAATGTATACAGTATTACTTAATCTTGGTCTAACATAAAATGAAGAATACTTTAATTCATTACAAATTGTATCATTAACTGTAGATTCCCATTTATTCTATTTTTCCTCTAAGGGGAGATTACTCTAACTCAATACAACTACCCTACAAATAGAACTCTTAAGTTTGCAGTGTTTAGAGCTTCCTTAATATAACCTAGAGAATTCTAGAGGTGTAAAACTTACATCCATCTTTGTCCTGGACCTCAAGTCCCTCGGCTTTGAGGAGCATTATTTGTGTGGCTGCCACTTTCGGTTTCTTTGATCCAATTCCCAGAAAACCAGAACTTGGTGGTGGAGGTTCATCTAAGTACAGTTCCCTGAAGAATAATCAACAATAGCTTTATAAAAATCCATATCCTCAAATGGTACAAAGGAACCTGTAATTGAAGAACTTTCATCAAAATATGTTAATTTAAGGAATATGTTTTTAGGTTTTGTGTGAGTTATTGGTGTGTAAATCACAAAGACTTGTCACGTAGGCATATTTCATGAAAAATAGTCCCTTTTCAGGTTTTACAAGATACTTGAAGTCTCCAATGAGTAGCTCTACTACTTTGTACTTATATGGAAGAGAAAAGTAGCACTTGGACTTTGAACCATGGCAACTGCAATAAATAGAATAATGTCCTTGGTAAATCTTTTTGTTTAATTGCAAACAAAAATAAAATTGTAGGAGTAGCCTTTTAAAAGAATTTCACAGGAATTTCCATTTTGAGTAACCAAAGCAACACTGTCAAAATCAAAAATAATACACAGAATTATGTATCTTTGTGTAATCTTCTATGTACCAAGTTTATTGAAATCAGCATTTTGAAAGATACAGTATTTATAGAAATTTCTATTTTTAGTTACCATGGCAATGTCTTTCATTAAAATCATATATAGATTTATGAAATTTAGTGTAGTCTGTAGGAGGAGTAGCAATTTGAAAAAAAATTCACAGAAATTTCTATTTTAAGTAACCATGGCAACACCATCAAAATCTGAGTGTAGATGTATCTGGTCTACTAGTGTAAAAAGTATTACTATATAGTCTATTTATAGTCCCTATGTAATCTATACAAGTGCAAACACAACTTCAGGCTGACTTTTTGAGAGATATTAAATCCTTTTTTTTGTGAGAGAGAGATTATATACTTTTTTTTTATCGATTTTCAATTCCCTCAATGCTTTGAGCTAGAACTTGAAATAGAAAACTACACGTGCATACACTGTAATTGCATTTTTTATATACATATGTATATTGCATCTATACTGACTATCTTTCAATGAAAACAAAAATCTCATTTGAAGTACATGTAACTATCTTTAAAAATACATTTTATCAATCTTCAGATTAACATTTAATGTAAATAACCTTAGCACTTATGAATTGATGTCATTTTTAATTATGGCGTCACTGACTTTTTCATTTTTTTTTTCACCTTACGTAAGGGAAATGTGCGTAAAGAACGATTTAAACAGAGAGTAAACAATAACACATCAATTGAATCAGAGTTAGCCAATTAAACTTTAATTTTCTTTCAAACAAACAACTCAACTGACAGTAACATATAACTTACTGTTAAAAATTTACAGCACTTATAACTTGAAGTTAATTTAACTATCGTTTGTGCAACCGGATCCTGATCTGTAGATCGAAATAACACTCACTTGAGGTCTGGGCTTTTATCAGCATAAACCCTCAACAAAAATCTACCCGGACAGTTGGGTTCAAATGTAGAAGGTATGACACAATATCGTCCATGCTGCAGTGTCAATCGAGAAAATTGGTTCCTAGCATTGCTGTATGTCCCAGAATGCACTTTCTCCAATTTATCATGCATTCGATACTTCCTGTTTACATCTGCCTATCACAGTATAAAAATTTAGCAGATTTAACTTTCAGTAGAAATATTCTTCTGGAAAAAAATCAACTGTGTAAGAAGATTAATAATAGAGGGGTATTGAACTTATATTGGTGAATACTGGCACGAGTTGGCTGTACAAATGCACTTGGTGGTGCATATGTACAGCCAACTTGTGTCAATATTCACCAATATAAGTTCAGTAACTCCTTTATTATATAGCTAAAACATCTCCCATTGATTTATATTAATTATTGCAACTAAATAACTCAAATTAATAAGCATTCTCAGTATCGGTATTTAATGTCTGTCCTGAAAGTGTTCAATATCGCATCATTCCAATGATCCTACCCAGCTTTATGATCTGATTATTGGGGTATTATTGAGGCTAATACATATTGAATTATTAATTAATAATTTCAATTTTGCGTGAAAATAAACACATCTTACCTAGCTGCCACTACCTATCATAAATTTGCCTTTGAGAGGTTGACCAGACAACATTTTTTGTTTACAATGGGCATTTGATATTGAACGCTTGTATTCGAAATGTTTCAGGCATGCTCATATAGGTAATACAAACTCAGCATTCAATAAAATGCCAAGATATTGAACGCTAAAATTCTCTAGACTTATATAGTAGTTTTTTATTATAGACTATTTATTAGCTATATAATAAAGGCAAATATGGGACAACAGCATATCAGTGATCTGACAAAATGCATGTACATGGATATTACTGCAACTTAAAGTTATATTTCAATCCTGTGCTGAGTGTAAATTTAAAGACAACAGTATAATGTATTAAAAAAGTACTCTTATACAATATATAATGTATTTTAATCACCATTTTAAAACTTTCAAAATATTACTTAACAAATCAATTTTCCTAGTCAAACTGTTTGAGGACTTGCATTTAAAATCACAGTGAACCAAATTGTAGTCATTATTTATTATATAAATCAATTTAAAGATAGAACCCGAAATACAAATTCAATAACTTATAATATATAATACCATATTTATTTACCTTCATAATAAAGAAGCCTATGGTATCATTTTCCTTGCCCAGTTCCCTATCAATCCGTTTGTCCCACTGCTCAAGTGACACCATCACTTCATCCTCCTCCATCTCAACATCAAATACAAACTGGAAATAAATTATCAAATATCCTTATCAATTCAAACACCCTCCTAAGACATTATCAAAATAATATACTGTCTGCAATTACTTACATCAGGGACATATATACTAACAGGATAGGCAACTCCTTCAGCGCCATGTTTATTTGCCCAAAATATCACATACAACACAACAAGTTTATCAAACTCTGTTTATCCTCAGTAAACAGTTTGTTCTCAGATAGATGTAAAATATTCTCTTTTGTTTATTGGAACAGATTTTCATTTAATTTCAAAGCATACATTGTAAAATAATTTAAATATAAAGCAAACAGCCAAATATGTCAAATTCTCAGAAATACAGTCAATCAGGGGCATGTGTTGATTTTGAATATTCAACATAATTATATTAAAATAAGGAGCATAAATAGGGCTTGCAAGAGTTGCCTATCCTGTTAGTATATATATATAAAGTTTATTTACACCAATTTTTGTAAAATCTACAAAACATACAATTGTTCTGTCTGCTGAAAGGTACATTACAAGCTCTCAGGGTCAAATTTTGGCCAGAATTTCCTCTGACCTTCCTACCTGAGGATTCTTTAGAAATGATTGATAATTAGGACATCCTCCACAGCGGTCTTTCTTCCACTCTCCAAAAGCTTTCCCCTCCTTCCATGTTTTGTGGAAAGACACCAGGGATGTGTTAACAATGTGACAAATATCCATTGATGTAAAGTATGCCAGAAAGTCATCAAAAGTCATCCTGTTTACATAGGTGAGAGACAACCATGTACCATTAAATATAAACAGCTAGAATGCATTTGTACTTAAGGAAATGTTTTGTATATATGTTTACTTTGTTTTAAATAGTACACAACATTTTACTCTAACTACAGAAATCCAGTTATTTTTATTCCAATCCCGAGAACTTACCAGAAATCACCATCTTCATCAAATGTGAGGCCCATATCTTTTTTCTCACTGGAACTAACTTTCTGCCATTCTGGAGATCTATAAGTAGGATAAATAGATAATGGGTTCATACAATGTTCTCCTCTTAGTTCTGTATGAATTTTGATTTCTACAAGTTAAATTTCTGGGGGTGTAATGAACAGTTCAAGGCACAATTTATCCCCTCCTTTGACAAATTACCAAAATGCCAAGTATTGGTTAAATTGATCATATGGGTTCAGATTCTTGTGACCAGTTCTGAATTATTTGTACATATATAAATAGACATAGATGCATGTATATGCCCTTGAAAATCATTTACAAAATTAAAATACAATGTGACATTGGATTGATCTTATTAATCCATAGGACAAGAATCAATACATATTTAATCATTTATTACCAACCTTACATATACTTGGTTCAAAACTAGTTATTTTGATAATTGATTAACAGCACAAAAAGAATCTATCTGATTTTAAAAATATTCTTAACTTTCTCTGAAACCGTGCAAGAAGGGATATTTTTGAGTATATCTGAAACTAGTGTATAGAATATACATATTAGGCAGATAGGCTAGATTGTGCTGTGTTCTTTGTTTTTATTCTATTGATGAAAAATTTTAATAGTGCATGAAAGGTTTGTATCAACATGTTATTGTGTACAATTATTTACTGAAATCCCTCAACAAAAATTCAACAAAATCTGACATTCAACAAATAACAATGTATAGGTAAAATTATAATCATCATTCAAGATGGAATCACAGGATCTTAATTAATTTTCCTTGAACTGATAGATTACTCTGTCAAAGACCTTATCACACATTCAGACTTACAGATACATGTATTAGCACCTTGGACAGTAACCATTACTTACCCATCACTCCAAGCACCCTTCCACTCAGTACCACCCCAGGGATTCCGACATCGAATCATGAGTATTTTCTCTTTGTTAAAATGAGCCATTAACCCTTTCCCAAGTCTGACTTTCTTCACAGCAGTGACACTGTAGGCATGACCTTTGACCAGACCACATGATAACTGAGCCTCCATATCATTAGCACTAGTCACCTGACCAAAGGAAATAACTAACAGTATAGTTGGAATTTTAAGCGACCATATAATTTTAGCATTATAAGTGATGGTCTTGGCAATGCTAAAAATAAATGTTGCTTATAATTCATTCACAAACAAATAAAGTTGCTAAAATTAACTTGCGCTTATAATAAATGCCCACATTTAGGATAAAATCACTAAATTTGCTAGATGATAAAATGACCCGTTATATGGTACCGAATATTACACACATAAAATTAATACTTTTTACATAACATATCTTTTAATCATTATGATGTTGATATACATGTATTTTTATAAGTTAAAGAGTCGCAATCAGAACAATATCCATGCGTTTCTCATTAATATAGAATTTGAATAATTTTCCATACATTATATAGTCTAGAATTGAAATTTCATTTATTTCAAATTGTATTAATTTTTTTTATTACTGTATTCATTTCATACGTTGTGAACCCATTATCTCAGAGAAAAAGTAATTTGAGTGTATGAAGAGATTTATACATGTATACATGAAGAGATTTATACATGTATACATGAAGAGATTTATACATGTATACATGAAGAGATTTATACATGTATACATGAAGAGATTTATACATGTATACATGAAGAGATTTATACATGTATACATGAAGAGATTTATACATGTATACATGAAGAGATTTATACATGTATACATGAAGAGATTTATACATGTATACATGAAGAGATTTATACATGTATACATGAAGAGATTTATACATGTATACATGAAGAGATTTATACATGTATACATGAAGAGATTTATACATGTATACATGAAGAGATTTATACATGTATACATGAAGAGATTTATACATGTATACATGAAGAGATTTATACATGTATACATGAAGAGATTTATACATGTATACATGAAGAGATTTATACATGTATACATGAAGAGATTTATACATGTATACATGAAGAGATTTATACATGTATACATGAAGAGATTTATACATGTATACATGAAGAGATTTATACATGTATACATGAAGAGATTTATACATGTATACATGAAGAGATTTATACATGTATACATGAAGAGATTTATACATGTATACATGAAGAGATTTATACATGTATACATGAAGAGATTTATACATGTATACATGAAGAGATTTATACATGTATACATGAAGAGATTTATACATGTATACATGAAGAGATTTATACATGTATACATGAAGAGATTTATACATGTATACATGAAGAGATTTATACATGTATACATGAAGAGATTTATACATGTATACATGAAGAGATTTATACATGTATACATGAAGAGATTTATACATGTATACATGAAGAGATTTATACTTGTATACATGAAGAGATTTATACATGTATACATGAAGAGATTTATACATGTATACATGAAGAGATTTATACATGTATACATGAAGAGATTTATACTTGTATACATGAAGAGATTTATACATGTATACATGAAGAGATTTATACATGTATACATGAAGAGATTTATACATGTATACATGAAGAGATTTATACATGTATACATGAAGAGATTTATACTTGTATACATGAAGAGATTTATACATGTATACATGAAGAGATTTATACATGTATACATGAAGAGATTTATACATACATGTATACTGTAAGTGCCACGGTGTTAAAATTTCACAATTTCTTAAAAAGTATATATAGTGATGGTTTTAATTTCACGCTGCGAGATATTAATTTTAATTATGTATAAGCATTTAAACATTTCTAAAACTAATAATAGCATTCACGATGGGTTTAATTTCGCGGAAAAATGATAAATCACGAACATAGTGAAATTAAAACCATCATGGTTATTTGCCAATCTACAGCATACCGGAATAGCAGCACTGATAAGGGAGTGGTGTTCCTTGGATTTACGGAGGATTTTAAACAGCTTGAGTTTATCCTCTTCAGTCTTAGTGTATTCTCTCAGCTCGAACCCCTCCGCTACTCCCCCCGTCATGTCTACCATTGCATCCTTTGCCTGTCCACCCTTTAGTGACTCATAATCTCCAAAAATCCTGCAAATTAAATGCAGTGTAACTATTAGTTGTCATTCAATCTTACTCAAGATCACAGAGTAAACAGGCTCTGGGCCATAAAACTTAGATGAGCTAACTTTTGATCTCAGTCTCACTTTTATAAAAGGTATATATATAGTGGAAAAGTGAGACTGATTTCAAAAGTTAGCTCGTCTAAGTTTTATGGCCGTGGGGCCAGCTGTAATCACCCTTAAAATAAATTTCCACAGAAATCCTCTTTATATGTTAACTTATATGAATTTCACTTGATTGCTGTTTTAGTATAGGTTATATTCTGAACAATTGTCCTCAATGAAACCTTTCACATTTTGATAACTGAAAGTTCTTTTTTAACTGCAATGCATCCAAATCATCCAGAGCTGCATTCAACATCATAGTGGCTATGTAGCTCTATGTAGAGCTTGAATGGTATGCTAACCTAGCTATAGATCAGTGTGTTTCATAGACCTAGATATCTAGCCTTGCTGCTAGGCTAGATGCTATGATCTTGAATGCAGCTCTGATGTCTTACACAAGATAAATATCTCAGGTTTACACTTTACAGTACAACTACAGTGACCCTGAACCAGTAATCATAAAATGCAGAATGACTTACTTTGCATATGCTTTCTCCAAAAGAGCTGACCAGAACTCATTTTTGCTGCGAGACTGTACATAAACAAGTTCCCCATTCCTGGTTGGCAGCCGGTCATCAATGACTACATCGATCCATTCTCCCATCTGCCAGAAGCGGAAGTGAAATATACCAGCATACTTGTTGTCCTTAGACCATTCTTGCTCCTCAAAGTCTGGTACAATCTAAACAACATTATATTTATGGTAACCAATTCCTGAGAATAACATGGGTGTACATTGTGTTACTCCATGACATCAAGTTTGCTTAAGAATATTTATACTCACATGTTAAGACATTCTATGTACCTATATATGGAAACTAACTCTGTAAATCTGTTACTCAGTGTTACCTTTTTAAGAAGAGATTTGTCCTCAGCAACACAAGCACATGCTGCAACAAACCAGCAGTTTCCCAATGACCCCTGGGCAAAGTCATCTGCACTTGCACCGGCATCAAAGAACTTTGGGTCACTCACAATATCCTAATCAAAGAAAAGTCAGAACATATATTTGTCATTGTCAATGTGTTTTTATTTCAAAGTCCACTCTTGCCACAAAATGGAACAAAACAAAAATTCCAGACATAAGAATGAATTTGTGACTGTCCTAGGGGTTCATTATCAGCACATTTTACTGTACCTTGAATCCCTTCTGATCATGTAATGCTGGTGTAATTTAGTTATTGCCTAATGCTAGAAAATGAAATCAGTTTTTATAGCTATGTTATAACCACCATAAAATATACAATAACTGACTTCTGATAAGGTCTACTCATGACTAAACAGACCTGATCAGGTGTTGGTTGACCAAGGCCAAAGGCTGAGGTTAACCAGTACCGTTCAGGTTTGTTTAGTCAAGAGTGGACCAAATTAAAAAGTCAATAACCCCTTTATTAGATAATCAGGAATTTTACATTTTTCATGCTATGGTCTCCAACGAATATAGAGACTCAATATAACTGTGTAACATAAATTTATTTCAACAGTTTAACAACTGTTAAAGAAAGTGGAAAACAATAATTTAAAACAATACATACTCAACCATTTACTAATGAAGGAGTTTGGTCTCTTCTATACTGGAGTCTGTCATTTTTATGATTACAATGACACATGCTTTAAAATGCTTAATTGCATTGGTCCATGAAAATGAAAGCAAATCTATGTTGATAAGTAGGGAAAACTTGAATAAATTTCCAGAAGTTCATTATCAGGTGAACTCACTCTGAGGAACACCTCAGGAAAGAGAGTCTGTACCAATCAGAGAGCATCAAAATTCCTGATCATTTAATAAATAAGGGATAAACACAGCTCTTATTTAACTCAAAGTAACTCAAACAACCTTAAATAATAATATATATCCATTGCCAAGTCAATGGTATGATAATTCAGTATGACAACTGCTGTCTGGTTTATTAAAAATCCCAAGGATGGCATTCAATTACAAAATTCAAATTATCTAGTAAAGTACATTAAATTTCTAGTTGTTTTCACATATTCCTCTCTTCAATATTCCATTCACTGAAATTTGGGCTGATAAGAGCTCTTAAGAATGAAACTTGATGGGAAATAGGTCTACTGTCATTAGTTCAAGAAAAGTTAAAATAAATATTTTTTTAAAACAGGGCACAAGCTCAACTGGCAGGAAATAAAATATACATTCAAAAACAATTAAACAATTAGACAGAACTTGTTTGGTTAACTGACAATTAATGTGGAACTCTGTTGCAATTTTTTGCTTAAATTGTTTTGCTGTGGCATTTCTTTCTTTTAATCTGTATCATTATCATTCAAAATAATACAGTCAATATGATTGGTCTACAGCAAGTCACATGCAAGGAGACAATTCATGATGTCTCCCTCATGGGCAAGGTAACAACTGTGTTGTTTTATTTCTGATGACAATGAATTAACGCAAACAAGCATGCAGGGTAGCAATTGTGTTGTCTCCCTTTAGATGAAAATAAAATATCGTAATACATATAATATTGATATAAGCATGATTGGTAAACAATAAATTCTAACAGTAAGGTCAAAGTGGTATGTTGACAAATTTTGAAATTATGAAATTGTAACAGTGGGTATGCGAACAATACTGGTTTGACTGATATTTTCTACTCTATTTTGTTAAATTTCCTCTGGATAATTAAGATTATCAAGATTCTAGATCTAGATTCCTCTGGATAATAAGCTATTGTGGACTTTTTAGAAGGTAAAAACCTCACAAATTATCAGGTCAGAGTAAGGTTGTCACCCTCGGGCACTAACAGTACATATTTGTAAATTGTTGATTTTCTTTACTTACTCCTGGCCTCTTCCAAACAATGTCTCGAGGAGCGTACCCCGTGTATGAGAGAGAGCTGGCCACAGGAGGAAATACAGGGTCCTCAAATAGTCTGCCAGCACTGACACATTCCTTCTTCAGGTGGCTGTATTTCTGGTTTTTATAAGGGGTAGCTGATTCAAACAATCCTGAGATCACTCTAGACAGGAAGAGGAGAACTTTAATATTATGATAACCGAGTCATTTTTAAAACAGATTTTTATTACTTCCTTCAATAGTTTGGGAAGACAATGTATCAAATTCAGTAAATAGACAGCTATAACCATTTAACAATTTTATCTATATTTTTTTCAGTTCTCTAGACCTGGTCTGGTGTTTTATGAAGTTCAAAAAATAAACAGAAATATGATAGAGAAACTTAGCGAGATATATCAACAGATCAATGTATACTAAACTAAGCCTATATATATGTTGAGTGGAGAGTTAATTATATTTCATAATAGGTTTATTATTATATCAAATATATCAATATTCTTGCAAATCCGCCCAATATTCATTTTTCCTTATGACATGGGCTTTATTATCTAAAGCATCAAAACTCGCCTCACGCTCATCAATCAACTTCTAGATTAGAAGTATATATCTAAGTGACTTAAACATTTCAGGAGAAACTGTCATTCACATTAAACTGTGTTCATTAGGTAGAATATATTCAGTTTTACCCTGATATGCTGTCCATTTTTAGTTCTTGATCCTATCTTGTGCATTTGCACAGTTTGGCACCATAATAGGAAAACGAAACTGAAACCAGAGCAATTTCCTAAGCAACCAAATCGCATCGGTACGATATTTATTTTCCCGGAAAACTGGCATTCGTACCATAACCATAAACTGGGAATATAGACTTAAGGTCAGACGATACGTTCCTCAAATATCTGTTTTGTATACCTTCGAATTATGTGGAAAATATTCAAAATTTTAATTACCTCCTGATTTCTAAACTGATTTCTAATTGTCTTTAAAAATAATGTTATTGGCTAATTAATTTTTTTCCAAAAGGATTTTATAGGAAAAACATCCTCTGGTATCTTTCACAAATGCCTGGTAAGGTACCTCAATTTTTTGCGAGTAAACATCTTAAAGTAGCAATCCTTCAATGACAAAATCTTGGAAAAAATTATATATTATTGAGGAACGTATCGTCTGTCCTTAAGCCAAAATTTTGATTCTGAAAATCTTGAGTCTTATTTCACATATGTTTTAAAAAATTCCATATTCAAATATAAACATCATGAAAATTTTATTTGATTAATATCAATATTATTTAATTATGATTATTCATTTGAAATTTTTTAGTCAAAAGTCTGTTTTCATAAACGGTCTTGAGGACGGGGCTTTATTAAATATCGCCTATTTTACGTTTCGATCGGACACATAATAGGTCAAGATAACAAACAGTGATCGATCCCAAAAAAAATCTAGTTAGAATAATCTGTGTCTCGGGACAAGCCCTCAACACAGTTAGAATACTCTCATATATCCAAGTATATATGATAAACTTGCAATGTAGCAAATCGGAGCGGATCCGCTCCGAAATGATTTTGAATATCCAAAAGGGGTTGCGCTGAAAAATGTTGACATCAAAACTCTCTGGATTGTTCGTAGTAAATGCACTGAGTTCGAGTTTTCGCACCCTGGAAATTCCAAAGATGGGATCAGGTGCCATGTCGACTGGTCACACCCACCTTCGGCCCTATGTAATGATCAGGTAGACGGAGTTTAGTATAAAAACAAAGGCCTAACAATTGGTATGAAAAATATCAGCCAAAATGAAGCACAATGTTAGATTGTATTTGCTAACAAGGTAATTATAACGATCATAGAATTTACGAAATGCTGACTTTAAACGAGGTTGTTGAAATCTCTGTAACATCAACTTATTTGTCAGTAGCCTGCCTCGGTTTAAAAATTGTTCATACCCAGAACATGATCTTGAGTATCGAATAAGATGGGAGAATTAAACACATGCATTAAAACATGCAGGTGAATATACCACTGAATAAAATTCAATGAAATTTTCTCACAGAATCTTCATTACATAGTTCCATTGTGCATCTCCTGTTTTACGTTTCGATCGGACAGATACTTTAAGCAAAACATGGACTTTGTCATTCTTTATTAAACATTGGGGATAGCCATCTCTTATCCGCAACTCCTCCTATACTACTGAATAAAATTTAGTGAGACTTTCAAAAAAGCTTTTATTGCATAGCTAGTGCCATCGTGCATCCAAAATTTTAGATAGTTATAGATAAGTTTAAACTTCTAATGTAACAAGACTTTCACAGATGCCTTATTACATAGTGTCATTGTGCACCTCCTATTTAACGTTTTGATGGGACAGATATTTCGTCTTTCCCATAACAAAACATCGACTCTTCCATTATACTCGATAAAGAGGGTGCCCATTTTTTAAGTCCACCTAAACACCTGAATGAAATTCAATGGAACTTTCAAAAATCTTATTTACATACTACCAAGAAATGCACTTTGCCATTATACTCATATGGGAGCGGGGGTATCATTTTGTGAGCTCAGTGCTCACAGTACCTCTAGTTTTTATTTTATTATATATTTTTTTTAATACATGTAAACAAAATAAATGTTTTCAAACTATGATTGTTTCTATCAAAAAAAATGGATATTAGAGAGATTGTTTTAAATGTAGGTATATTAGGCACATATGTGAAAGTCAAACAATATCGGGGTTATGAGAATTACTTATATGTAGTTTAAAAAAATGAACACAGAGGATATGTAAGCAAATTAAGAATTTTCCGCCACAACTTAAAGTGGATAGATTTTACCAACATCCTTAGAAAGGATCGTTTGTGATACACCATTTGATATTCTGTCACTATGGAAGATGAAATCCAATTTTTGATAGCGTGAAAAAAAAATTATTTTTTAAGGATAAGAAATATTTCAACTTAAATTATTAAAAACAAATATCCAAAATTTCAAGCTTTATAGAAATAAACGAAAACAACCCTGAAGACAAGGAAATTCTTTATTTTGTGGACAAGTTTATTGAAGATATGTTAAATAACAAATTTATTCTTGAAAAATGCAATTTATTAATCTCAAACAAGCTATTTTTTTATTTACAAGTTAGCTATCCCAATGGCGGATCTGATAGGACTGGACTTTATTCTTGGAAAGAATGGAGAAAGTTACGGTGGAGGCGGTATAGGGGTAGGCCCAAAACAAATTTGGAGGTGTGAAAGGCAAGTACAGGCATATACTGAAGATGTGATGGTATTTATATGGATAGCAGTGGTACTAACTAACGGTCAGGGGCAAGATCCCGGAATTTTCCATTTGAAAAGCCAAAGTTGCTATTTTAAAAATCATGCCTTATATTCAGTATCTCTCTCTTAAAAAAAAAATCCTCTTAGAGGTGATAATAATATATACCGTATAAAGTTATATTAACAGCGACCCAAAATTGGACATTTTTCTTTGCGGTCTTAGGGATAACTCAATTTATTTTCTTGGACAATATTTGTGATTGAATAATTGGCAAAAATTATATTTTAGCGATGCCAAGACCATCTGTATCATTGTAAAATTAGATGGTTGCTTATTAAATTCCCATTATACGCTATGATGAAAAACTGTATCCACCTAATAGGACCAAAGTGATTCAGGTGAGTGTTGATGCCCAGGGGCCTGTTGGATCCTAAATTTTTATCGCCTTGATGTTCGTTTGCTTTATTAAGTCCAGACAGTCAATTCATGTTGGGTCTTTAATGAGAACCAATATGATCATATACATTAATAAAAGAGATCGAATCACTAAATTACAAGATGATTTCGAAAACATTCATTTATATAACTGTAGATTTCCAAGTCATTTCACAAACAACTCTTTCATACGAAATATAGAAAACATGAAAGAAGTTGAGCTTGGGTCACTAATGTTCTCCTAGAGATTCTTTAGAGTTCTGCCTTAGGGAGGGCCCCCATGTACTCCTCCCGAGAGAGCCTCCCGTCCTGATCCTTGTCGTTAGTACTAAACATGTTCTCATAAAGTTTATCAATTATTTCCGGTCCCCCAAATCCGAGGCTCATTGCAGCGGGTTCTGCCTCCAGAAGAGCAAACTGGTACCGGATCTACAATAAAACGCAACAAAAACAATTACAAAAGATATACAAAATATCAAACAAAATGGTACTAATTCAGTTACCGTATATCGGGAAATTTTAGCGGGGTGCTAATTTTGGCTTATTTTAGCGGTTTTGAATTTGCACCCTTGTGTATAATTACTAAACGAAAAGAACTTAACTTTGAGCTTTGTTTTGCTTTACAATATATCTTTCATCTGGTATTAATTTTACTCAAACTCTTGCTTGAATCGGTATCAAAAGTAGATAAAACGTACTGAAAACTCATCTAAAAGATGAACTTTCTTTCTTTTACAACGTCATTGAACTGTGTGTCAGCTAAAAAGAGTTCCGCCAAAATTACTGGGATACCTTTGATCAAGCAAAACGTCGAATTCTGCACCCGCTAAAGAAACCCGCTTTACGGTATGTGTATGTATATACATGTATATGTATGCCTCTTGAATGGCAACTGTTGATACAACTAGTACCTGATCTAAGTAAAGAAGCAGAGGGGGAGGGGAGGGGTCTTATCCTAGTTGACATCGTCTCCTATCAAGTTAAATATTTTCATAATATATATATTTATATATATATATTTTTATTCGTTTCATTATGATCTTAATAAGAAATATATCCCAGGAAAATATTTGATGGATTTCTTGTCGATTCACAACCTTGTTTTCAAGTAAAATTTTGCAATTTGTAATATTTTCTACCGAACTTTAAAGATTTCAATTATATGTCATTTTGGTGACAGCGTACATGGTCCGCAGGGTCGTGATTGCTTTTTGTATATGATATTCATTTCACTATCATTATTGATATCGTGTTGTGTTTATGATCTACCTCTTGTCGATCCAAGTAACCGTCGCCATTGCTATCAATGGAATCAAACGCATCATTCATCTGCTTATCATCATTAGCAAATAAGAGTTCCACCTCGTATATCAACTCTGAGTTCGCAGGCACTGGTTCTAAGAAACCTGTACGTGAAAAATAGTTATGAGCTATAATAATAAGTTGTCTCATTCATACATATACTTCCGTTCCAGGCCCGTAGAACGCTGGGGGGGGGGGGGGATTTTTTCTGAGTATAGTATTTTGCTATAGTAAATTATCCTTAAGATGCTGGTTGCCCACTACCCCACCCCTTTCTTTTTGTTGCTGCAAGGTCAAGCACCAGCAAATTGCAAGATTTGGACGGTTAATTAGGTTTTTTTTTTTGCTTGTCAGATTTATTTGGGAGCTTCCCCCCCCCACCCCCCACCCACACACACACTTTCGAAACCGTTCCTATGGGCCTGCGTTGTATCGTATTCCTTAAGGCTTCACAAATGACATATTTTGTATAAAAGTTATTCACTTAGAATTAATAAATGAAATGGAAAACAAGACTCTTTTACCGTTGGTTGCGTCACGACCTTCCTCGCCGTAGGCTAGATTCGGGGGGACTGTTAGTACTCTGACCTCCCCCACACACATCCCCACAATGCCTTTCCTCAGCCCTAAGGTCCCAAGTTTACTGTTCGGGATTAATACAATCGGACGCTGGTTATCATAACTAAAAATTAAGAAGAAAATGTTTTGATTTAGATCACACGTACTTCCTTTATTGAAATTGTTAATTTCTGCTGAATGAAAATTCCTTAGTCGCCACCAAAAAAGTGGGGTGTTTATAGATTCATTCACAATCTACTCCTGCGTCTATAAAATATGAAAAAGTGGCTTTAATTTATAAAAAATATATATATATAAATAAATGGGGGATACCTGGAGAAGACCATTTTCCCGTCAGGGAGATAGGCGCGATAATGGACTAAGTAAACATCGTTTTCCTTCGCTTCAACAACGCATTCATCTGGCATTTCCTGAACATCGACAAATACATCGTCCTGGAAAAACTGTCCTACGGTTCCAGAGAAGCACACTACTGTCCATAGTATGGTAAACTTAAGAAAGTACATTGTTTTTGTTCTGAGCCAGACAAAAACTGTTTTGCTTTATCAAATAGATACTAAGTAATATATTTGTTAATACCCCTAATATCTGGGTACATCGGACCAATAGCGGTCTCAAAGCCACAGGGTAAAACACACCTCCTTGTAGTGTATGATGCATTAATCGAATGCATCTCATCATATATGTTATGTATACAATCGACAAACCATAGTTTTGTATATAAATCAAATAATGATCTTGTTTTATATTTATCGTAGAAGATTTTTTCACGTGCTTGATATATAGACACATATTACCATAAATTCATCTTTTCCAACACCTTCTATTTGTTGCAGGGCTCTCCTGCAGACCTGCCTCCTACCACCAATTAGACAAAGTTAATAATCGTGCTTTCGATGGTGGTGGAATTCTCTTTACCAATGCATATCTAACAGATATTATTTTTATTATTTTTAAAGAGCATTTACTGGAGAAAACACAGTAGAAAATAAGAATTTACCTTTATTCAACAAATAAGGGCTTACTGAATGTGTAATATATGTACACGTAATGCTTTCACCGGAGGGTATACATAGTTGTCATCTGAATGCTATGATTTCCTATGCAGCAGGTTACAAAATCCACATAACTGTGATTTATAACACGAACAAAGTAAATACAAATAGTGAACATGGTTGAATAGCGATACCAAGTAGAATAACGTTACAAAAAGCCAAGCCAAAATTTGATATGTACATTTAAGATTGCAATATATTATTAAAAGTTATATGTATTTTTACTATCACTCAAAAAAAAATTGTCATATGATGTGGATCAATATAATTTGAAATATAATAAACACTATTTATAATTCGTCCCTTAATTCATGTGGGAGGATGTATCGATATTCCTCCCGGGAGATTTTGCCGTCGTTATCCTTGTCTGCCGCGGTAATCAGGTTATTGTACACCTGTAAGAGAATCTCGGGGGATAGCGCCATGTCTCCGCCCTCTTTCTGGATAGTCTTGAATTGTTCCATGATCTGAAGCAGATAAGAACGTATGTATAGCAAAGGGATAAACTACATGTATATTCAAAACGTGTCGGCAATGATTACATGTTATCTTTTAAAATTATCTTTCTCAAGGAAGAAAAAATATTTTCTGCAACCGTTCGTCGCTAACTTTGTGCCAAGAAATGTTCTAGGTCCATGCTCAACAAATATGTACTCTCGCAGACAGGGTATACCAGGAACACTTTTACACAAAAAAATAAAAAATAGAATCTTTTTTTTTTTAATGTTACAAGCCTCAGAACTCACCTCGTCCAATGTGATGTGGTCATCGCCATCGGAGTCGATGTTCTCAAAGCCCTCCTTAACGTTTATCTTATCCTCCAAGTCTATCAACTCTACCTCGTACAATAGGGGAATGTTGGGAGGGAGCACATCTCCTAACAAATTAAAAGGTTTCTTAACAAACTACAATCTTATATAACACGTGGACGCTGGAGATCCCCCCTTTATGAAATCATTTTTTTTAAAAGTTCACAATTTCACTTCAATATCTTACGGATGAAAATAATCTTTGTATATATTTATATGGAATTCAATTCCTGAGTGAAAGGGGGGGGGGGGGCACCCAACAATTTTTGTGTCGAATCTAAGAAGAATCAGAGAAAAGTTTGTCTACCTATGTTTCTTTTCGTTTGTAATTCCCACTAACATTAGTGCTGAATGAATACAAGTATGTAATAAAACAAATACATTGTGTGGATATAATTAAAACAAAGTTCTAAAGAATGATCCAGTCCCTCCTGTGATTCATGTTTTATATAAGACCTGGGAGTCAGTATTGTATGTGTTGGTTTTTCCGACATTCAGAGAAAAAGACTTGGCCAAATCCAATGGATATACTTGTAGAATCTTTTTCTAATTGTTATCTTTTAATCTAACTACTATTGAATCTTTTTCAGTATAATACAGAGACACACCATAAATATTGTACGGGAATACAGGAATAAGTTACACGTATGTGTTTTACCGTTATGTAGTGGGAGGTCCATATCCCCCTGCCCGTGATGTGGGACCGTTAAGAGTCTCCTCTCCCCTATACACATGTCCTTGAAACCTCTCTCCAATTCACCTGACGGGTGCCCAAGTCCAAGGGGGATATCCATCATTACATCAGTGTCATAACTGAAGGAAAGTGGCAAAACATAAGCTTAAAAAATATCCAAAGTAAGACGATCGAACGACAGCAACTTGCGCTTCGGATTTCTTTGAAGGAAGGAGGGGTGGAGATAAACTAAGATGTAATAAAAGTTCAGTAATTGTAAAATACCTTGAATGAAATAATGTCCCGTTTTCAAAGAACACTTTGAACTGGACTTTCAGCATGTTGTTGAATTGTGACTTTTTCAGACAAACACGTGGTTTGTATAGAACTTCTACTTTCATTTCTTCGTTGGGCTCCTCGGCATGGGTTGGAGACAGGAAAATGACCACAAGAAATAAACGCACCAGCCGCATCTCCTCGGATTGAAGAAGTAACTTTTTGTGTACTGATATAGAAACATAAGGTTACGTGGCAGTTTTTGGTATAAATAAAGGTACATTCACCCAACGGATCGGGTTATGCCACATGGTATATTATATGTATACACCTCTATAATTAGCAGATACCTTTTGGCGTTTATTCATTTAATATGCTATCAGTTTTGTATCTTAACACATATGATTTCGAGTCTTTGTTGTAATTTTTATTTGTGAAAAAAGGCAAAATACAGTACATTTTTACGAATGAGGACTTTCATTTAAATTGCACTTTACATAAACATAATATACCTTTGGAATATATTGTTCGCTTCAAACTCAGTCTGATATAACTGCTATTTTGAACAGGGGATAATTATCACTTATACATGTATACTGTAAATCACTTTTTATTCGCGAGAACTTTATTTTCGCCTGCCTGCTCGCAAAAATTTTATTCTCGCGTATATTTGTATGTAAAGGATTATATACAACAAAACCATAGCTCGTGAAAATTTTGTCTCGCTAATAAATACCAAATCGCTATCTCGCGAAAATAAGATGTCGCGAAAATATTGTGTTCTACAGTAGACTAAAATATTAGTTATCAAAGTAAACATTTGCTTACCTAGTTCTATTAATATATTAGAAGTTTCAATCGTTGAAACAAGGGTTCTTCAAAGCAGAACAAACCCTTGTTATATAAATATATACAAATTCTTCAGCTCCTATACCTCAATATTTTTAACTTTGCCACTGATCTTTATGAGGAATGAGTCGAGTTGCCACATTGCGCAGCTGTTATATGTCATTCCTTTGTTCTTGCAGGACTCCGATATTAGTAAGCAGTTTGAATTATCAGACTGTCTCAGTACTGATATCCTTCAAAATTGGACTGTTACTGAATGTGTTTATTTAGCAAACAACAAAGTTTATATGATTATTTTGAAACAGATTTGAAATATTGTATAAATGTTGATCATAAAGAATTAGAATATGAAAAATTAAACTTTCAATTATAATAAAATTGGAAATTCGATAAATCTGGATAATGTATTGCTGAATTCATTTCACACTTTATTCAAAAAAATTTCTCGTAGCCGATTACTCTCTGCTTTTTTCATGGATAGAACTTCTGATGCGTGTTTTTGACGTATATATGGTTATAACCCCACGAACTTTAATGATTCAGTATCGTTTACCACATATAAAGAACACAAACATAGCCATCTTATTTCACTAGCGTGTGATTGAGATACATATGGTTATATAAAATGTACCCTGTAAATACTTATATTGGGCAACAAAGAAACGTGAATAGATGAAGTAGATACAGTCTATGTACACGTAGCCTATCAGTGTATTATGTCTTCTTATTAACAAGGTGTACGGGGCACTCTTCTCATTACTGGACATATAAACTATATACCCTCATGCCCTCATCTACCTGTAACCAGTGTTCAAGTTTCGGTGATGGCTTCTGCACGGAATGCTCCAAGCTTTATCAGACTGTCTACATTCTTATTTGTGATTCCATTTGTTGTTGTTGGATGCGAAATTGAGACAAAAGAAGGGGTAAAAATTGAGATTATCATCCCTCCCCCCACCGACTGCCGCGGGGTCAAGGAGGGAGACTGGGTTCAGGTTTTGTATAACATGACGTCATTAGAAGGAAAACTGATCGATTCGACATATCGGTAAGGAGTGAATAGAACAATTTAGTGATGAGGTAAACTTAGTAGATCATAGAGAGAGAGAGAAACTGCATCTTTTTTTCTTTTTTTTTGTTGTAAATGCAGACCGGACGGGAAAATAATTGCGGAGGAGTATTACTTTGCTGTGGGTGTGACAAACGGGGTGACGATAGGACTGGAAGGGGGCTGTAAGGGAGAGAAAAGACGGCTTACAATACCAGGAAAACTGATGTTTAAATTTGAAAATGATGGTACGTGAACAGAGTTGTAGATTTAATTATTTATAATCTAAACAACTGCTTGATTTCATTTTATAATTTGAATAAATTTAATAGGAGACAGGTTCTGAACATGAACTGGGTTCTGTTGAACAAGGAGTATATTTATCTGCATTGCTCTCTTTATATTACTGTTTCAGATAGTCCTCCACTTCTCTACGAAGCATTGATTGTAGACCATGTCCCTGTACAAGATAAGCACTGTTTAGTGGATTTTTGGTCCACCGACTTGAACGCAGACAAAGTGATCGACCTTGAAGAGGTATCGTCATATATTTATCATCTCTTCGAAAAATAACAATTTGCAAATGACGGGCCCAGTAACTTATTAGACTTTGAAAGAAACTGAAAAAGGAACTGGAGAGGGGAGGGGTTCAGAAAATCCGTGGTCTCCGATCAATTTGTATTTATGGGAGCTCGTTTTATATCTTTATTACTCTTTAAAAAATGACAAATTTTTGCAATTATTTATTTGTGGACTTAAAGGTAGATGAGGTTCTGTTGAAAGAAGAATTCCTGAAGTCTGCACAGCTCGATATTAACGTAGAAAATTTGTCAGATTGGATTATGAGTCTATTTGATAAAGATGGCGACAGCACGCTGGATCGAGAAGAGTACTTCGATATGTTGAAAACAATTCGTCTTGATGAAATGGTCAAAGCCAAAGAAGAGAGCTTAAGAAAAGAAAAAGAGTTGGAAGAAATGTCAAGGAAAAGACGGCGAAGGAATAGAATCGAGCTGTAAACAATTATCACACAGAATAAAAAAAAAATTGGTAAAACTAGGATACTAGTAGTCTCTCAAAGGATAGAATAACCTACATATTGCCATAAGTTAGATTTCAGGCATTTGGACTGAATCATGAATTATATAGAAGTATGTATGCTTACATATGTGTGTGATATATGTATGTATGCATAAAGATGATGTATATATAAACAAATAATATTGCTTAGTATTCATATAAATATATAAAGCATACTATCTGGTTTATCCCCCTATTTTATGCCCCCTTCGAAGAAGGGAGGGCATATTGCTACTGTCTGTCGGTCGGTCTGTCTGTCGGTCCTCCAACAGTTTCCGTTAATTTTCATCGCAGAAGTTACACATACTAAAATGAAATTTGGTATACAGATTTTTCATAAGAATATCTAGGTCAGATTTTGTTTTGGGTACGATGGAGCAATTTTTGACAGAGTTATGCCCCTTGGACTTAGAAAAATCCAAATATTTGCAGTTTCCGTTCATTTTCTTTGCAGAGGTTGCACATACTGAAGTGAAATTTGGTATACAGATTTATCATAAGAATATCTAGGTCAAGTTCTGTTTTGGGTATGATGGAGCAATTTTTGACAGAGTTATGCCCCTTGAACTTAGAAAAATTCCAATTATTTGCTTTCCGTTCATTATCTCTGCAATGGTTGAACAAATTAATTACTGATATATCATGAGAAACGTGATTTTGTCAAAGATGTGATGTAGAAGATACTATTTCTGGTTGATGCATCTCAGATAGTACCGGTAGATGACCCCTATTGATTTTAAGTTCAAGAGGTCAATTTCATTTCCATGTACACTTCCCATAATGTATATTGCCCATAATAAAGGCTTGTGCACCCTATAATATATGTCCAATGGGAGGGGGGCATAAGTGTTTCACAAACATCTCTTGTTATGTCTTTTCCCCTTTCAATCATGCAGCTCTTTCTCTCTTGTGTGTACATAAGCGTCGGAACCGGAGGGGCTGGGGGGGGCTTTGCCCCCCTCCCCCACTTTTTTGCAAAGATAGACATAATATAGGCATTGAAAATTGGGGCTTACCTCTTTTTGTTGGTTTAGCCCCCCCCCCCCACTTTCAATTTGCTTCCGACGCCTATGGTGTATGTATATAGTATTACATGTATATGACTGTATGAGTATTTACATGGTAATTTCTTTTTAATTGCCCCTTGAGGGCATAAACTAATTGAATTGAATATTAAGATCTAAATTGTTTTAGGATGCGGACGCCTGATTTGTATATTTTCTAAAAGTTGTTTTGTTGATAAAGAAATATGTTGTTTACTATTCTTCTTAAATAACATTGAACATCGCATTACTTTAATATCCTTGTACTTATGTTAAGAAATACTGTGGAATCATTCTAATTTGTGGGGGTCAATATTCCTAGTCAAAAATTTTTTTACTGGTTTGCGAGGATTCAATGAACAGATGCGTTTTCATTAGTGGGATAAGAATGTCCCATGAAATTCCAAACATTGCCCCCACCATACCCCACCCCACTAAAAATTAGGATTCCACAGTAATTGTGATAACCAGTTAGCACTGAGAGAAATCAATTAATGTGAATGAGACATACCGGTATTTCCCCATTAAAATGAGGAAATAGATATTCTCTTTATTTTCTTCCTCTTTTTGGATCATTCTTGTGCACAATGATATTCTGAAATAAAAAAAAAAAAGAAGGAAGTAGGATTTCCCTGTAAATGTGTACCCTTCGGCAATGTGATTTTATTAATTGCAAGTACCCGCATTTCATTGACAAAAGTGAAACAAATATGGCCACATATTATCATTTTGGAGCTTTAATTATATTTTTTGTGATTGTATATTCAAAATGTCAAGTGGAATATAAAAAAGGCGTTAAAATTGAAATGATAGTTCCCCCGACCCCCGGTTGTTATGGGGTCAACTTTGGTGATTTCTACCTGTCTTATGACAACATGACGTTAACTGACGGGACCCCTATTTTCAGCACCCACTGGTAAGACTAACTTTACTGTGAATTCAACTCGGAAATTATCAAATTAAATCATCCGGTAGTTTTAGTCTAGTTCGTTTCCAGAAAATAAAACTTGACAATTTAATTCATTTTGAAAGTTGCCGGTGAAGTCAAAATATCGTACATCACGAAGTCTACACTGACATGTAATGGTCACTTTATCGTGTTCTTGATTTCACTTGAAGGCCAAATGGACTCCATGTCCCAGGAAGATGGTACTTAGGGAATCAGATGAATGGCATCAACATCGGATTACGGGGGATGTGTAAGGGGGAGAAGCGGAACCTGACGATACCCCCGCATCTCATGTATGGCAGCGAAAACACAAGTAAGTCACAAAAAGAAATGTCATAAATGTTTTCTCTTATTTATATTCTCGTTTCTTATTAACTTTGATGTAATAAAAAATGTAATAAGAAATAACTTATACATTTATCTATGAGACAAGTGCTCTATCATAAAAATATATCCCATTCATATTAATTTTTGTTGTTTGTTTGTGTGTGTGTGTTGAAACAGGCACCAATGCATGATGGGGGGAAAACGCTATCGGAATCTACTGTAGATTGTAAACTATTCTATGTATTCTCGTATATGTTATTTACACTAACTATGAGATGTAACAATAGTATATTTGTGTTGAATACTAAGACAAAATTTTGATATGGTTCATAGCTGAAAATATTTCACAAGACAAAAGATACTTCAAACATATCATATGCTTCGAGTTCTTTCGAAGATAATTTTGTAGAAATCTTAGCTTACCGACATACTCGTGTAATGCATCATGTTCGATTGAAGCGTCAAAATTAATAACATTTTCTTTAAAAAACTATTGTTTAACATACACAAACCATATTGCAGACCTTAACCAAATAGTAAAAAAAAAAAAGCAACATGAATATCCAGGCCCGTAGGACGCGGGGGGGGGGGGGGGGGGGGTGCCCCTATTTTTATCTGACTCTAGTCTTTTGCTATAGTTTTTCATTTAGATGCTGCTTAACAACCTCCCCCCCCCCCCCCGACTTTTTGTTGTATAAGGTCGAGCAATGGCAAACTACAGGATTTGGGCAGTTAAGGAGTTTTTTTTGGCAGATTATATTGGGGAAGTTGCCCCCCTCCCCTACACATTTTGGACAGTTTAGGTTTTTTTTTTTCTTTTGCTTATCAGATCTATTTTTTGGGGGGTGGGTCCCCCCCCCCCTACGTTTGAAATCGTTGCTACGGGCCTGATGTCACTTTAAACACTTTTTGTTTCAAAAAACAAATAATTGAAATATTCTTTCTTTCCGTCATTCCAGTGCATTCTGTAAAGCAAGTTACTGAGTAAAAGTATTTTAAGTGAATCTCATGGAAGTACCCCCCCCCCCCTCCCCCAATACACCCCAAACAAATACATCGACAACAGAACAGAATGTCAACAACAAAAACGATTCCCCCCCCCCTTTTTTTTAAATAAAACATAGATCTATACGAAAGATCACGTTAAAGTAAAAAATGCGTACTTGGAATGGGCTTTAATTATATTTTTTGAAAATAAATATGGACCCTAAAATGTGTATGTCTCAATGGTAAATGGATGATGTGTATGCAGAAAGTCTATCTTTTTATCAACAGCCGTCAACTTAGTACAAATAATTCCTGGTAACTCCACAATCCTTTACCAAGTGGAAATGCTGGACGTGGTTCCAAAGGCAGAAAAATCCCTCCTTCTGGACTTTATTTCAGCGGACTGGAACGCTGATTGGTTCGTCGACTCAGAGGAGGTAATCGATTTGTTTCATTAGTTATTTGTATCTAGGAGTCAGTGCAGGACTGAAACTACGTACTAACAATAAGAACTATCAATTTAGAAATAAGACAAATACTATAAGCCTTGAATTTCTAGAAGGGAGGCATTAATTGGTTCAGATAACAGAAATGATCTCAATCCTTATACATCCCATTCTTTTAAAAGTAAATTGATACCTATATATACCTATTTTGATAAGACATACACATTATATATATTCTATTACAAAAGTTGTAACGTCTACATGGTACAGATGAGTTTGTAATGAAGATTTCACCGATTTTTTAATGTAAATTTTACCGGTTGTTGTTAACGCAACTGACGGTACGTATAGTATTCTAGTCAAACAAACAAACAAACATTTCTCTTTCTGTATGATAACAGGGATACATATGTTTTGTAGATTGATCGTGTTTTAACAAGAGAGAAGTCTCTGAGGCGACTGTTGCGGATGTCACTGGGTATGGACAATATGGTAGAGCTCGCCATTCAGTGGTTCGACAAAGATGGAGACGGGATGTTAAACAGACTGGAATACTTCGAGATGTCAGAAATGATCGGTCTTGAACAACTCAGGAAAGATGCTAATGCAGGTCTTAAGGACAAACATGACACTGTGGCACATATCACTGACTCTCATAACGAGGCTGATTCGTTAAAACATCTGTCTAAGGACGAATTATAACATTTCATTAGTTTAATAATATCTTTAGTTTAATAGATAATAAAGGTTTAATTAGCAAGCCGTAGTTGTATAATTGAAATCTCAGACCGAATGCTGAAGAAAGCTGGTACCAATAGTAAATATTGAAGTAAGTAAATACTAAATAGTAGTAAAGGAACAGACGTGGGCATGTCTTCAAAGAAAATGGAGAAAATCTAGAAATATATGTATTGTACACTGTCGGCGAACCTTCGTCTTTGCAGTGAGGAGTAATCGTAATCATTCTCAATGAGCTATGATGGAAGGTAAAAATATAAACCACAAGGCAGCATTTGTTGGTTTGTCCTTCCTATCAGTGGATTGTTTTATTCTAAGTAAAGGTATACCTTAAACCATCCTGTATAGCATCAAACTTAATTTATTTTCTGAGAGTTGTGGCTTAATTTAGTCTGTCTAAAAAATATGCTTAGTGTGATTCTGACTCTGTGATTAGAATCATTCACGCACGAATTCAGAAAGATTACTCAGTAATTCAAACATATTATCCACGTATTTGTGATAAAGGATAAGAGAGTGAATCAAATGTGCACCTGAATAAAGTTTGACATAAATCCATGAAAACTTATTTTGAAACTCTAAGTTTGGTTTGTTAGAACAACATATTTCTCCATTTCAATATTTATACCTGAAAACAAATATTTCTAAATCGTATAAATTTTTTCTCTCTAAAATATAAAGACGTGTCTCTTGTTTGAGAAATCCAACTCAAGAGTGATACATTTTAATTTCTTATTCCCTCTAAGATATTCTTTTTGAAAAGTTCGGAGGGTATTTGTCAGTCAAGCATGGGTTACACTTTGCTAGCCAAGGGCATGCACAGATCCAAGACCCCCCCCCACCCCCCACCCTTCCACATGGGTTCCACACCAACTCAAACAAATGTCAGACTTGGAAATGTGTTGACAAGGGAAAAACAACCTTCCCAAACCTGAAAAACCTATTTCGGGGGGGGGGGGGGGTCATTTTCCTAAGTCATTTTTTTTCAGATACATGACTTCCAATGGAATATTACGAAAGCCTATTAGGATCAAACTACGGTAAAAAAAAATTTAAAAGGCGTTAGAACGCCTTTTCAAAAGGCGTTATAACGCGAAAAAAGGCGTAATAACGCCTTTTGGAAAGGCGTAATAAAACCTTTTGGAAAGGCGTAATAATACCTTTTGGAAAGGCGTAATAACGCCTTTTAGAAAGGCGTAATAACGCCTTTTTTCGCGTTATAACACCTTTTAGAAAGGCGTTATAACGCCTTTTAGAAAGGCATAATAACGCCTTTTAGAAAGGCGTAATAACGCCTTTTGGAAAGGCGTAATAACGCCTTTTAGTAAGGCGTAATTACGCCTTTTTTCGCGTTATAACGCCTTTTGGAAAGGCGTAATAACGCCTTTTAGAAAGGCGTTATAACGCCTTTTAGAAAGGCGTAATAACGCCTTTTTTCGCGTTATAACGCCTTTTGGAAAAGCGTAATTACGCCTTTATTTGCGTTATTACGCCTTTTTCCGCGTTATAACGCCTTTTCAAAAGGCGTTATTACTCCTTTTTTCGCGTTATAACGCCTTTTGAAAAGGCGCTATAACGCCTTTTAAATTTTTTTTACCGTAGTTTGATCCTAATAGGCTTTCGTAGAATATAGATTTTTGGTAAAAAATAAAATTATTAAAAATAAGGTGTCCTTTTGTTTTTGTGAAAGAAAATGCTTGATTCTGGGGAAGGTGTAGAGGTTTTTAAAGGAGTTTGTCCTGGTTACATCAAGGTACTTTGTGGAGTCGCTGTTTCTTGGTATTCATGTTTGATAGAAGATTTACTTGTAGTTATTTCCTGTGCTTCCATATCTTTTTCTATATGTGACACCAGGCATGTAGAAAGAAGGGGGGTTTCCTTGTTGATCCCCACCAGCACTCTGAAAAGCGATGCTACGTGCCCATGAAGCACACCCGGGAAAATCAAATTTACACATACAATTGACAATACAATATTTACTGATAAGCAAACGTTGTACCAGCTACAAATTTGTTATTTAAATAATTTTCTCCTTTTCTTCAGAATCATTTTTTTTCACATCATTAAGATTATCGTTACAGTAAAACTCGTTTAGTACGAACACGGATATTGCGAATTCACGGATATAGCGAAGTTTTTTGGGATCCCCAGCAATATAAATTTTACGAATTACTTATACGGATATAACGAATTACGGATATAGCGAAGTAATTTCACAGGTCCCAAAGACTTCGTTATAACAGTAGCAATGAGAGCCGATGGGTTGTCTAGAAATAGGCAAGATATCAACTGCCAATGTTTTGTCCAAAAAAAACAACCTGTAAGTTTTGAAATTTTACCACCATAACCATGCACATCATGCACCTCTGAACTATTTCTTCGACCAATATAATAGTTTCTGACAATATGTATCAATTTATTATTTGTGTGTGTGCGTGTGTGTGTGTGTGTGAGGGTGTGTGTAAAAGGGGGGGGGTGTGTCACATCCGAATAACTATGTCTTCCAGGTATAAATCTATCCATCATAAGCCTAGAAAGCCAGACAGTTATCTCCAAATAAGTGAGCATTTTTAGTATGCATGAGGATGATACTGATTTTAAATAACTTATGTAAAAATTATCACATGCTCTAACGTTGGTTATCAGTCTCATAAGTTACTAACCAGATAACCATGGCTATTTTTATAACGAGGTTTCAAAGTTAGTTTTATAATAACACAGCATGTATCCACAAACTTACCTATAGTAGGCATCTCTCTAATTTACGTAAAAAACTAAACTAAAAAAATAATTTAAAAAAAAAATGAACTAAACAAAATAAACAAGCAAAAAATATGTTTGTGAAACACTGATGCCTCCGAATGGCAGCTCATGACAAAGGTTAAAGTCTCTCAAATGCAAGTCAAATTCCAAGTTCAAGGTCAAAATTGTTGGTACCAAAGAAAGGTCTTCTCACAAGGAATACACTTATGTGTTGTAATATGCCCTTGCTTAAACCATTCAGAAATTATGGCTAAGGTTAAAGTTTATCAAAATTAGGTGACTCCAAGGTCAGTCTAAAGGTCAAAATTGTTGGTACCCAAGAGAAAGTCTTGTCACAAGGAATACACATGTAAATATGAAAGCCCTAGCTCCAACCATTCAAAAATTATGGCCAAGGTTAAAGTTTGTCAAAGGTTGGTCAAACTCTAAGGTCGTAAAGACCAAAAAGTCAGAACTATTACAAAAGGAAAGGTCTTATCACAAGGAATACACATGTGAAGTATGAAAGCCCTAGCACCAACCGTGCAAAAGTGGTTCAAAGTTAAAGGTCAAGAGGTCAAAGAAAGGTCTTGTCACAAGGAACACACCTGTAAAGTATGAAAGCCCTAGCTAAAACCGATTGAAATTTAAGCTTTTGCGGACAAACAGACAGACGGAATGGACAGAGCAAAAAATATATGCCCCCGAATCTTCGATTACGAGAGCCTAAATAGATAAAATAAAACACACACACACACACACACACACCCTCACACACACCCTCACACACACACACAAGACACCCCACCCTCACCATAAAAAATAAATAAGTAAACGACAGCAACAGCAACAACAAGAAACGATAAACAAAAACAAGATGTGTTTGTGAAACTTTGATGCCCCCCCCTCCCCCCCCCCCCCCCCGTATGGCAGCTCAAGGCCAAATTTTTTTTTCAAATTGAAGGTCAAGAGTGATTGACCCCAGGTCTGTTGTGGACCAGGGCTATGAAATTTTTTTTCACCTGTTTAAAAAGGACATTTACACACTAATTAGCCAATATTTGGTTATTATTGATTGTGCCTTCTGATTTTTTTTTTTGGTCTGACTGAATAGTACCTCTTGAAAGAATTGAGGGATGTAAAACAAAGATATACATGTGATTAATTTACCACGGCCTTACATATACCGAAAATAGTCAAAGAAGATTACGTGTATATTTAGACGATAATTCATAATTAAATAGAAATTACATGTATACTTTTCACTAATTTTATTCTTTGAGGAAGAAGTTGGTTGGGTCGTTTATTAATATAGGACATATCCTGCTTTGACAAAACTCATCTTCCCTTTTGTATTATCACATTGAAATTTCATAAAAAGTTCTACATAATAAAAAATCTTGCAACAACATTGACCGTGTACATAATTTATATGTATATTCTTTGTAACATCTTCTATGATAATCATTAAAAAGAATGTTTAAGCTGTTCCGATACATCTTTTTAGCTTATAAAGCGGACGAAGATGTACATGTGTCGTTAGTACGTTGATTGTGTCAAGATAAGAGTGTATATTATGTGTTGCATCACATCCAAACAAGGAAGAACTGGTAGCATGACCGGCCCCAGGGCAGTGTCCGAGGCTACATTACTGCAAAGAAATGGATATATTTTAGACTGCTCGAATGTTTAATTAAACAGTTCACAAAGCACACACAAAATGATACTAAAATTTTCTGCCTTTCTCGTACTTTTGCTTTCAAATTGTGCTGGTGTGTTTTGCAATGATCAAGAAGATATAAGTACTAAAGTGATAGCTCCCCCTCCCGTGGAATGTGAGAAACCAGTCAAAGACGGTGACAAAGTGTCCGTACATTTCATAGGATGGCTGAAAGATGGAACCGAGTTCGAAAACACGTATGTACTAGGGTTAATTTGGCGGAGGTTGGGTCAGTATCTCTGTTTTGAAGTGGCATATATAGCTGTTTTATTGTTTTTTCACCTACAGATACCTTTACGATACAGAATTTGGTTTTATCGTGGGCTCAAAGAAGGTTCCTGTTGGGTTGTCCAGGGGAGTAATGGGGATGTGTGTGGGGGAAATCCGGGAAATTAACGTACCCCCTCATCTTGGATACGGCGAAGACGGTAAAGGTACGGACTGGATTTACACCACTGAGAACATTCATGCACTTAATGTTTTATCAGATCTGTAAAAAGAAAAAAATAAAGGAAAAGAAACGAGACAGCTTAAGAAGACACATTAAGAACATTTGGTATTAAGGATAAATATCACAAACTTTTTTTTCTTCAGAAATCAGCAATATATTTCATAAATTTATATTCATATAGGTAACCTGCATAATATTTGCCTGGGTAAATGTGAAAATTTTTGTAAGATTTTGTAATACTGTATAAAAATCTGGGCAAGTTTTTGTATGAATTTACATAGAAAACGGATTTCTATATATTTAAGGACCCTCTATACATTAGAGGAAAATATTTTTTGGACATTGAGAAAATTATGGTGTGTAAAGGTGTAAGTATTGAGCTTATCTATCACATTTTCAACATAGGATGCCTTGCATTTACCCCCAGGAAAGATGTTCAAAGACAATGAAGTACTGATGAACATTTATAAATCACTGTTGTTTACTTAAGTGGAAAAAATATATCTGCAAATGAAGTGTTCTATCTATTCATCTTGGCCTATTAAAATGTTATGAATGCTTGATTTGATCACAAATTAAGTAATAAATTGTACATTTCAATTTATTTTATTCTTGATCAAAGGGCAGATCACTCTATTTGCATAAAAATACCACAAAACCAGAACTCTCTAGAGTGCAGTGTATAGAGGGCTCTTAAGGGATTTATTATTTATGTCATTTATTTTCAAAATTAGTCAACAAATATATGTTCTATGCATTAATTTTTGTTTGTGCTATGTATCCTTAATTAAAATCAATAGATTGAGCACCTTCAATTCTCAGCAACATGTATAATCATAAAATTTCTCTTAACAAATTCCTACAGATAAAGTTCCAGGTGGTTCGTGGCTCCTATATGAAGTCGAACTGGTGGAGGTCTCAGAAGAAGACATTGACGTATTTGAGACACTAGATGAGGATAAAGACGAACACCTGAATACAGATGAGGTAAAATTGTAACTTTGAAATTGTCAACTCTCCTCTTTACGATAATCAAGGCTGTTGGGACGGGGGGGGGGGGGGGGGGGGGTTGCGTTGTATGCGGTCGCACTTTTATTTATAATTCAACTGTTTAAAGTATTTGATATGTAAAAAATGACTTCAAGAGTTCATCAGAACCTACCAGCATAGCACCCATTTATAATAATTTTCTGGTTCAGATAAAACGCGCATCTCCGCTCCTCCGCACCCCCTTCCAGAAACTTGGCGAGGAATCTGCATATTCTACTAATATTTATATTCTCCCACTTGAGAAGTAGTGAAAGGGGTGTCCGTACGTCCATAACACTTGAGGGGTAGCCGTCCCTTATCCGCAACTACCCTTACACCCCCGAATTCAATTTAATGAAACTTTTACCAAATCTTTATTTGCACCCCTTATTCTGCGTTTCAATCGAGGATATGTTTAGGGTTTCCCATAGCAAAACCAATGTATACACTGCCATTCTTTCTATAGTACCCAACTCTTATCCGCGACTACTCCTATACCACTGTATAAAATTTAATGAGACTTTCACAGAATCTTTATTACGTTATGCCATTGTGACCTCCCACTTTAAGATCGGATCGAAGAGATATTTGGGGTTTCCAAATAATGGACTTTGCCGTTATACTAAGGATGGGGGGGGGGGGGGTGTCATTATGTAAGGTCAGTGCCCGAGGTGCCTCTCGTTCCCATTTGTCATGTTGTTGTCCTATCCCGAGGAATATTTTTTTAAGAAGTGTTGCATATTGTAGATTATTTTTATCAAATTAGAATAGGTTCATAAAATACTTTTATTTGTGTTATTTTCAGATGAAAAAATATTTTTCTCTTCCCAATGTTGTTGAATTGTTCGGCGATATGGCAAGTGACGAGAATAGCGTGGCTTTCCTGACTCAAACGATCATGAACATGGGCGATACTAATGGTGATGATGTCATTTCCCGTGAGGAATTCTACGCCATTGAAGATTTCCAAAAACTTCAGCAAAAGGAAAAAGAGGAAAATGAGATCGAATTTAGAGATGAACTGTGATATTCTTACATGTGCTTTATTTTTATTTATAATAAAATTGAGTGTATAAAAAACGGGATTATGGTTATGGTTATTTGTAACGAAGTCTTAAACTAAAAGAATTTATGTCGAACACGTTTGTTGATGACCATGAATCAAGGGTTCAATTAAGAAATGAATTTAATTTTTGAAGATTCATGAGGACATGAACTACGACGCTTCACGACGGCATATTTAATGAAGCGGGTAATTCTAAATAGAAAAAAAAACCCACATACATGTGTGTATCTTGTAAGTTTGTAAATCCAAACTTGTAAGTTTGTGAATCCAAACTTGTAAGTTTGTAAATCCAAATTTGCAATCATATCAGTTTCATAGGTTACTGAGTAAGTAGGCAATTCCGACATCCTACGTACTTACAGTGCCTATATTACACAATACAGACTCTCTGAAATAAGTTACTTTGACTATTGTGAAACATAAGAACTCTCCCTAAAATGAGTATAGATATTGAGAGTAATTGTAGAAATATATAGTTTATTGTTTAAAGATTACACGGTGTATACTGATACTGCGTCAGAGGATTACTGGATTGAAAAAAAAATTGCAAAATCGAAGGTACACTTTGTTTGGCTATCGAGATTTTATGTCAGAGTTTAAATGGTAAACATTGATATGCCTATGATGGAGCCAAAAAATTGAAAATATTTTTAAAATTAAAGGGCACTCAAGAAAGCACTGGAAGAAAGACCGAACAGTAACAATAGTTGGACAAAAACATGTAAGATGAACTTCATCAGTTTGGATGTTTTCAATGCAGACTTTGACAATAATTTGTACACGACAGTCACATAAATTTATTGAGATACATGTATAACTATATCACGTAATATCCGTAACTTTGCTCTAGATCTCATACCAACATCTGATTGATATTTTTGATGTAAATTTATTTACATGGACCTATTATTTATATATACAAAATTATTATAAAAAAAAAAATTGCACGAATTAGTCCTTTTCCTAATTTTCTATTTGTTATGGAATGAAATGGAAGGTATGTAAATGAGCCAAGAAAAATAGATTTAATAAAATGTATTGATTGAATGTAATTAAAAATTAATTCCAATTTATACTTTAATTCCTTTTTATCATGACCTTAAATTAGAGTATTTGAAAAGGCGTTACTGCAAAAAACCTATAGAGTTTGGAAAATAATTAAACTTCAGAGCGCTCAAGGGTAAAGGTACTTTATATTCTTGGAAAATATTTGTGTTAAGCCTCCATTACTGAGTATCTGCAGTTCTTTTAATTAAGAGTTTCGAGATTACAATAACATCTCCCTTATATAGCATGTTTTATGTTCTTGCTATTTATTTATTTATTATCTCACTCTCATATTGTTATACCCAGTAACATTGTATATGTATATAGTATGTATTCTGATATGTCTTATGCACGGAATATATATATATATATATATATATATATATATATATATATATATATATATATATATATATATATATATATATATATATATATATATATATATATATATATATATATATATATATAAAACTTGAATTCGATAAACAAAGATTGATTAAATAAATTGGATCTTTTTGTAAATTAAATTGGAGATTCCCATTTCTAACCATAAAACAAGATCAAGTTTTCTTACACAAATGAATAAATAAGAGAGAGAGAGGGGGGGGGTCCAATTTTTTGACATTTTAGAAGTCAGTTGTACGACTTGTTTGTCATGTTAAGTTTTTTTCTTTGATCACTTTACATTCGTTCTGATTTTGCATAAAATATTATAATAGTAATAATAATAGTGGTTATGGACAAAAGCAGATAAGGACGAGGGTGTATGGAAGCCCTCGCCCCTTTATGATTCTTACACAGTAAGAGATCTTTTAATATATTAGGTGGCATGTTATACATGTATAGTTTGCAATTTTTTGCTCTTTCTTCTTCTTTTTTGTTGAATTTTTCATACACGTTTTCTTTTAAAAGACACCTCTTAGTTGCTTGTCAGCTTGTTTTTTTTTTTCTCTCGAAAATTTTGCGTTGTTTCATTTAAAAGCGTCAACATTATATCAGTTTTATATAATGATTGAGTGTATATATAAAATGTATTAATGATTACACTACATACAATTATAAGGTGCCTGGTCAAATTTTAAGGGGTGTGGTGGGGCGGCATCCAATCTTTAAGAAAAAAATACATTTTTGAATAGTCATGACCTTAAGAGTTAAGGTGACAACCCGCCAAAGCAAAGTAAGAATGTTTGCGGTACAGGGAAGAAGGCGATGATTGAACGTGTGCTGTAATCTAAAGCAACTCTCCCCTGCGGCTAGCAGTACCGTGTACGTGTCATGCCAGGGGTGGCTTGGATACTACAAAAGATAAGTCATCAAAACCTGTATCTTTCTTCCTCTTTAAATATTCGTATCTTATAAACGGTAAGATTCGCCAATTAAAGTTTATTATCCAAAGATGTCTCTCACCAAGCTAACCAAATTATTGCTCGGTCTTTGTTGTGGTTTTGTGTTTGTGTTCGGTGAAGATAAGGGTCAATCACCAAAGAAGGTAGATATATACACCATAGTCCCTCCTCCCGGAGACTGCGAGAAAAAAGCCAAAGACGGAAACCTGGTACAAATTCATTTTAAGGGAACTCTGGAAAATGGCACTGAATTCTTTAACAGGTACGTCAATTATGCCCTCACTTTTGCAGTGAACTATTATTGATCCTGAATTTAACAAAATGTCAATATTTTGTCACAACGAAGCATTTGATTTTACCTCTGTAGCCAATTAAGACATTTAATTACTGATTTTAATTTAGTAAAAAAAAAAAAATAAATAAATACATGTTTTTTTTTAAGTAAACAAAAATCGTTTTGAGAAAACCCATGAATTTTATTTTTAGTTATAAGGGAGAGCCCATTTCATTTGCAATGGGATCGGGACAATTACTTAAAGGAATAGAACAGGGAGTTGACGGTATGTGTGTTGGAGAGAAAAGGCGCGTTACAGCACCCCCTGCTTTGGCGTATGGATCCAAGGGAACGGGTAAGAAAACCAAGGTTTTAAATAGTTTAAAATCCTTATTTAAATAAATTTAATGCAACGTAACAACTTTTTTTGTCATTCAAGGTGATGTGCCAGGTGGAGCCACAGTCATTTTAGAAATTGAAGTGCTAACTATTAAGGACCAGCTTGACGTCATTGACCAATTCCATAGAATGGACATTAACAAAGATGGAGCTCTCGATTTCAAAGAGGTATGAGAAGACTTACTAGTATTTGGATAAATGGTGATGAATTCCAGGAATTATGGGAATGTTCCTGTTAAATCTAAAGATTTTGAGGCTTCCTTATGATTTTTGACTTTGTTCTTCAGATCGAAGAGGTGGTGAGCGGAGAACAGTTCCAGAAGATGATGCCAGTGAAAATGGATGATAGCATGCGTTTAATGATGATACAGACACTGTTCACAATGTCAGATAAAAACCGCGACGGTCAACTCGACCCATCGGAATTTACGCACATGTCCAAAATGGGAGCGAATGCCATGAAAAAGAAAATGGCTTCGGACGAGCTATAAAAACTATTTATTGTACATTTTGTTGATATTTATTAAACTTTTATGAAGAATTTAAAATAGTCATGTTTTGAGTTTTATATGTCAATACAAAACTTCAATTATAAACAATTTGCCAGGCGACCTTTTCAAGTTAGTTTACTGTTTGCACCATGCAGACATTTCTCATTCGCTATAGAGCTCTACTTTCAGTAAGATATGATATTATTTATTTAAATTCGGGTTTTGAAAACAAAAACAGCTCTGAAGAGCTATTTTTCGACTACTTTCCGGATGTAGTGACTTTTAATACTTTATAAAATACCAACTAGCAAAAAAAAAAAAAAAACAAAACAAAAAACAAAAACTTGCAACTTTTCTAGAACGATCACAGTTTTGTTCTAATAATTGAATGTTTGCATATGATGATATTTCGACAACAATACATCATTCTTGAATACAAGAGTATGATCAATTCTTTACAAAGGTTACTTGATGCTAATACAATTCTGAACTCCAAGTTCTTAAAAACTGAGCATGCGATAGATGTCCTTAGTGTTTGTGATAAGGGATTATGGAGTTAGGGTACAGTATATGCGACTTGTATATGAATCATACCATACCAAACTTGCCACACTTACAATGGCATTCAAAGAAAATCTTTCCTATCATGATAACATAATAAATCTAAATCATAAAATGCATGGAATAAACCGTAAAAATTGAACTTATTCTTTACTCTTAGAAAATATTTATAACATCTACATGTATAAACAATTTGTTTTAATTTGAATCTAAAAAAAAACTGAAAATGTTTGATAATATCTCCCTGTTAATAATAATAAAGGGTGGAAATACCATTAGTATTATACACAACTCGCTGTTGATAATGAATAGGACAGGAAATACTAGGATAAACTATATATCTCCTTATTGATAACATTCAGGGGAGGAAATACTCGTTTACACTGACTCCTTAATAATAGTTAGGGGAGAAAATACTAGCATACACAGTCTCCTTTTACTAAAGCATGAGGGATACTAGAAAACTCTCTCAATGTTAATAATAATTAGGGGAGGAAATACTAATAGACATTATCTCCCTGTATAATAATAAAGGGAAGAAATACTAGCATACATTGTCTCCTGTTTATAATAACAAGGGAAGGGAATACTAGCATACATTGTCTCCTGTTTATAATAACAAGGGAAGGAAATACTAGCATACACTGTCCCCTGTTTATAATAACAAGGGAAGGAAATACTAGCATACACTGTCTCCTGTTTATAATTAAAAATACTAGCATACAGAGCCTCCTGTTTATGATAACAAGGGAAGGAAATACTAGCATACACTGTCTCCTGTTTATAATAACAAGGGAAGGAAATACTAGCATACAATGTCTCCTGTTTATAATAACAAGGGAAGGAAATACTAGCATACAATGTCTCCTGTTTATAATAACAAGGGAGGGAAATACTAACATACACTGTCTCCTGTTTATAATAACAAGGGAGGGAAATACTAACATACACTGTCTCCTGTTTATACATGTAATAACAAGGAAGGAAGTACTAGCATACAATGTCTCCTTTTTAATATAATAATAATAATATTCCTGTTTATAATAACAAGGGAAGGAAATACTAGCATACAATGTCTCCTGTTTATAATAACAAGGAAAGGAATTACTAGCGTACACTGTCTCCTGTTTATAATAACAAGGAAAGGAAATACTAGCATACAATGTCTCCTGTTTATAATAACAAGGGAAAGAAATACTAGCATACACTGTCTCCTGTTTATATAATAACAAGGGAAGGAAATACTAGCGTACACTGTCTCCTGTTTATATAATAACAAGGGAAGGAAATACTAGCATACACTGTCTCCTGTTTATAATAACAAATACTAGCGTACACTGTCTCCTGTTTATAATAACAAGGGAAGGAAAATCTAGCATACACTGTCCCCTGTTTATAATATCAAGGAAGGAAATACTAGCATACACTGTCTCCTGTTTATAATAACAAATACTAGCGTACACTGTCTCCTGTTTATAATAACAAGGAAGGAAATACTAGCATACACTGTCTCCTGTTTATAATAACAAATACTAGCGTACACTGTCTCCTGTTTATAATAACAAGGGAAGGAAAAACTAGCATACATTGTCTCCTGTTTATAATATCAAGGAAGGAAATACTAACATACACTGTCTCCTGTTTATAATAATCAGGGAAGGAAATACTAGCATACACTGTCTCCTGTTTATAATAACAAGGGAAGGAAATACTAACATACACTGTCTCCTGTTTATAATAACAAGGGAAGGAAATACTAGCATACACTGTCTCCTGTTTATAATATCAAGGAAGGAAATACTAGCATACACTGTCTCCTATTTATAATATCAAGGAAGGAAATACTAGCATACACTGTCTCCTGTTTATAATAACCAGGGAAGGAAATACTAGCATACACTGTCTCCTGTTTATAATAACAAGGGAAGGAAATACTAACATACACTGTCTCCTGTTTATAATAACAAGGGAAGGAAATACTAGCATACACTGTCTCCTGTTTATAATATCAAGGAAGGAAATACTAGCATACACTGTCTCCTATTTATAATATCAAGGAAGGAAATACTAGCATACACTGTCTCCTGTTTATAATATCAAGGAAGGAAATACTAGCATACACTGTCTCCTGTTTATAATAACAAGGGAAGGAAATACTAGCATACACTGTCTCCTGTTTATAATATCAAGGAAGGAAAAACTAACATACACTGTCTCCTGTTTATAATAACCAGGGAAGGAAATACTAGCATACACTGTCTCCTGTTTATAATAACAAGGGAAGGAAATACTAACATACACTGTCTCCTGTTTATAATAACAAGGGAAGGAAATACTAGCATACACTGTCTCCTGTTTATAATATCAAGGAAGGAAATACTAGCATACACTGTCTCCTATTTATAATATCAAGGGAAAGAAATACTAGCATACACTGTCTCCTGTTTATAATATCAAGGAAGGAAATACTAGCATACACTGTCTCCTGTTTATAATAACAAGGGAAGGAAATACTAGCATACACTGTCTCCTGTTTATAATATCAAGGAAGGAAAAACTAACATACACTGTCTCCTGTTTATAATAACCAGGGAAGGAAATACTAGCATACACTGTCTCCTGTTTATAATAACAAGGGAAGGAAATACTAACATACACTGTCCCCTGTTTATAATAACAAGGGAAGGAAATACTAGCATACACTGTCTCCTGTTTATAATATCAAGGAAGGAAATACTAGCATACACTGTCTCCTGTTTATAATATCAAGGAAGGAAATACTAGCATACACTGTCTCCTGTTTATAATAACCAGGGAAGGAAATACTAGCACACACTGTCTCCTGTTTATAATATCAAGGAAGGAAATACTAGCGTACACTGTCTCCTGTTTATGATAACAAGGGAAGGAAATACTAGCATACACTGTGTATAATAACAAGGGGAGGAAATACTAGCATACACTGTCTCCTGTTTATAATAACAAGGGAAGGAAATACTAGCATTCACTGTCTCCTTTTTAATAACAAGGGAAGGAAATACTAACATACACTGTCCCCTGTTTATAATAACAAGGGAAGGAAATACTAGCATACACTGTCTCCTGTTTATAATATCAAGGAAGGAAATACTAGCATACACTGTCTCCTGTTTATAATATCAAGGAAGGAAATACTAGCATACACTGTCTCCTGTTTATAATAACCAGGGAAGGAAATACTAGCACACACTGTCTCCTGTTTATAATATCAAGGAAGGAAATACTAGCGTACACTGTCTCCTGTTTATGATAACAAGGGAAGGAAATACTAGCATACACTGTGTATAATAACAAGGGAAGGAAATACTAGCATACACTGTCTCCTGTTTATAATAACAAGGGAAGGAAATACTAGCATTCACTGTCTCCTTTTTAATAACAAGGGAAGGAAATACTAACATACACTGTCCCCTGTTTATAATATCAAGGGAAGGAATTACTAGCGTACACTGTCTCCTGTTTATAATAACAAGGAAGGAAATACTAGCATACACTATCTCCTGTTTATAATAACAAGGGAAGGAATTACTAGCGTACACTGTCTCCTGTTTATAATAACAAGGAAGGAAATACTAGCATACACTGTCTCCTGTTTATAATAACAAGGGAAGGAAATACTAGCATACACTGTCTCCTGTTTATAATTATCAAGGGAAGGAAATACTAGCATACACTGTCTCCTGTTTATAATAACAAGGGAAGGAAATACTGGCATACACTGTCTCCTGTTTATAATAACAAGGAAAGGAATTACTAGCGTACACTGTCTCCTGTTTATAATAACAAGGAAAGGAAATACTAGCATACACTGTCTCCTGTTTATAATAACAAGGGAAGGAAATACTAGCATACACTGTCTCCTGTTTATAATAACAAGGAAAGGAATTACTAGCGTACACTGTCTCCTGTTTATAATAACAAGGAAAGGAAATACTAGCATACACTGTCTCCTGTTTATAATAACAAGGGAAGGAAATACTAGCATACACTGTCTCCTGTTTATAATAACAAGGAAAGGAATTACTAGCGTACACTGTCTCCTGTTTATAATAACAAGGGGAGGAAATACTAGCATACACTGTCTCCTGTTTATAATAACAAATACTAGCATACACTGTCTCCTGTTTATAATAACAAGGGAAGGAAATTCTAGCATACACTTTCTCCTGTTTATAATAACAAGGGAAGGAAATACTAGCATACACTGTCTCCTGTTTATAATATCAAGGGAAGGAAATACTAGCATACACTGTCTCCTGTTTACAATAACAAGGGAATGAAATACTAGCATACACTGTCTCCTGTTTATAATAACAAGGGAAGGAAATACTAGGGTACACTGTCTCCTGTTTATAATAACAAGGGAAGGAAATACTAGCGTACACTGTCTCCTGTTTATTAGCTCACCTGAGCCGAAGGCTCAAGTGAGCTTTTCTGATCACATTTTGTCTGTAGTCCGTCTGTCTGTCTGTCCGTCTGTAAACTTTTTACATTTTCGACTTCTTCTCCAGAACCACTGGGCCAATTTCAACCTAACTTGCCATAAAGTACCCTTAGGTAAAGAAGATTCAAGTTTGTTCAAATGAAGGGCCACGCCTTCTTCCAAGGGGAGATAATTAAGAATTCGTAAAAAATTAATGGCATCATTAAAAAATCTTCTTCTCAAGAACCACTGTGCTTGAAAATATGAAACTTATGTGGAAAAATCCTCAGGTAGTGTAGATTCAAATTTGTTCAAATCATGACCCCCGGGGGTCGGGTGGGGCCACAATAGGCGTTCAAAGTTTTTCATAGCAATATATAGGAAAAATCTTTAAAAATCTTCTTCTCAAGAACAGCAAAGCCATGATTGGTCATATTTACATGGAAGCATCCTCAGATAGTGTACATTCAAATTTGTTCAAATCATGACCCCCAGAGGTCGGGTGGGGCCACAATAGGTGATCAAAGTTTTACATAGGAACACATAGTAAAAATCTTTTTAAAAAAACTATTTCTTAAGAATAGCAAAGCCATGATTGGTCATATTTAAATGGAAGCATCCTCAGATAGTGTACATTCAAATTTGTTCAATTCATGACCCCCCCCCCCCCAACCACTTTTATATTTAAACTTTTCAACCTTTCAAGACTGAACTGATTTCTGCTTTTTCCTAGCCATAGTGTTCAGGTGAGCGTTGTGGCCCCTGGGCCTCTTGTAATAACAAATACTAGCATACACTGTCTCCTGTTTATAATAACAAGAGAAGGAAATACTAGCATACACTGTCTCCTGTTTATAATAACAAATACTAGCGTACACTGTCTCCTGTTTATAATAACAAGGGAAGGAAATACTAGCATACATCTCCTGTTTATAATAACAAGGGAAGGAAATACTAGCATACACTGTCTCCTGTTTATAATAACAAGGGAAGGAAATACTAGCGTTCACTGTCTCCTGTTTATAATAACAAATACTAGCTTACACTGTCTCCTGTTTATAATAACAAGGGAAGGAAATACTAGCATACACTGTCTCATGTTTATAATAACCAGGGGGAAATACTAACATACACTGTCTCCTGTTTATAATAACTAGGGAAGGAAACACTAGCAAACACTGTCTCCTGTTTATAATAACAAATACTAGCATACACTGTCTCCTGTTTATAATTACAAATATTAGCATACACTGTCTCCTGTTTATAATAACAAGGGAAGGAAATACTAACATACACTGTCTCCTGTTTACAATAACGAGGGATGGAAATACTAGCATTTACCATTTCCTGTTGATAATAATTACGGGAGGAATTACTAGCCTAGTATGCATTGTTTCTTGTCAATAATATGTTATTAATGTTTAATAATTCATAAATACCCCTATGCACTCACTCCCTGTTAGATATGATAAGGGGAGGGAATACTAGCATATACTATCTCCTGGCTTCTTTTAATTAAGGAGAGGAAACACTAAAATACATCTTCCTGTTAGTGTTAACTAGGGGAGAGAATAACTGTCCCCTGTATATAAAAAGCATGAGGCCCATGGGCCACAAAGTTCACCTGAGTAACTTTGGCCCTGCTATTCTTCACCAGATATCCCCCCTTGTAATACTTATTGTGGCCCCCCTCCCCCTCCCGAGTCATAATTTGAACAATTTAGAATCTACACTACCTCAGGAAGATTTCATATAAATTTCAGCTTTTCTGGCCCAGTGGTTATTGTGAAGAAAATTTTTAAAGATTATGATTCCCTATTGTGTCTCCACCCTACCCTCGGGGGCTATGATTTGAATACTAGTAATTTAGAATCTATGCTATCTCAGGAGGCTTCCACATACATTTCACCACTCCTAGTCTAGTAATTCTAAAGAAGAAGATTTTTAAAGATTTTTCCTATATATTCTATATATGATTCCCTATTATGGATCCACCTTACCCTTGTGGGACATAATTTGAACAATTTAGATATCCCAGGAAGCTTGCACATAAGTTTCATCTTTTTTGGTCAAGCAGTTCATGAGAAGATTTTTAAAATTTTTTCCAATATAAAACTTCAATTCCCTATTGTGGCCCAACCCTACCCTTTGGGGGGGGGGGGGGGCTAGGATTTAAACAATTTAGAATCCACACTATGTTAGGAGCCTTCCACAAATGTTTCAGCTTTTCTGGCCAAGTGGTTCATAAGAAGATTTTTCCTATATATTTCAATGTAAAACTCTGGATCCCTACTGTGGCCCCACCCTATCCCCAAGGACCATGATTTGAACAATTTAGAATCTACACTACCTCAGTTTCAGCTTTTCTGGCCCAGTGGTTCTTGAGAAGATTTTTCAATGACCACAGCCTTTTTTGATAATCTCCCCTTGGAAAGGGGCTTGGTCCTTCATTTTAAAATTTAAACTCCCCTTTAACCAAGAATGATTTCTATCAACTTTAGTTAAATTTGCCATGTGGTTCTTGAGAAGAAGTTGAAAATCTGAAAAGGGACAGACAGATGAACAAAATGTGATCAGAATAGCTCACTTGAGCTTTTAGCTCAGGTAAAGTAATAACAAGGGGAGGAAATTCTAGTAACATTTCCTCCTTGCTAATAATATTTAGGGAGGAAATAGTGTATTAGTGTATTAGTATACACTATTTCTCTAATAATATTAATAGGGTGGAAAATACTAACATATACGATCTCCTTGTTAATAATATTAAAGGCGGAACTAGCATACAATTCCTGATAATAAAAGTTAGTAGCAAGAATTCTATCATACCATCTCCCTGGTAATCATAATTAGGGGAAATAACTTCTGTTTCTAATTTATGGAACTTCAAAAATTTCAACATTGTTTAAAACCTTGTTTACACATCACAAAATACCAGTATGTTCTTATATCCATTGCAATTTTATTCTTGTATTTAAGGAGAAAGAAAAATGAAAACTGAATTTGATATAGAGTATATAAATCTTTGTAAATTACCAAAAAAAAAAGTTTTAATACTCCTCTTTCATATTTTCCCAAAAGTCTCTTCTTTTTTGATAATAAAATTTTGTTACTAAAGCACGAACAACAATATTAATAAGGTGTTATCGTCTTTTAATAATTCTTACAAACATTTACCACATATCAAGCACTTCTAAAATAAAGCACACTCATCACAAATATTGACTTGTTTACAAAATAGGCTTTTGGTGTATATACCATCATATCTATTTTTTGATCAAAGAAAATTTTCTATTTCATCTACCTCTTAACAATCATAAACATTTGATATATTAGTGTGTTTAGTTATTAATAAATACATTTAATTATATTCAAACATTAACAGAATTAATATTACTAGAACCATGACTAATGTGAATGCAGGAGTCTCTGATTTCTTTCTTTCTTTCATTTTTGGCAGAGGAATCTTAAATTTATTAGAAAAATAACCAAAAATATAAAAAAAATTATTGAATTGAAAATAATTCAAAACGTGTTTTATCTCATATTAATATCAAATAAATAAAAACAAATCTTATAATAATAATAATAATAATGGTGGAATGAATTTGGTATGATAAATGGACAGTTTGGAAGTATATGACAAATTAAAAAAAAATAAGATATTTGGAATATCAAAGTTCATCATGCTTTGGTCCTGTGAATTCAGCATGAGTTATAAACCCATCCTTATTAGAATCTTCCCAGTAAAATATACCATCCACCACTTTTTTGTGTTCCTCACTTTTATTATCCACCGGGAATCCATAGGTTTGACGTGATAAATCCACAAGATGTGCCGAAATCTGTCATAATAGGCCAAATACAAGTTTTAACCAATATCAGAACATTTGTTTATCAAGAAACTGAAGCAATGCTGTCTATAAAATACATAAACTAATGCCCAGCACCATTAACAAAATAATTCTTCTCCATCAAATGACTAGCTACCAATAATCTCTCTGGAAAAACTCATCACTGAACGAGAATTTCTCCATCTGTTTGGGAAAAAGTATGGTTTACAGATACGTATGTGAAAATTAGAAGCCTAAAAACCATCATCTAAAATTCACACATTTTATAGCTGTACATGTAAGTAAAGATTTAATACTGGTACTTGAAGAGAAATTACCGATATGTAGCTTAAATCAATGTATGGTAAATTTTGAAACTTGGAGAACTTTTTCACATAACATTCATCAGAACTTGAACATTCCAGACATAGTCAACTGACTGTATACAGCTTTAAATTTGTTTTAAGTTATTTTTACATTTCTATAAGATATCCCTTTTTTGAACCATTTTGATTTCTCAGTTTCCTCCCTTTTCATTACCTGGCTATTTTCAGTTTGTTTTTTTTTTTCAACTTAAGGCTTGATTTTTTTCTGTTTTGTCACTCTATGAAAATAGCAAAATAAAACTTATTCAAATATAAATCTGTATACAGCACTGAAAATACAGTCCTAGATATCTTAAATCCTATCTTTACAGATATCCATTTTTCTATTCTTATCAGAAAATATTCAGAGTTCATCATGTTTGGGGCCTGTAAATTCATCTTTTGAAATAAAGCCATCATTATCCTGGTCCTCTTTTTCAAAAACACTTTGCAGGAGGTCTTTGTGTTGTCCATTGTTTGTATCTACTTTATCACTTTTAAATGCAGTTTTTAATTCTTGTAAAATAAACTCTGAGACCTGCAAGAGCAAATAAATAAATGTACTTAGACACAGACCTAAAAATTATATCTACATTTAAAAAAATTTTTTTTAAACCTTTTCTTCTCATCTCTTTGTAACTCTTAAAATACCATAAATTTTTATGCTTTTTTTATCTTCATGTTTTTGTTTTTAACAAAATTTTAAAAATTTTATTGAGTTTATTACATGTACATTAGAATTTTCTCATTCTAACAAATATGGCAAATTTAAATACATGATAGCATGCACTGACTAACTAAGTATTTTTTGCATGCCAGAGATGAATTATTTTCCCAGTTAAATGCATCTGTTTATTAGAAACTATTATAATAAATTGAACATGCAGGACTATTGATATCTTGTGTCCAATTTTGAGTGGGGATGCAGTAGAACCAGAAAATGAATAAGACCATGCAATGTGATATTTAGTCAACCTTTTGACCTCAAGCTGTTTCAAGTTGTTTCTGTCATATTTATCCAAGCAAATGCAGGTTTATAAAATAAAATATAGAATGCAACAAAGTATTGTATTAAAACTATATACTTTTAAGTTTTGGATAAGAATTCTGAAATGGACCACTTTTCAAAAGTAGGAATCAAAAAATTCATTAGAGTACCAAGTGTGAGCAACATTAATGTAAAGTGAAGCAAAAAGAATTAGGTAAGAACTTCATGGAGCAAAGCAGGTAATTTCTGAATAAAGTGTGAGAATGTTAGTGACTAAATCTACTGGTAAGCTGAAAACAGAAACATCAACCATTAAATCTTAAAAGCCATGCAGGGCAAAAGCATTTGAAGGTAAGTTTATATCTTAATTAAAATAAATTTAAAGAGAACTTTTTTTAAACATCCCCCCCCTTTTTTTTTTGAGGTTGCATGACTTTTAAGAGCTGATGAAAAATCAATTGTGAATAAAATGTCTGTGCAGTGCTAGCAAAACCTGAAACTGTGTGCCTACAATTTGTAAATTTATAATTCATCGTGTTTAGGTCCACTAAATTCCTCATGAGAAATGTGTCCATCTTTGTCTTTATCTTCGTGCTGGAAAATGTTTTCTACTACATCAGTGTGTTCCTTGGCAGAAGGGTCGATTTTCTGTCCTGTCTGCTCACTCTGTTTAACTATAAAATCTGAGATCTGCAATACAAAGTCATGTTACTGTCATAAGCTGCAGTTAAGCCCTAAAAATACTGGTAAAAGTCTTGAGACAGTTATATCATTTACCAAAAATTATTCATTGTTTCAAAGTGCTCTAACTCTAACTCCACCACAAAGAAGAAAAAAATAACCCAACACAGAGGTACAAGTACTAAATTTATCCCTAAAAGTTATAAAGTTAGAGACCAATTAGTAGAAAATGGGACTGTGAAGTTTGGGCAGGGGCAATAACTCTTTATTACCTCCATCCAACTAAAAATTCCTATTTCTTCAGTGGAAAAAAAATCTAAATATACTTTGTAACACTCATAAGCAAATCTTTTTAATCTGTTAAAGCTATCTGATATTGTGGAAAAGTGTATGTAACAATTTTATAAGTAAGATAGATGGCTGTATTTTTACCATGACAGAAAACTTTGAGACAGAATTAGTAGCCTCAATGAGTAGTTAATATACAAGGTACATGTGATTGTTATCTGTCCGATTAAATTGTGTAGGAAGACCCTTTAACCAACATCCTTTCACCTGTGAAATAATGAGCTACAAGAATTTATCCATGACTTTGACTAACCTCTTCTCTGGAGAGTCTGTTGTCTTCATCTGTATCTATCTTTTTAAAGATGTTCTCTGGCTTAGGTCCATCTTGAATATCTAGTAGTTCTACCTCAAAAATAAGGGTGGCCTTTGGGGGGATTTTCTCTCCTATAAAACCAGATACAACATCTTAATAATTTGAACATCCAAAATTATAAAATTACGTAGAAACTCCATTCCACTTCAATCAGGAAAAATTAAGGATTGATGTTCTTGTCTGTGACCTTAGTACCACTTTTAACCTAATTAGTATGCGCACCACATATTTCTACACAGCCATTGAGGAAATGAGTGGTATACCTTGGTGTCTATTATATTGATTTATTCATTCAAATCTGCATTTTTTGTTAATTATAGACCTGTAGCAAGCTCTAATTAATTTATCCAATATTAAAAAAAGTCATATACGTGTATTGAAGTCCCCTTTTTTTTGGAAAATAATTATGATTACTGGAGATCTGCATTTGGTAGATGTAACCATGATAATACATCTGGTAAGAATAATTTACCTGATACATACAATACTTTACAGGTGACTAAGATATCTGATACAGACTAATAGAATCATTCATTACTACGAGTGTGGGATAGTGAAATTCCACCGAGGGGACAAGATTCACGGTCTAGGACGAGGCTTTGCCGAGTCCTAGACAGTGAATCTTGGCCCCGAGGTGGAATTTTACTATCCCACACGAGTATGTAATGAATGATTTTTTTTCTCGCATTATTTTATCCATAACGGCATGCCATCACCATTGAAAAATTTATATTTTTAATTTAGCATCCAATCAAAAATCTGAATATACCATCAAAGAAATCGTACCTGAAAATGGTTTACACAGCATGTGTAAACTCAGAAAATAAATTTCAGTCCACTTAAATCATTCTGAATTATATAAACTGGATTTTAAAAAAAAACGACAGTGTAACATTTTTAGAAGAATCCTTTCGCGACCTACAAATAGTGCCATTCAGAAAGTGAAAATATGACAATCTTTTGAATGAAAATAAGTTTGATTAAATAAATTAAACAACAACATTTTAAGAATATGTGATTTTTTTTTTTAGAAATTTTTACAAGTATTTTTTAAGAGGGAATGTTTACGTTACCGTTCGCAGCGTAGT